GCAGCAATATGCAAACGTCCCCTGTTTTCCATGTTGAGTATGTTCGCCTTGACAATATATTATGGAGTTATATGGCTTCGGGGGGTATACCCCAACGAAATCGGATGCAAGCATTTTATACACTGTGTATGGCCTGCTTTGACCGCGCGAAGAGTCTAAGCCCATATACAGCATCCTCATAATTAAATTTGGTTTTCAAATCGAAGATTTTCGTCAAAAAGTATACGCAGACTTCAATACTCATGGCCACGTTCACATTGGCTTGGCTATTTATGGAAATGGATAATGATAGGCGAAATATTTTGGATCTTGTGATCCCAACGCCATAAATTTTTGTTTTTGTGGGATTTAGAATAAGAGAATTCGACGAATCCGAATTAACGTCAGAAATAGCTTTTGAAGTAGAAAGAGTAATAGAGCTGTAAATCATCAGGATACATATGGAAACGACAGTGTATTAAGTGTGACTCAATATCTGCTGAATAGAGAATAAATATAAAAGGTTCCAAAATAGAGAGAGAAATCGTAGTCGTACCGTATCTTCTCGTATTACAGCGACAGTACTAAACCAATTGGCTGCATCTGGTGAAAAACCATAAAATTAAATTAAATTAGGAGGTTTAATTCGTGCGTGAGCCTTAATGTGTATCCATAGGTTTTTTGGTTGGTTAATGGAGTTATTTACATATTTATCGAAGTAAAGTTTATTTTCGATAAATAGCGCCTTAAAAATTAATATGTGATTCTCATTTACTCTTCCTAGCCCTAATGTATGCTTCATCGCGGGTCTTCATCATACATTTTAAATTATATGTCACCCATGGATAGTGACGTTGTCTAGCAAAAACCCATTTACGAGGTGCATAAAAATCGAATAATGTTCTGAGATAAGACGTAAAAAGATAATAGATCTTACTGTCCACGTCTGCTAAATGCGGAATTGTCTCCCGAGAAGTAGCTAAAAGCGTATTATTACAACTCTCCATATTAATATCCTTTAAAGCGCGGAACGAGATCCAACTAGGTTTAAATTTTTGCTTAATTATGTTAAAAGTACAAAATACAAACGCAAGCAGTCATGCTTAAATCTCTTATGTGATCGACTGCCACTTCCGACACCGGAGCATTTTTTTTTTTTTTGTTTTATTAAGAAATAGCTGTCCATCGAACCAAAGCGATCTATATGCAGTTTGCCCCGAATGGTAGTTCTCACCCACATCTGTTATCACACACAACTAGATTTACAGCAGGATATGACAATAAACGAACAGACATCATTTTATTAATGTAAAAACCTACGCCTCCACCGCGAGTGCGAACCGACGGTGGGCGGGGAATATGTCGAAGCCTGTAACCCGTCACCTGAGGAGCGCGTCCCGTCTCTCCCTCCCGAAGCCACGTCTCCTTTACGGCTAGTATGTCCACCTTCCTAGTGACCCTGGATTCAAGAGTCCAACCTTTAACCTTTCTCTACTATTTATCATATTGTCTTACAAAGTAATTCACAAACAGGTCTTTCACATAAGCAATTCTTTTTTTATACACGAGACGTTCAAATAATTCTAATATTTGAGCCAATGAAATCGCGACGTGCTCAGTATTTTCGCCGTTCGCCTCGAAACCTCCCGCGATCTCCACATCATTCATGAGGCATTGCTGCTCAGACTGATTCAGGCGTCTCTTCAATAGTTCTACTTCACCGTTTACTTCACAGCTATGCTGATTATTAGCCCCCAGCTGAAGCACGCTCTCTTCCAGTTTAGATATTCTAGATTCCATATTATCTTCTAATAATCGTGCGAAGGGATAAGATTTGATCTTTTAACTCCTCGAACGATGAAGCGACGACGTCACTTGATAATGCTAAAGAACCAATATCACGTAGTCGCATCGTTATGAGGTATGCTGCTAGCAGCAACATAATCTCGATTATTCTTCGAGCGAGCTATCAGACACGGCTTGTAGCATTTTTTCGAACTTGGACTTATTGCTTTTGGGCAATTTTTATGCAAGTGAAAATTACAGTCTTTGTCATCGAACGCCATCTGGAGCAATAGCAAAGAACTTCGCACACATAATTCCTTTGTCTTGATGGATTGGTCATTTCACTAGAATTCGTATTCAATTCATAGTGAAATCACCAATCGCTATTATACAGTTTTTGTTAGATTTTAACTTTGCTTAAGAAAGTTGCCCAAACACTTGCACTATCTTTAGTGATTTTTTGCGGATTTAACTCGAACGCCAAGATAATTTAAGTCCAAACTGTTTGTCTTGCTATAAACCTTTTTCCTCTCCGATACCAACAATACGGGTAGTACACATCAGCTAAAGGCACTTGTTGTCAAACACGAAACAGCTGATTTCAATATAGTCTCTTATCTCACACAAAACAACGAGTTACGTGTTACTAACACTCACTACAAAAATATAAGCTGTATAAAGCTACATTGTGCACTTTGCTTATAGAATAACTAGCTGTCCCGGCGACTTCGTCCGCGTGGAAGAGTGACTTGGGGCAGAATTTTTAATTATTCAGGCTGTTTATTAATTTATGTAAGGGCGCATTTAAGGCAGCTAATCTATGTTGTAAGTGCAACTCTGCCGCTACACTCCCACTCCCACTGCCGTTCTGTGTTCCAAATTTCATTTAAATCAGTTCAGCAGTTTCGGGTTAAAGCCGCACTGACAGACAGACAGACAGAGTTACTTTCGCATTTATAATATTAGTATAGATTTATTTAAATAAAAATGTATAAATGGTATAGATAACACGGTTTGATTTTGTTCGGCATTTCTATCACTTTGTTAAATGTAAAAAAAGTAGTTATAGTGATGTAAGTACAATAGTTAGACTAATAAGTCTCGCGATGTTTTTTGTAGATATTGATATATTCTTTAATATTGTCAAACATTTTTATGTCCTATCGTTAATACTCGTATGCGATGAAAGACATTTTATGGCATGGCATTTTTTACACCTCCCGTTGCTTTTAATAGTAATATCTGAAGATTTCTATCGTAATCTACTACTAAGTATAGTCTATTTCAGTAATAATGTAGCTTTCTAATGAAAAAAGAATTAATAAAATCGGTCCAGTACTTTTTGAGTTTATCCGTTACATATAAAAATACCAAAATACAAATAATAATAATAATAATTTATTTATTTAGCACTCACAACTTTACAGTGATTCAATGAAATTACAAGCTACTTTAATTTTACATGTATCACGTTGTGAGAGCCTGGTGCCTGTTATAGGTGTGTACATAACAGCCTGTGATACAAGTCACCAGCCCCCCTCGCCGCGAGCTCACTATAAAATTATTTGGACAATATAGAAAAGAACTTAGCTAGGTACTAAGTAACAACTTAGAAGAGCCTCTGCGTTTTTATTATATATATAAGAGTGTAATTGTGTTGTTGTGGAGGTATGTATGTATGTATGTGTGCATGCGTGTAATATCCGTATTTGTTATAATTGTTATGTTTAGGATTTAGCTGATAGGGGTGAGAAGCCTTTCAGTCTTCGTGTAATTACTCTTAAAATCACTTAATAATTTTAAAAGTTGTGATATTTTTTTTAAAAGATATAAGTTTTGACTATATATTTTAAGGTTGTAATTTAGTTTATTATAGAGAAATGGGCCAAATAACAGTAAAAGTGTTGGGATTGAGGTAGGTAGGTATGATAGGATTGATGGGCAGACATTATATTTTCGTGTTTATTTTTTAGAGATTTGTTGTATGTAGCTCTGAATGTTTCTTCATATGATTTGTAAGATAAATAACTAATATACACCCATTTAATTATTTAAATAAGATAAGATTTTCTACTTTAAGGAACCTACATCTTTGCGTTCTTTCTAGTTCAATGAGGTGAGTGTTTGCACTCCCTCCCCAGAAAATAACCCAGTATCCAATTACGGACTGAACTATTGCGTAATAGACCATTTTGATGATATTTATATCTGAGATGTGTCTTAGTTCTTTAAAAATGTATATAAGTTTTCGAATTCAAATAACAAATATTTCCTCTTTATAATATAAGTGTATATAGCTGTTGCTCACGATTTTCGCATCCCGTCGTTCGGGTCGTTCTTGCCAGTTAATCTTAAAAGATAGACATATATTTAGGGATCTCGAACCGTTTTCGCAGCGTACGCATCTGAAACCTAGAGAGATGAGAAATTTCCCCCGTTTTATTCACATTTCTCGCTGTATCTTCCTCGATAATTGCTCTAACCAACACAACAATAATTTTTATTCGAACCCGAACTTCCTGAGATAGGCGCGTTCAAACAAACAAACTTTGGAAAACATTAATATTTAAATAAAACACTTTAACGGTTTAAAACGCGATATATTAGTTAAATTTATTTGAAAATGATTTTTAACTTCGGCCCGACGTTTCGGATGCTTTGCAGCAGCCGTGGTCACGGGGAGACTAAAGATGGAGGATGTCTCTGACGTCGAAGTTAAAAATTCGAAGTTGGTATTTGGCGAAATTAGCCGGGTCCTTACAGAATTGACTAACGGTGTCTTTGCGTTTGCTGGTATGCTGTTTATTGGGATCCAGAGTTTTTAATATGGGATCCCAGGTGTTTGATAGTTTGAGGCCGTCCTCCCTATTGAAATTTCGGTGTTTTTTGATTTCAATTGCTTCGCGTACCAATCTTGGAAAAAATCGACTCTCCTTTGCGAGGATTTTTGGATGGTCAAAGCGAATGTAGGGATTGGGCCCTTCTGATGAGTGTTGGCATACCGCAGATTTGGAGAGACGTTTATGTTTTATATCCGCAACGTGTTCTTTAACTCTGTTTGAGATGCTACGCTTTGTTTGGCCGATGTAGGATAGGACAATCACAATCCAGTCTGTAAACGCCTGCATCTTGTAAAGGGATAGTACACTTGCTAGGTTTCAGGAACTGCTGAATCTTCTTGTGCGGCTTAAAAATTGTGTCAATAGAAGCTCGATTCAGGAATCTGTAAGTCCCTTCACATATGGTAGGTAGGCGGGCTGACGTTTGACTGTGGGTGGCTTGTTCCTGTTCCTGGGATGCTGCAGAGGGACTCTGAGCTTGTTCTTGCATAGGACCTGCTTGACATGCTGTAACTCCTCATTTAAGTGGGCAGCATCACAGAGACGGCGGGCTCTCTGAAACAAAGATACTCCGACAGAACTAAGTTGGCTGGGGTGGTGATGTGAGTCACCGTTCAAATACCTATCTGTATGGGTTGTTTTTCTAAAGACGGTATGCCCAATATTACCGTGTTCATCACGAATTACTAAAATGTCTAAGAAAGGTAGTGTGTTATTGTCCTCCTGTTCCATTGTAAACTTAATGTTATTATGAATTGAGTTAAGGTGTGTAAGAAATGCAGATACTTGTGCTTTGGGTAAGATGGTGAAGGTATCATCTACGTATCGCTTGTAAAGCTTAGGTTTAACCGGGGAAGAAGCAAGGGCCCTCTCCTCAAAGTCTTCCATAAAAATGTCAGCAACTAAGGGTGAAACTGGAGAACCCATGGCTACCCCATCTACCTGAACATAGAAATCCCCGTTCCAAAGTAGGTACCCGGTTGTCAAGCAATGTTCTAAGATATCCGCATATTCTATGGCATAGGCATGTTGTGTTTAATAAGTTTGCTCTTAAATATTTTACCGTTACCAACTTTTAGACAAATTCTAACAAATTTGTTAATTAATTTGTAAATACTTGGACTGATCGGATTTAATGTTTTTGAGCTTAATCGTTAGCCAAAGTACCAAGCTTTTCTAGGATTAAATAAAATATGCAGTAGGCTTTGAAAACTAACATTAATTATTTGACTGTTTTTAAAGGTGTAATGGCTTATAACTTTTTTAATTGTTGATAAAATAAAAAAGGAATCCTAGATTCGTAATAGGGAGGCAAACATCTATAGAAAAACAAAAATTATCTCAATTGTTTGGCCTTGAAGATTTAAAATTGGGCTTTCCTTTAATTTTAACTACAAATCATGCACTTTTGCTATATATTTTTATCAGGCGCTGTTATTTCTGAAGAAAAAAAATAGTTCATAGATTGTGTTTAGCTGTCATAACTGTTATATTAAACAGAACTTTCTAAAAGAGCTAAGCTATTTAATGTACCTTCAGTCGATACAAGTAAAAATTAGGTCGAGTTATGATTTGTAATATGTAAGTATACATATCTTCAAATAAGAAGTAATATTATGTACGTTTTGAATGAGGGACGTTTAAATAAATTTTTAATTCCTGTGATTGATTCATGTTAGTACGTTAAGGTTAAGTTAGTCCAAGACAACCTTTTAAGTTTTAAGAAATGTAAGTACTTAAAGTAGTGGGGTTACCTCAAACAATGTTCATACCGATTTTCTTAGAATGTTTAATCCGTTGAAATAGATTCTTCCCCAACGGATCCCAGACTTGTCGTAGCAGGTAATGTGCTCAGTAGTCGCTACTTTACAGACTAGTCTGTGGGTCTACCGACTGCTATGCATGCTATGATGTAACTGATTGGAAAAGGTCATGGGACTGCTCTTTTTTGTTTTATTTTCTTGAGTTTGTGAATTCTCGGGAGATATTGAGAGATTTCTCTTATTACAAGTGTTCTTGTTTTTGTCTAGTACTATCAGTTTGTCCTATTTTATAATGGCTCTATTTCCTTTTTCTCTCTCGATCTTTATTTGCTCCTGTAGGTAATTCTTTTCTTTTGTTTAATATATTTCGCAGATAGTCTTATCAATAACGATGTATTTTGCTTTATGTTTTTATCAGGCGTTTTAAATTTCAAAGAATTAAATTAGTTCAATTGTCGTTTTTAATCTTTAAAAGTGTTTATTGCTTTGCTATATAATTTACGCATTAAAATAACATACACTTTATTGGCTGTTTTTGAAAGTGTGTACTTTCAGTCAAACAAAACACTTTAAAAGGTCTCAAACCAGTTGGCTACCATTCAACAATAATTGTATTACATAGTATAAATATACAGTGTGAGGCATAAAAGACATTGAATGACAGCCATTCCCTTTTTCTAATAATCTTTTACCTATTCGTGAAGTTTAATTCTTGGATCCGTTTCTTCACATATTATAAGTATGTATGTATGTACCGAGTTAATTCTCATATAATTATTTGGCATACATTGTCGTGTGATTTGCGGCTTAATAAAATCATAATTTAGTAAAAATATAATTTATGTATTATAATTGGATTCTATAAACAAACGACGAATTACTGAGCCATCCTACGCGACTATACGTATTATTGTTACGACAAAAAATCATTTAACGGACGTTAAATAAAGTTTATTCTATCATACGGCTCGAACAAAAAATATTAGGGTATTTTTTTAAAGGTTTAAGTAACGTTGGGATCGATTTTCCATATACTTAGCGTCTAATAAAGTAAATTGAATCATGTTTAATACGAAAGTATGTCAAAGTACTAAGATGAGAACAACGAGCGTGGTCTTCTCGAAAAGAGTGATGACGGCTTTAGACTTCTTGGAACTCTTTTTAGGATTATCGGAGTGAGGTTTTGCCGGGACGTCGAGCCAGTCGTCGCGAAGGGCGCTCCGCTCGGCATTCGGCTCCGAGCGTATCGGGGAAGGCGTGCGCGAGCGCGTGGGCGAGGCCGGAGCGACGGGCGTCGGCGGACGCGTCGCGGCCATCTCGTCGGCTTGCGCTCCATAGTCCGCCGCGTTGTCGCCGTATTCGCCCGCCTTATAAAGTGTTGGTTAATAATTCACTATATAAAGTTACGACGAACGTCTACGTCGAACGTAAACGTAAACTCACCTTAAAGTCTGCTCGATTCGGTTCAAAGTCGGCGGAGAGTCTCGGATAGTACAGGATGACGGAAGCCGCGGTACGAGTCGGAGAGGGCGTCGCTCGCGTCGCGGCGCTCGGAGGGACGGTCGTCGAGTTCGCTTCTCCGACTCGGAGGCGGTTCGCGTGCGTGACGCTACCGACCGTCACTATCGTTCGAGTGTTGAAGTCTACTGTTAATAATCAATCACTGTTAGGTATATGACGCAGAAAACAGCATTGCGCAGAGCGGACTCTCGTACATATATGCGTGCTTACCGTTCAAATGTCCGGCAAATAATGTAAGAAAAGTGAACGACGGAGTCGAGGACGCGACGGCGACAACAGCAATGCCCGCGGAAGTGGGGTCTTCGTCGGAGTCGAGCCAAATCTCTGTGCACAATGACTTGCACTCACCCCTGTGTTTTGAAGTAAAATAAAAGAAGCATTCAAATCGAAGCGCATATTTGGAACTCGTAAAATGTGCGCACCTGCCGCAGAGGCGTTGGGTGTGCGCGCAACGTAGAAATCGGCGCCGACGCGCCACAGCGAGCGCGCCGTGCGTCTCGCCGCAGCGTCCTCTCCTCCCTCTTTGCGTCGCCCCGGCGCTCGCCGTCCGAGTCAGCACGCCGCAAAGAAGCCCCGCACACAACACGCCGCCGCCCGTTTCGCTCTACACATGACGATTTGTGAAAAAATAGAAAATAAGACGAGTCTTGCACGTCCGGCGAGCGCTAACCTCGCAGAGGGTTTCGCCGCGAAGACAGAGCTGTCCATCCCCGGCGGCCACCCAGTGAGGTACCCGGGCGGCACAGTGGAGCGCCGGAGCGCGCCGCAGGGAAACCACCCGCAGCTGCCGCGCTCCTTCATCATCGAGCAGCCGCACCGCGTCGCAGTCGACGACCGCTTCGCACTCGCCGGGCGTCGTCGCCATGAGAATAGGACGCGCGCGCGCTCCTTCGCCAAACGGCGCGTCCAGCTCGAGCAGTGCGACGTCGAGCGCGGGGTCGTCCGGGTCGGCGCCTTCTCCCGCCAGAGCCACGCGAACGACGCGCCGCGCTCCCGTTGCAGGGGACACGGTCGCCGGCGACGTCACCAGGGCGGCGGCCAGCGCCCACAGGCTTGAATCCGCGCGCGACGGATCCGGCCGGGCGCAGCTAGCACTAGAAAGCGCAGTTCGTAGCGACACCAAGGCACCGGAGCAGCGGCGCGCCCGAGCCGCCGAGTGCTCCAAAATCACCTGCGGCACCCGACCACATTACTGCATAGCGAACATGCTCTGTTCGAGTGAAGTATCTGCGAAGAGAAGCCTACCATGTATGGCGCAGTATCGCTCTCTTTATCGTCGATCTCGACGCCCGCGCCGGTCGCGCTGCTTTCGGACGATACGTCTGTACGAAATGCAATAGATATTATATTCATACGAGTTTTTCCGAGCCAATAATAGTAATAATAAACTCCATATTGCACAAACATAGACATAAGAACATGGATACATAGAATTATATATACAAAATAAAACATGTTTGTATATATAATATAAAGCCAAGTTCGTAATAAGTAACAAGTCTGGCGAGTACATTCATATAGCATGTCTCGTAACCTAAATTGCAAAAATATCCGAGTTCAATCGGTGGAGAGACACGGTTTATACTTAACCGGCGAGGGCGAGCAGCGTAAACAGGAGCAGCGACTTGGACAGCATCACATCGAGCGAAGCGACTAAGGTTTGCGCGCAATATAAACCTCTCGAAGTAGCGACATCACGATTACATATGAAGCGTGCTGTCACTTTATGCTCTTTATATGCGGTGACTCACTCCTTTATGTCGCTCGCTGTCTTTCCACCTTGACAGCGACCTAAAGACGTCAATTGTGGCATAGATAAAGTGCGAATATAGAACAGAACTAAAAGTCACAAGCGTAGTCTACATATTGTATATTCGAGGTAAAAATAAACATTAATGTTTTTAAGCGACGCGCACGGTGACGGCTCACGGGTCGACTTCCCGAGGCTTGATGATCCCGAGGCGCGTCGCCAGGGCGGCGACGTTGGCGCGCACTTCTTCCTGCACCAGATTGAAGGACATGGCCAGCAACGCGATGCCGAAGAGGAGATAAAGAGAGCACAGCGCAATCGAGTGCACGGCGTCTACGGGCGCGGCGTCCTCGAGGGCGCCGTGGCCTTGGCCTTGCGCCGGCACGAAATCGCCGAAGCCGATGGTGGTGAGCGTGATGAAGCAGAAGTAGGCGGCGTCCAGATACGCCCAACCCTCCCACCGCTTGAACAGGAATGTGCCCGCCACGATGTACGAGGCCACGAGGAACACGCACAGCCAGATCGGCACTGGCTTTATCTGACGAAACGAACTGAGTTATTTTGCTGTGTGCGAATTGGGGATGATTAAGATTGTTTTTGGAATTGTTGCCCGGGTTCAGTGTGATTTCTTTATGGTTTATTGATTAAATATTAATGGATACTGTTTTAACTTTTACCTGGAATCATATTCTGTCTGTTTTAAAATGATTAAACTTTTTGTTACATAATCGTTCGCATTTTTTCAATATATTTCAGAAATGGCATAATTATGATTGTTATTTTATTTATTTATATAAATATATATATAAATATATATTATTGTCAGTTGTGTTAGTTTTTGGGATTTTGGTATTATATTAGAAACCAGGTGTTTGATATCTTGGGGCCGTCCTAACTATTCATAAAAGCAAAGCGAATGTAGTAGTTGGGCTGTTCAGACGAGTGTTGACGTACCGCAGAGTGGAAAAGACGTTTATGATCACGACTTTAGCGTTTTAAACCTTAAATTTAAATTTGTACTACTACCGTTAACTATAGGCAATATTCAGCTATTGCATTATTATTAATAATCTCGATATATTCCGTAAAGTTTTACAGACTAAGCTAGATTTTGGTTATTTAAATAAAACACTTTAACGGCGGCCTGTGACCACGACTGCTACAAAGCATCTGAAACGTCGGGCCGCAGTTAAAATAATTTACAAATAAATTTAACTAATATATGTATATATCGCTTTTTAAACCGTTGTTAGATAATAAGTCAATGTTAATAACGTATTATATTTAAATGTGTAGGTATTACTCGGGTAAACTACAGACAGTATTTAGATTCTGATTTCGTATTATATTGTATTCACATGTTGTGAATGTTACTCTGATTAATTGGAGCCGGTTTTACATTTTCGCAGGCGATGGCGCGTGAGCGTGAATTTGCTAATCGAAAGCGTCAGGCGTTTCAAAAACCAACAATCAGTAAAACTCCTACACTACACAATTTGTCCCAATTCATTGAGGGTTACAATTTGAGTAAATATGAACTGTATTCGACTTACTTCTTCCTTTGTGTAAGTGGCGTACAAATCGGACTGGCGGGATCCCCACGCTGAAAGGAAAAGACGATATCGATTACGTCACGTGCGGGCTTCGGTTCAACCTGCATTATCAAGGTAGCAGGAGAGGCTCACCGGAAGATCGCAGAGGCCCCACCGTCGGTGCCCCATCGCTCCACTCGTCTCTATCCGGAGATGGCGACTGCAGACGAGGCGCGATTAGTAGATTTCGATTGCCATCGGTCGATAAGGTAATGCTTAGAGAGATGCTTTATACGGAAAATGCAAATATTTTGTGTGGGCTTTTCGATATTGTGTATTATTTGTTTGTGTCCGACAATGTTTATTCTCGCTTAATTATTTTTAATCAATGTCGAATACTAACGTAGTATCGGTGGGGACACGAGTCGTCTACGGTGCGCGAGCGCCTCAAACGCCTGCGCCCGCGCTCCTCGTCCTCGCATCGGGAGGGACTTCTGGCCCGGCGACGGTCGTACTCAAAGAAGGCGCTGCGAGCTCGTCCACCGCGGCGGCGCTCACTCGGGTACTCTTCATCGTCCCGTTCGCGGTACTCCGATCTTTCGCGGTCATATCTGCGAATAAATCACCGAATATTTCGACGTAAGACCACTAAAAACACAATATTCCGTCATCCGATGCAGCTCACCTGCCACGGTCGCCGGCCACGCTGCGGAGTTCACTCTCCGCCCTAGCCGGACGGGCCCCGTCTTCCTCGAGCGCGCGCCGCTCTCGGTAGTTCTCGTAGTCGACGTCGCGTAAATCGTGCATTTCGAAGCCCCGCTCCCGAGCTCGCCCGCGACCGCCTCGCGCCCCTCGCGGCACCGACTTACTGCGCGGTTCCGCTTCACACACTGATCGCTGATAGTTGTCTAACTCCAGCAAAGCCGCTCGTAAGTCTCGCAGAGGGAGCGAAATCTTTGGGAATCCATCTGAAGAAAGCGTCAAATTAGAACGGCCCAGCGACTAGTCTGCGACTGGCCTAAGAAGACGACTGCAACTGACCGCTCTCCTTTCGCGGTCGTCTGTCGTGTCCGAAATCGGGGCCCGAGAGATCGCCTTCCCGTTCCCGCTCCCGCTCCCATGTCGTCCCGTAATCTGAAAACGTGAAAAATTATGCTTTAGACGTTCTCCCCGTGTGACAATAGCAGTTTGTCAATACAGAAAATGATGACGCCCGAGTGCTTCACCATATTGAGGGCGGACGTAGCGAGGGGGCTGCGTGCGAGCGCGCGGAGCGGCCAGCGCGCGAGATTGCCGCGTACTGGCGTAGCCGCTATCTCGGTACCTGCAATACATTTAATCAGACATCATACGTAGCAATAACGGAAATTAGCCTCCCGATAAGGCTCACCTGCAGTCGGTGTCTGAATGCGAGCGCTCCACAGGCAGTAGGGGGCCCCGCGTGGCGACGCGGCGGCGGAAGGAGCTGCGAGCGTTCCGTCTGGAAATAAAACGCCGAATCGAAGATAAGGTTTTTTAATTGATTCGTTGGATTTTTCGATAGTGGGATAGTCGCTGCACCTCGAACGGCGAACGCGTTCCTTGGGCGGACGCGTACACACGTAGCAACAGAGGCGCCAGTACAGGAACCGGAAGGAAGAAGCCATCACGTCGCCGATATTGGAGAGACAGAGCAGCATCAGCGGGATGCCCAGAATCGCGTAGAAGATGGTGACCACTTTGCCGCTGTGCGTCTTGGGAGCGATATGCCCGTAGCCTGCGCAGACAAGCAAACGCTACATTAGCCGACGAAAATAAGACGATAACTGTGGACTTGCGTCTGTTTCACACAGTGTAAAACGTCACTTCTAGCTGGTCATTCGTGTTTATACAGACGTTAATCTAGACTAATATAATAATGTATTTTTTCATATTTTTTACGCATAATGCCTACGCTGCTTTCGTCTTTCGACGCATGCGCAAAAGGTATTTAATTAACGAAAGAACAAAAGTATCTTGTGCACAAAAAAGCACAATCAATCAATTACTACAAAAATCATCACATCACAACTGTTTTTTGTTGTTGACGACGACTGTTTACATACATTGCCAAGTCGATAAAAGTACCGACAAAAATTAGAACATGTTGGTCGTCGTTGGTGTCCCGTTGTTCTTGCTACTTAGTCTTAGACATATTATATATTGTCGCGGACATTTTTTAGATGGTTTAAAGCGTAATCATTCTTTCTTACATAGTTGTTGGGGTCTTGAACCATTTTCGCAGCGCACGCCACAAAAACTCACGATGTTTAATAATTTAAGGCTTAACTAATACAATTAATATTTCAATTCGAACCAGTAGTTCTTGAAATTAGCGCGTTTAAACAAAGAAACTCTTCAGCTTTATAATGTTAGTATAGAATATATATTTAATATTATCCCTATAAAATCGTTTACCCTGCGATCAAAACTGTCTATTATACAAATAGTTCTTGCGGAGCTGACGACGGACAGTGCTGATTACGTGATCGCACGAAGCCGCACAATACACGCTTATAGACTGCAGCATCATTGGGTCACATTTGGTGTCTCCAAGCACCTTGAAAGCACGCGTGGGCGACGCTAAGTGCCTCGTGGCCTCGAGAAATGGCCCAGGGGTAGTGTGGACACGCCCCGTAATGTTTTTTGTACCGTGCGAAAATGCGACGAACATATATTTTAATAATCTACAAATGTTGCAATTAATTATTATAACAATACAAGGTTTGCCAGTTTTGCTGGTTAAATTATATTTTACATTTTTTTCGGCACTTTTGAGTCGGCGACATCACTTTAGTGGCAGGCATCGATCGATAAAGACGACCGGTAATAGTTACGTAGTTTTTGTATACTCATACTTTGACCGAAAATCGAACCCGGACCGACCACGTTGAAAGCGAGCATTGTACGGTGTACCGCATTATCGTGATGTTCAAACAATGTTAACTTAATGAATTTGTACACGATGGAGTACATGGAAATAAAAACGGAACATTATAGTACTCTCAAGTTCACGTATCGGTTAATTTTGGGAAACATGAAATAGCGTTGTGGCCTCAGGGTTTTCGCCGGTTGCCGATTGAGCAAGAACAACTATGGCCGGCAGCCGCCAGGCGCTAGTCCTTCGCTGCACTTCACTCGAGGCGCAGCAGTGCAGAGAGCTGGCGGATAATGGCGCGTTTAGGTCAGTTTTTTAACTCTTTGTTCATATCGCCCTTAGTAGAAACGATCGCACGCATAGCACTTTTGGCGTTTTCTAAAGATTTTCATCAAAAACTGGATGTTTATTAGGTGTGTTAGACACGTACTAGCTTTCTACGCGACTTCAGCTGCGTCGATAAGCTACCCTGGATAGCTTTCATATTTATAAATACCATTAGAAATGTAAATCTAAATTTAATTTCATTCTTTTTTTTACCCTAGCATCCGATTTTAATGGAATCATTTGCAAAGAAATATTTCTGCATCGCTTTGTTATGTATGTATCGCTATGATTGTAGGAATTAAAACGTTTCGATAAAATAAGTCGCATTTATTATTAGAAGGCCATTTTCAAGAGATAGTCCGCGACCTCGACCTGCTAAATGCCCAAAAAGTCTTAAATATAATTCATAAGTCTCGTGTACTCGAATTATGAATCGTTACGTTTGTGATTGGCGCCGACTAAGCGTGAATCATTCGCGCATTAATCTGTGTAATTGTTTGTAATAACTAATAGGCGTTGCGGCGACTTCGCGCTGAGACAATGCGCTGGCGTCAGATTTAATTTGTAGCATACAAGATTGGTAAACGATTGCAGGACTGTGTTGTCTCGCACTCTTGGCTTGGAGCCGATGCGTTCGGGCGGAAGACTGGCGTTGGCCGTCCGCGGGCAGAGAGGAAGCCAGGGCCGACTCATCGGAGACTCAATCGGTGGTCCTCGATGCCAAAGTGGCTTTCGTGGACCCCGAAGGGTCGCTTTCGCTGGAAAGGTGACCGTCGAATCGCTCTCTTTTAATGAAAACTCTAAATCATGAGATAATTAATTGAGGATATCGATTTGTATCGTACACGCGCAACGTTCCGCTCGGCCGGCTAGCGCCGCCTTGGCCGACATCTTCGCAATCATTTGCTATACTAGCTTTATTTTCGTTTATAGAGGTGAACGTAATGAAAACGTAGTTCGCGACGAATACGAGTCGGCGTTCCAGCCCCCCGGAGACTCCGCTGGCTTTTACGATCGCCCCCCGAACGCCCGGCGCTTCCCCGTCGACTCAGGTATTTATCGGTAGCGAGCAAATGTATCAATTTTTGTTCATCATCATACTTATTATTATGATGATTTACTGTAACCGACGAGCAGGAGAAAGTCTGTTGTTATTTTATTTTTCAATCCACCGCAGGAGGACGAGATTCGGGCGAGAGTGAGTCCGCTCAAAGAGGCGTCTTGATAGGCCCAAAAGGACCCACAGGATTCGTCGGTCCCGTCTACGCCCGCCCTATATTAGTGGGGCCCGGGGGCCCGACCGGCATCATTGGTCCCAGACGGCAAGCTGTATTAGTCGGTCCCGGGGGCCCCACCGGTATAATTGGCCCGAGAAGACAAAACGTTCTGATCGGCCCCGGGGGTCCAACGGGTATTATCGGTCCTAGACGACAGAGTGTATTAGTCGGGCCAGGGGGCCCTATGGGCACCTTCGGACCCAGAAGGCAGGGCCTTCTAGTGGGGCCGGGTGGGCCCACCGGAATTATAGGCCCTTTCTAGGTGCTCATGGCGGTCCCGACGTTTATTCGGTTCGCCGTCCCACTGGCCTGGTGAATTCGGTAAAAATTCAAAAAAGTAACTTTAGATAGTTAGTGTTGTATCAGTCTGTGATAATTAATATTATTATTAATGATCTTTCAATCGTCAGTGCGATCAGTTTGCAAGTGATCGCTCTATGTTATATGTAGTTATAGATAAAGTTACTCTCCCTGCAGAATAGCCTGTAGTAATCTCTACCCTGAAGTATTTAAAGATGTTTGTGTTATGTTTCTTCGGCATTTTTGTAATGTTGAATAAGTTATATGTAATGTGATGCAAGCCTGATAATCAATAAAAAACACATTGAACATTTAGTGATCTTTTAAGTTTAAATCACACGTCGAACCATGTAGCTTTTGTAGGTATCTTTGTAGGTACAATTTATTATAGTACTTCAATTCGAAGAATAATAAAATCGAGTCTTAAGCGCTTCATTCCCCTAAGCTCACCTGCATATTGTTATTTTCGTTAGTGACTAACTATGTCTGCGCGTGGCGTAATACCGATAGTGGTGATGACGATGATGGAGTAAAACAGCGCCCCCGTGAAAGTCCATTGGATGCGGTCGGGGCTCTCGTTGCCGTCCCATCCGCGCACCTTCATCTCTAACAGGATCGCGTTCTCGAAGTCCTTCGGCAGAGAGAATGGAGATATAGCTCCGCGGGCCACGACCGGGTGACGAGACTGACTGAGAAGCCCTTACCTTCAGCATGCCGACGACGTCCGCGGTCCAGTTGGCCCGATTGAGGTAGGCGACGCGCTCGGTCATGAGCCAGATGCTATGCGTCGTGTTCCCGCGGATCAGCGAGATGTTCCTCTTGACTTCCCGCTCGTGCTGCGATTCGAGTCGCTCAAACGTAACAGCACCGAGGATACAGTAAGCTACCACGAGGCTGATCATCACGAAGTGCGAAAACACCACCGAGCACAGCTTCCACGTGTAGTACAGAAACTGCAAACGATGCGAATTTACAGTTGAATGTGACTCAATGAGTCACGTTGGCTGCATTTATTGTTAGAAAAGATAAGAGATCCTAATTCAATCTATTTACGAAAAGAAACAGTCAATATTTGTCCAAGTAGTACACACAATAGACTCAATAGTTCATCGAAATTTACTACAAAATGTAATCAGGTTATTTAAACATCTGTTTAATTCCTTATCCAAATATTTTTTTCCCAATGACGAGTTGTTGCTGAAGCAGTTTGCTTGTTTGAATGCGCTTATCTCAGGAACTATTGGTTCGAATTGAAAAGTTATTTTGTGTTGATTGGACCATTTACCGAGAAAGGCTTTAGGGTTAAACACCAGGATACGACAAATAGAAAAAAAAAACAGAGAGAAATGTGAAGAAAAAAACAGGGAAAATTATTTAAGCGGCGTAAGTAGTTTCAACTAAAAATATTACTATTATACCACATATAGTCACCCTCGTTAAGAGGGGGCCAAGTACCTGTTGTTCTGTTGATTTATTGCCCGAGCCTTGGGCACGACTCACCGTCAATTAAATGAAACGAATGAACTATATTCAAATGTATGTAATTAACGCTATTTTTAAGACCATCGTACAAAATGCAGTTGAATGTAGTAAGGAAAAATATGTTTTCGTCATGACAGTGTTTGATTCGCTTTGGTGAAACATGAAACTTAAAACGCCTGTCAGATATATTTGAGCAATTCTGCGTGCAATAATTAGACTTTTATATATTTTATTTATAAAAACTAATTATTATTATATTTTACAGTCAAAAGGTAATCGTGGGTAACGGTCACTGAAGGAAACGTTTACGGGGACGCCTTAAGCCGATTAAGGATTATAAGTTCTGCCAACAAAACAATATATAAATCATTATGTACCGGAGGATCGTGTATACGATACCTTAGCGCAATTGCTTGGCGGAGGCGGATACTCCAGCCGCTCGGTGCGGCCATGTTTCCTGGCCATCAGGTAATGTGGACGAATTTCTTTTCACTTATTTTATAACGACCTATCCAGATCGGTAGAAATAAACGACCGCGTCGCATCGACGTCTGCGATACGCGAGTGTACGGCGGACGCGCCTCAAATACTTCTGGTTTAATTCTGGATTCTGGGGCGAAGTTATGGATTTACGATCGTCGTGACGCACCACTCACGATTTTCGCTTTATAATTTTCTTCAAATGTTACAAACTGAATTACACAGAGATGACTCCATGAGATCCACTTTAGGATGAGCTAAGCCTCATTAAAACCGGTCACAACCATTTGAAGACATTCAAGGTTAGAAAACTCCAAGGCCAGAGAGATGGCGGCTTCAATTTATACAGTTTAACCGATACGAAGAGTTTGCTTGTTTGAACGTGCTAATCTCAAGAACTTTAGGTTCGATTTAAAAAAATCAAAATGGTTGTGTTGGTTAGAGCATTTATCGTGGTAGGTATTAGACTATAAAACATCACACTTCGACCAATATTAGTGAAGAAACATTGGGAAATGTGGACAAAACGGCAAAATCATTCATTTTAAATATCTTTGTGGTTTTCGCTGCGTTAATGGTCTTCAAACGGTCTAAAAAATGTCTTATATGTACGCTTATATTTTAAAATTAATTTGCAAGAACGACGGGACGCGGACGCCGTCGTGGGTAACCTCCCCATCCTTATGAATGATGATCCTTATGGGGAGGTTTGCAAAAACAAATTTTGATGCCTTAAATAAATATTCTACACAGAGGAAGCTTCTAGCGCAGCTAGTAATGTCTATACGGGTGGTAAGGTTTTTAACATTATTTAAGTGTTATTAATTTTTCATAGATTCTGTATTTGTTTGCACTTTTAGATAAATTTTATAGACAAAATTAAAAAATTACGAATAAATTTTCTTATTTCCTTCCTTAAAAAGAAAACAATGAAATAATTGATCAACAGAAACCACTAAAAATATTATAATCTGGACGTGACGTGTTGGTCGGAGATGGACGGTGCCGGCAGCGGACGACCCAACATCTCCGCGTCGCGGATGGTGTCCGGCAAACGGGCGTGCAGGGTCTCCGGCGTGGTGAGCATCAACGCCCCAGCTAGAAGGGCACTCGTACCGAACAGAACCGTAGGCAGCCACTCGACGTACAAGGCCAGAAGGGGCATCTGTGGGGCGACGATTGAGCCGAGGCGTCCGAGCATCGAGCAGAAGCCGAGCAGCGAATGTCGCGCGTGCGTCGGGAATAGCTCCGACGTGTACATATAGATGCCGTTGAACGCCTGCGTGATCGCAATCTTTCCCACGAGGTACAGGGCTGTCGTCACCCACGCTGGATCTGTGCACAAGAAGTATTTTCACTACCGATACCGCTACGGGCCGCTGCATTAGCGATCGCAGAAAAGAAAATTACGCTTACATTTTGGAATAAATGCGATGGCAATCAGGGACACACCACACACCAGGAAGGCGAGACACAGAGTGCGCTTGCGCCCAAACCGGTCAAGAACTAGGGCGTTCGTGACCACCGCCACCACCTCCACGCTCACTACTAGCATGTAGTTGGTATACTTATCACCCGCTAACGAGACAGAGTTGATAGCCAGTCCGTAGAACACGAAGGTGCAGGTTATCCACCAGCACGAGCACACTGCCAGACGCCACAGTATCACGGGTGAGCGCAGCACCTGTTTCCATACACCGCGACCCTGTGCGCTTTCGTTGTGAACGACATTTTTCTCGTCCTCGTCGACATTCGACAATTGTCTAAGTAATTCTTCCGTCAGCGTCACTCCATTGGTTTCGGCCGCCTTCGTGACAATGCGGAGAGCTTCTCGCTTCCGACCTTTCGAGAGGAGCCACCGTATGCTCTCAGGTAGAAAATATATGTAAGTTATGAAGAGTAAGGAAGGTGGATAAGTCACGATAATGAATGTCCGCCAGTATCGAAGGATCTTAGCGAGCAGCGCGAAGCAGAGACCGCCTAGCACCAGCACAATACCGAGGAACGCCGTCGTCAGCACGCGCTTGTCCTGGCCGAGCAACTCGATCGCTGAAACCAGAGGAGAAGCGTGGGAGTATGGAAGACTTCTTCTGCGTGAGGATTTCTATATCGACTCGACTAACTTATGATATAAGCCGCTGGGAAGGCGCTGGCGCCAGCTATCGTCTCTAGGAACTCGATCACAATATACATTTCATAGGAGATCGAGAACGCTTTTAGTGTGCCGACGGCGCCCACTAAGGTGCAGCTGAGAACGAGCGCTCTCTTTCGACCCCATCTGCAAAGAAACCTGCATTAACTACAAAAAGAAGGTATCTACTCTTTGCCTATGTTACAAGAGTTTCCGGAAGATTGACCTGTCCGAGACGTATCCGATGAGAGGTACGGACACGAGCATGCCGACGTTATGCACTGTACCCACGAGCGTGCGCTTCCAGTCTTGACAGGCCAAATCAAACTGTAACACGGAACGAGTCGGTTGAAGCACTTTTTTCACGTTCCCCAATTAATACCTAGACTCGGTTTATACTAACTTCAGCGACGATCGACTCATTAGAAGCGTACTCGAAACGAGTGCAAAGTCGCAGTTCCTCCGAATCGGCAGGAAAGTCTAGCGGCGGTGGGCCGCAGGGTGAATCGACCCGTCGGTAGCAGCGTTGCAGCGGCGACCCTCGCCCCTGGGACCATGTCGTGTTGACCTCACCATTGCATTCAGGCATAACACATCTGCAAAAAGACCACTCTCAACGCTCACTTTTATCGTAAGGTATCATTCAATAGGTTATAAGTGCCTACATAATTGTATCTATAGCCGAAATAGCGTAAAATTACTGAATCATTGCGTGTATATGTAGTTGAAAAGATGGTAACGCCTATTCCTCCGTCGGTATACACTACCATTATTATTCCTTGTATTCGCAGACATAAATGGTCTCTTGTGTTACATTAACGAGATCCCTTCCGGTAATTATCTTCAGTCGAGAACATAAATCATATGATCTCCATGGTCCTTACATATTTACAAACACTGCCGTTTTTCATTGGCGCAATGGATGCAAAATGTTTGTAGATTCATTTGCGGCTACTACTGTCCCGAAGTAAAGATAGCATTGTGTATTACATTAATCAACAATTATTATAGCGTCGTTATCCTTCTTCAGTATGTGTCGGATTAAAGGCGCACGTTTATGTACGAGAATTCTTGAATGTCGCATTTATGATCACCTTAATTTTATTCTTATATAACTAGTTAACTAGTTAATATACACTACAATAATACCCCTAATTACTTTCGTAAAACGACCACACTCGTCGACACACACGATAACACTTCATACATCAATTAATTTCTACTACTTATGATGCGGGAGGGGTGAACTTTTCTGAACTTAAAGCGACTCGAAAAGTTTTGACCGTTCAAAACAGGCTTCAGGAAACGTATTCCCTACCGATAGGGCACGTCTGCTGCGAGGAATACGTAATTGATTCCGTAAATGGCTGCGGAAAAGCCGGCGATCGCCACTAGAACATAGCACCGCCGGTGGAACCGCCCCAACTGCCCCAGCTCACGCATCACCCGATCCGCGTCGATCTCGTTAGCCGCCATCCTCCTCATAAGCACAGGCTCCGCAGAAAATGGCGGACCGCACGCTCGCTTGCGATCCGCGACCGAGCGCTAATGGCATATTATTCGATCGCCGGTAAGTAAGTATCTCTCTCCGTTCTATTCGCAACTGAACGCTGTCGGGCTGCTTCGAAGCGAATGTTTAGTTTTAGTCGACCGACGTCACTTTTCAAATGAAACTCGTTTTGCCTGTTTCGTTTTATTTGACTTAGCTCCGCGCTACCTCGCGACGACTGCGTAGGCCTACCTAAGCAGTCGGCGCAAGCTAACGCGTACGTTATGGGACGAAAGCAATGGGAATAGCCATCGTCGCCCCGTATCTCTTTAACACCTAAAAGGCACATCCCCGGCCAGGAACACGTAGCTTATGTAGTAAAAACAGGAAACGAAGCAGGCGAGCGACACGAGCAGATAGTTAAGCAGGTGGAAGCGACGGAAGTGCCCCAGCTGGCCCATAAGAGCCTCGAAGTCGACCATCTCCCGACCGCATGCGTAGACTGCCCCCGAGCGATGAGCGCGCACTACAAAAGCGCTAACTGGCGTCGAGAACCGCCCGCGGGACCCGTCGTTCGTGAAATTGGAAGCATCAATGAACGGCTTCCGAAATGGCTTTGTCACCCGAATAACGTCGCCATTGTTGCGCTTCGCCTCGATTTGCTCACAATGATATGATTGCCCCCGCTGACAGTACTATCGTGGGAATCCTTCGGTGAAATACGACAAGTTATGTTACGCGTACAAGTCACATTATTGGACTGCGAATATGTTTCTACTATAATTGAAGTTAAGAGATTCAAGCGAGGGCAATAATAATTCAACAAATTTGATCTTTCTAACTTGTCAGCGGTTCCTTTGCAACAAGTTTTCGCTCTGACCCTAGAGTCAATTGAACTTGAGTCGGAATCGCTCTCGAAGGACTGTTGCCTATAAAAACTGCAAGAGATACATTACCGTCTTAAATGAAATATTTTAATATAAATATTTCAAACGAATACTTATATGTTTTAATTGCATTAATTAAATATCTTTTGCAAACCACTCTAAAAAATACCGCTTTTTAACAGTAGTTAAATTGAAAGCCTCTTTTATAGGCATTACATCGATTAAAGATGATAAAAAAATAAAGATAAAATGAAAACTGAGCAACTGAGTAACGTAGAGCAATAACGGACATAAAATGTTTTGCTCTATCTTCTAACGAGAAGTAATAGCCATTAGTTGATTTTTAAAATAGAGATATTAAAACTCCAGACTCTTAATCGAAAACGATTTATTTGTCATTACGCCTTAATAATCAACAATTAGTCAACGAGTAATGACATTCATTACTTTATCAGAATATTAACTAATGAATTAGTCTTTTATCTCTTAAATAATAAAATATGTTAAAGAAATCCTTATATTTGCACATAAAATAGAAGATTGGGGATCGGTGGATCGTATGCTTCTGTCGGTCATATTCCCTGCACATTTTTATAAAATTATGCTTTTTTATATAGGACAAACGAGGAGCAAACGATCCCTTTCGCCAGGCGCCGGCAGTTTTAAATATATCGTGTCTAAGACTGTCCCGGGGTGGGAAGACAAATATCGGTTGAGAGGTTTATTCCTTTTTGGTTTTGTCTGTAGTCCCCTCGACGACGTGCCGATCTATGGTGGTACGAGGTCGAGACTCAGTGTGCGAAGTGTTTCCCCTTCTTTTGGAAAACTAGACAATTTGGTACGGTATCCAGTCCAGAGCGGCCAGGCTCGGGGTAAAGCGGAATGGAAACCGTCGAGCGCACGAGAGACCCACCGACGGCTGACGACCGCGTATTTTGAATACCGAAACCTACATCCTAAATATCGAGTCTTCACATATTAATCTATAACGCTTATATATATGGACTAACTATTTTTTAAAACAATATTTAATATCGTTTGTCTTTTAACTTATACGACCGTGGTGCGACGTATCGGTTTGAGATCGGAGGGCGAAGGGCGAGGTCAAGGCGCAGCAGAGAGGTCAGTGGCGCTGGTATCGAGGTCCGCGAAAGAGTCCGGCAGGGCGCGCCCCAACGTGTCCGGCACCAGTCGAGTGAGCGCGGCGCTCAGCAGCGGTAGCGCGCCCAGCACTGCCGTCGGCACCCAGGCCCCGTAGGCAGCGAGGAGCGGCATCTGCGGCGCGAGAATCGCGCCGATGCGGCCGCACGTCGAGCAAGCCGCCAGAAGACGCTGTCGCGCCCGGGTCGGGAACAGCTCGGCCGTGTACAGGTAGAGCGCGTTCAGCGCCATCGTAGCCCCAGCTTTGCCGGCGAGGAACAGCGTCGTACCGACGCCGGCGGCGCCCTCGGGCAGGCAGGGAATGGCGATGAGCGCCACCGAGGTGAGCAAGAAGGCAAAGGTGAGAAGCGGCCGCCGCCCTGCGCGATCCAACAGCAGCGTGTTGAGCACCAGTGCGGGTAACTCGGCGGCAGCGAGCAGCGCGTAGTTGGCGTGCGCTGAACCCGCCAAAGCGTGCGAGCGGACCGCCAGGCCGTAAAACACGAACACAGCCGACGCCCACCACGCGAAACAAACGCACAGGCGTCGCCGAAGTGCCCCGTACCTGAAACATCAAGAAACGCTTTTTCATTAAGTACGTCTTGTAATAAGACCGGTAAGTCAAGTCGCGGCCGCTCACTTTAAGAACGCTCTAAACAAGCTCTCTTCTTCGACTGCGACTGCCACCTTTTCCGGGAGCCGGTCCGCCTCGAGCATCCTTTGCATCGCGTCTTCGGGTACGGCGACCCCGTTGACTCGAGCGGCTCGCTTTACCGCGGCGACGGCTTCGTCGATGCGTCCGTTGGCAAGAAGCCAGCGCACGCTCTCGGGCAACAGCCACAAGTAGAGGACGAGAAGAAATGAGGGCGGGTAGGCGAAGCGCGCCCAGGTGCGCCAGTAGCCAGTGACGTAGTCGAGTAGCGCCAGGGATGCCGCGCCGGCCGCGAGCGGTACGCCCAGCAGCAGGCTGGCCAGAATCCTTTGCTCCACTCCCAGCCACTCGATCACTGCAAGGCGAGTGTACAGATTATTATCGCTTGGGAGCCGATTGAACCGATACCGATTCGGTTTCAAATGATACTTCAACTTACTAAGGACAAAAGCGGCGGGATAGACACTGGCTCCGAAGACGGTCTCGGAGAATTCCATGACGAGGTAGAGCGGATAGGAGCCGGCGAAAGACTTGCAGAGGCCGAGTACGCCGGCCCCCGTCCCGCTCATCACCAACGCTGCTCTACGACCCCATCTGCGGAGAAAGGCAGATTATTGATTACCAAATATATAGAACGGAACTGGTGTAATATTCTTAATAAGTCTTTATTGCACAAACATAGACATAAGAACATAGATACTTAGAATTATATATACAAAATAAAACATGTTTGTGCAAAGGCGGGCTTATCGCCTTTGCCATATATCTATTAATACTAGCTGTGACAGCGAATTCCTTCGCGTGGAATTTTGAGCATTATATTATTTGAATAAAACTAATATAAAGCGCGAAGCCCTCAAAGATAAATAGTTTTTCTCGTTTTCTACGTTTCTCTCTGTCTCTTTGCGAATACTGGTCGGAGCCTTATATTTTATAACCTAAATCCTTCCTCGGTAAGTGATCGAAGCACATACAAATATTTTTTCAGATCAGTTCGAACGAATAGTATCTGAGATAAGCGCATTCAAACAGAGAAACAAACCAACAATAATATTATTTTTATAGGTTTGGGTGATCTATGCCAATACTAATATTATATAAAGATTTGTATTTGAGCGCCAACTTCCAAAATTCTTTCATTATTAATTTCTAGATAAGATTAGGGATATTCACTAAAACGTTAGTAAAGTGACCCAATTAAAAAAAACGATACAAAACTTTCGTCGCATCCACTGTGAAAACTGTCGATGAAAGAACACGAATAGGCTCAACAATATTAAACAACATACCTGTCGGACACGTAACCCATGATCGGCAGCGACACCAGCATGCCGACGTTGTGCACGGTGCCCACCAGAGTGCGCTTCCACTCCTGACACGCCAGGTCGAACTGAAATTCGCACGAACAACGGTCAACCTCTGACGGTACGAACGAGTAGAAAAGGCAACGGTTCCGTTGAATCATACCTCGGAGACGATAGAGCTGCGGTGTCGATACACGTGCGAGTAACATCGATCCAAAGTGGAGTTGTCGAAGGAGACGCGGTCGCACAGGCCGCCGCGTGGTCGCGGGCGCACGCACTCGTCGCCTTCTCGGAGCGCCCAGATGCCCCATTCGGGGGCCCAGCGCGCGGCCTCCGGAGCCGCCGACAGCGAGCTGTTATCCTCGCACTCCGGAATGTGACATCTGTAGATATCGACAAAAATTTATCATAATTCGTTCGAAAAGGCAAAATATAGGCACTCAAGTAAAAAGAATGTTCTGTTTTATGGGACTGTGTTTCTTCAACCGCCATCATTTGACAATCAATGTACATACATAGCTCGCCGTCGTACTGTAACTGAACGTAATCAAATAGACCTAAAATTATATCCATTAGAGATCAAGTAAACTACGCAAAAGCTACAACCCAGAACATTTAGTGTCGGTTTGAGGAAATCTTCGGAATGAACGTCGTCGTAACTGAAGTTAGACAAATAAGGGCTCGTGTAATAACCACTGCTAACTGGTACATGTAAGTCTCGGCCTACCTAACTAGTTCTATTTTAAAAGTAGTTAGACCAGTGTTGGTGTATTTTTAGTTCGAGCATTCTTACGATATCATAAATGCAGGGTGCGGGGTGCGGGGTGCGCGAATACACGAAAGACTTCAAATGTCGCATCAGCATCTAGACTGACAATTGTGTCGAAGCGCTTCCGGCAAACTCAGAAAGCCAGGTGGCACGTTTAGTTATCTTAATCGAATACTTCGTTCGGTTAGGTGCGGGGGGCGGAGGGTGAGCTTATCGGTTAGCTTTTTGCGCTCACGTGACTTCGTTTCGCCTTCGGCCACGTGACCGCCGAGTCGGTTGAAGGTCATCCGCTCACTGCTCACTCGGAATATTCCCATCGAACTGCCCAACGGTGGACGGCGGACGGCGGTGGCGCGACACGCGTCGTTCAGAGATAAAAGGCGGAAGGCGAAGTGAGCGCTCAAATAACATAGATACCGATAGAGAGCACAAATTGAGTCGTTTCAAGTTTTAAATTCGAATTGATTATTTATGATGTCTAAACTGTTTTTTTATGAACGACTAATGATTTATTCATACACATTGTGAAGCATAAATTATCTTTGTTTTCTTTGCGAACTCGCTATCGGACTACGAATCCGCCGCCGGCCTTCGTTCCACGTGTCGGTTGTCGGGGACGCAAAATTCGATCTGCACGCTTGCAGTTCCTACTATCTATCTATCTATACTTCTATACGAATATATAAAGCTAAAGAGTTTGTCTGTTTGTTTGAACGCAACAATCTCAGGAACTACTGTTTCGAATTTAATAATTATTGTGTTAGTTATAACATCGCCCTGTGACTAATACAAGCGAAGGTAAAGCGAGAAATGTGAAAAAAATTGGCAAAACTATTCGGTTGAAGATAGCCAAAAAAAATGTATGAAAGGATGATTCTTCTGATCCTCTAATAATGATCTAAAAATAAGTTTCCGACGCTATATGTCTAACTTTTAAGATTAACTTGCTAGAACGACGGAAAGGGACGCGACCGGCGTGGTGTGTAAGTTTATAAAGATGAAGGGGTTTGCAATAACGAATTCGGATGCCTAAAATAACTCTTCTCGCTGACACAGCTAGTTCCTAATATGTATTACAAAAGGCATATGGAACACTAGAAATATTGAACTACCCGCATTCTTCTTGTTATGTAGATTAGACATGGGAACAAATCACATATACAGACATATTAGTACATATATATTTTAAGTGCTATGTAAGGCCGTTTGATTGTAAGTTCAAATAAATAAAATAAATATACTCCATAAAAGTACGTACTCGACGCGGCATAACACCACCATTCGTGGGAAGTTAGTTTAGCACATGGCAAGTGACGAGTGATTTGTCAAAACGTAAAAGAAGATGATATCACCATTTTTGAGAGAGAGTTCCGGAGATACCTTCGGAAATGTTCGATGTGTACAATTCATTTTTTTACTGAGCGCGAGTTTTAAATTAGTAAAGTTATAATAAAGAGTTTTAAATAAGTTTTAGATATCCAAAAATGAAACGTCTTAACCCTCATTTAACGCGAAACAAATCGATAAATTAATTTCTAAAAATAGGCAGCTTGCTAAGAATCAATCATCTTTTTTGCCTAAAAAAACGCAATAGAAGTAGGAAAGTAACGAAGGCGTTCGCTTGACTAAGGCCAGTTCGAAGGCAGATTATAGTCGATTTGTCCAGGCACCGGAATAAGACCGTAACGCGCGTTGTATCATCTTCACAATATACATATTATACAGAAACTATGCCGCCTAAAGCTCACGCTTAAACACGAGAGCAAACGATTTCACACAAAACGACATGTTAGTTGCCGAGTTGCTTATCGCCAAAACACGGCCACAAACGGGACGAGGAAACGGGCTGCGGTCGCGGGTCGATAGGCAGATGTGAGACTGTTAGTTATATCTTCACTACTTTACGTTACTAATGGATGTACGAGCAAATGAGTTACAATTGCTCTATCAAAGTGCACAAACTAAAGAATAGATGAAACACACAAAAGGCTTAATGAACACCAGTTTAACGTTCTGTCAATAACCAATATTATTATGATTACGTCACTTCGTATCTGCTGCGCACCCGCTATCCGTAAGTGCCCACTGAATAATACATGAATAGTAAAAGTCTAAAAATGAGTTTTCTAAAATATGACCCAAAAAAAATCGAACTTGTAGAAAAAGTAAAGTAAAGTTGTAAAGCCTTAATTTACATACTTACTATTGATTTAGCTTTAATACATTATATTTAAATATTTTTATGGGAGGTTATAGTCGATGTGTTTCCCTGACGGACCCTGTTTCTGAGGGATTTTTTTTATAGAGGGAATAGTTCATTTTTGTTTTACATAAGTACTTATTTTTATTGAACAAAACGATGCCAGAAAAAGTAGTCGGTTCGTTGAAATACCCTCTGATCTGACTTTGGGCTTCGATCGCTCCGGCAGCGGGGGCCCACGCCTGTGCCTCGTGCCTCGCGCCGATACTGCGGCCGGACGAAGCCGGCTCACGGATGAGGTCGGGTCACGGAGTCATCCGCTCCCGTCACAACAAACGCGTCTCTAATCCGACGGTCAGCGGAACGCGGGAGAGCGACGAATGTTCGATGTCAATATTCATTAAAATATTATTCCTCGATGATAGCAAAGCCCTTATCAGTTTGTTTTCGGCGTTTTGTCGTTTCAGTTTTTTAAGCGTCGCAATGACCTACTGACTTCGCTCGAGACCCCCGAAGCGGTCGATCGTGGTCCCGTTATTATTGAAATTCATCTTATCTCTAGCGTTCACGCAGATCGTTATTCGGCGGATCTGTTTAACTTTTGACCATTAGTCGAATGAAAGTCGCGGGTTTGCGCTAAAAATACGTAGTGAAATAAGAAGGCCGCGGTCCTTGGGGCTCGATGGCTCCGGGCGATTAAGCGGAGAGATCGAAAGGAGCGCGTGAGTCACTACAACGCACTATCCACTAATCCAGTTTAGCCGGTTGTCTTTCTGTCGGCGTCCACGCACTTCTTACACATTTCACCAACGAACGACTTGGTCACCGCGATCACTCGACGCGGTTATTTTCGTCGTACACCGAGGAGGTCCTCAAAACTTAGAAGGTAAACTTTAAGCGGGGAAGGTAATAAGTTGGTAAATTACGCAAAATAATTACAATTGGTAAGTTCGTATGTACGCGCGGTGTTTTCAATATTAAATTTACGCGCGTCGCATTACTTAAAGAGTCGGTCAGTACCTGTGCGGCGTGTGCGCCGCTAGGAAGACGTAATTGGTGCCGTACATGCCGGTGAGCAGCACGGGCAGCGCCAACAGCGCCGCCAGGCGCGCCTGCCACCGGCCCCAGCCCGACGCGACGCACTCCCGATCCATGACAAAGCGAGTCAGAGAAAATCGCGTCCCGCCGGCCGACCCGCGCGACCGTCCGAGCGGTTATGCTGCGCGCGAGGGACGACGGTCGCCTCTATAGACGCTCGAGGGACGAGGCGCGCGCCGAAGCGGATCCGAGTCGAACGCAGGTGTATCCTCACTCGTCGTCCACATCGTAATTAATATTTGGATTACTCTTTGTAGGCGATAACGGACTCTGACGTGAATCTGCCTCTCGATCTCGCAATATTTATTTTTGTCGATGCAGGTAAATCGAGCTAGTTCGGCAGGGCGTTGTTCGCGATTAGGTTTGAACCGGTTCTCGATCGCATGTCACGACACTAAGTCGGCGCCGAAACATTGCGGAAGCTCCCGCGCTCGTGGCGGAGCGACAGCGACGAGAAACGACGATGACGGTTATAGAGATGGATAGAGTCCCGATCTCTAGCGAAAGGGATTTCGCGCCACAATTGTCGGCCGGCACACCCGCCTGCGAATATCGTGAACTATTATAGCACGCACATACAAAAATATCCCCTATAATGTGTGTCAGATATAAATAGACAAGTAAACGAACCGTTCTATGAGTGTACGGACATGTGCGTCAGGCGTTTAGAAATTAGACATCTAAGCGAGAGGCGGTCGCTCGACGCCGCGCAAAACTCGGAGGCAGTAACCTTAAGATAAAAAGATAACAGAATATTTCACGTACTTATTAATTTCCGTACATACTTTAGAACGTCAACGAAGCGGGGCGTGTGTGCTCAGAGGTTACTGACTGATGCGGACTCGGAGTGCTACGGATGACGGCAAGCGGTGGGTCGCACGAGGGCCCCGATCAACGTGGCTGGAAGAGCTTAGTGGCTTCATAAAAATAAGGAATTCATTTCAACAAAGTCTGTGTAATAGGTAGTCTCACCATATTTTTGCTTTGTTTTCCCTTATGTAGCAAATACAAGGTAATGTCATTGACAACGCGAATAATAAATATCATGGAAATGATTGTAATTAGAACGACGGAGGCCCGAGGGTATTGCTGCACGCGGAAGCAAAGCGCCCTCTGGTTTTGCGTAAGTCTTTCAGGATTGAATTAATGTTAAAACCTAAGGCACACGTGAAACGAGGTGTGCACTGCGATAAGATGCGCGGGAGTAGTGCGATGTTTGCTTTCGAGATTCAGTGGAGTGGCTGATATGGCGAATACGGCACCTGTCGACGCGCGCTCGCACGCGCTCGACGACTCGGTAGGGTCCGGCCCAGCCGTCAGTGCCGTAAACGTGGACGAGGACAAGTGGGGAGACCCGTTGGAAGCGCTGCTCGCCCGGCTGGGTCCTTTCGGATTTTACCAACGCTACGTTCTGTTCCTGCTGATGATTCCCAACCTCTTGGCGCCGATGTATTCTCTCAATTATATCTTCATCGCCGACCGGGTCCCTTTCAGGTTAGCTTCGATGGTACAAATACTATGTCTCAGTTTTCGGTCAATATCGTTTTTGACTTTTTTTATTGTAAAATTTTCTATCAAGCTACTATATGAGTATTTTGATCTTTCTGAATAATGTTAAATAACGTCAAGTGCACTAGTCCTATTCAATCCTATTAAAATAGGTTCAATGCAATTTTGTACAAAGTTGCATTATAAAGTTAATCATTGCCATTAGATAAGAATTATCATACAACTTTATGTAATGTGACCATTTCAGGTGCGTCGTCCCCGAATGCGAATATGACGGACGGCCTCAAGTCCACAACGCGTCGGTCGCGCAACTGTTGTCGCAGGACGAGTGCCGGCGACGGAAGCCACTGCAGCTGGACCGGCCGACCTGTGAACCTTTTCACTATCATCCCGAGGACACGCTTCCTTGTAGACAATTTGTCTACGAGACCCAAGACACCATATTCGCAGAGGTAAGTCGATTTTCAGATCGATACTTGTGACGAAGACTATCATTGTGTACGCAAACCTTATGTCGACACGCAGTTCGGACTGGCGTGTGAGGAGTGGCGGCGCACCCTGGTAGGAACCGTGAGGAATGCGGCACTACCCATCGCGCTGCTGCTCACCGGATACATTTCTGACGGGTAACTACATCGCGTCTAGTACGAGGTCATGGAGGGCAAGTATTAATCCTTTCGTAAAACAGCTGGGGACGGCGCACCGCGTTCTGCGTGTTCTCCGCGTTTGCAGGCGCGCTGGGGCTCGTCAAGTCATACGCTTCGAACTACGGCGTCTACCTCGCTCTCGAGTTCTTCGAGGCGGCTCTCGGTTACGGCTTCAATAGTGCTGCGTATGTTATGAGTATGAATTAATTTATTACGATTCTCTAAAGCCCTATTACCTATAGCGCCTTAACCCCGCAGTCTATAAGTCAAATCGGTCATTCCACAGTGGTGGAACTGGCGCGACCATCGCTGCGGGCGACATTCGCGTGCGCGAGTGGCGTGGCTTACGCCTTGGGTGGAGTACTTTTGGCAGAGACTGCTCGTCGCGTGTCCTATTGGCGTCACTTGTTGCGCGTGCTACATACGCCCGCACTCGCTCTTCCCTTCTACTGGCTGGTGCTCGATGAGACGGTGCGCTGGCTACACGCCGCCGACAGGATCGACGCGGCCGTCGCAGTCGTCAAGAAAGCGGCTAGGTGGAACAAGGTACTCTAGAAGTGTTTACTAGATATCAGGTAGAATGATGTACATACTCATTTCGGTTTTTTTTTAGGTCGTTTTAGAGGAAGACTTTATCAGGGATTCGATGGAGTTTAAGGAAGACACGAACAAAAAGAAAGCGGAAGGTAACGCGTGTTTTAACCTGACGCGTTCTCGAGTTCTTGTTTTGCGGTTCGCCGCGTGCTCCTTCTGCTGGGTGGCGGCGGCCTTCGTGTACTACGGACTCACCGTTAACTCGACGGCTTTGTCCGGGGACAAGTACACAAACTTCGCGCTGAATATGGCGATGGAGATCGTCGCCTCGCTTCTTATCATGATGGCTTTGGAGCGCATCGGCCGAAAGATTAGTATTGCCGTCGCTTTTCTGCTTTGCGCGGCGGTGTCGGGCCTGCCTCTCTTCATAGGTGAGTGACTCGACGCCGGAACGCGGAGTGAGCTCCTAGTTGTTAACTTGAACGAAACTTAACTTAACTTGGCAGGGAGCGAAATGAAGAGGACGCATCGCTGGTCGCAGTTCGCGGGCAAGCTTTTCATAACGTTCGCTTTCAATTCGCTGTACGTGTTCACCGCGGAGATGTTCCCGACGAGCGCGCGGTCCTCCGCGTTGGCCGCGGTCTCGCTCGTCGGCCGCATTGGCTCCATACTCGCACCGCAGACGCCGTTGCTCGTGAGTTCCGACGCCAGTGTGGCGGACGCTTCCTTCCGCGGCTATACTTACAGCGTTTCTTTTCTCTTCGCAGAGCGAGACGTTCCGAGCGTTGTTGTACTGCGGGGTGTCACTTTGCGCGACGGCGGCGGTGGTTTTAGTGCCAGAGACCCGACGCGCGGCGCTACCGCAGCTGGCTCACCATGCGGAGCGTCTCCGGTGCGCGTCTATTAGACGTCAAAAGCGCCAAAGATCCTAACGCACAACCTTAGTATAGAAAATAAGACGTTGCGACAGTCTTCCTGCTCATAAGGAGAGGAATCTAAATGTAAGCTTTAGTTTAAAAATAAATTACGTGCCTTCCTTCGTTTCGACAGATCGGTTAAGACTTCGCTTCAAAGACGCACGAGATAAGAATCCCTATCTTTTAACGTGGAAATGTATCCTAATCTAGCTGCTTGTCAGATTGCCTCGTGACCACTTCTCACGACAAGTTGTGCTTTTCACATCAGCATTCCGTTGCATACCGATAGATAAGGATATCACTTTGACGAAGGGCAATGTCGATAAATAAATTGCATTTCATGTAGCTACAACACAATACTCCTTTCAGTGACCTCATATAATCCTATACCTGACTCTAAACTAAACTAATCATCTGCCTCTTCATATTAGATTATAGATTGTAAAAATAATTATTGAAAATAGATCAATACAAAAATACGCCTTATACGTTTATTAGCAAATATGTCGATATTACAATTGTCGAATTATGAAAAGTAGCGAAATAGCGAAAGGGAAGGAAAGGAAAGATAACCCCGTAAACTTAGTGCCCCACTAGAGTGAGAATGTACATCCTACATTGGGTGTAGTTAAATATGATTTTTGTGTAAAAGGTAAAGTCAGATTAATATAAGACTTCACATCCATCCTTATCCACCTGTAAATCCAGGTGTTGAGCGTTTTCAAAATTAAATGGTACAGAGAAATTTAATTCTTTGACAATCATAGATTGACCTTTAGAACTTGTACAAAACTTTTTTGTATAGAGTTTCTTTTTTCTTTTTTTGTAAAAAAATGTTTTCAATGTGAAATGAACCTTAAGATAAATAAAAATCAATCGTATGAAAATTGCAAAAATATATATATGTACATTACAATATGTAAACCAATGAACACGCCAGTCTTTAATTGCAATGGTAATATTATCTACAATCGATTCCCTGTATTTAATATACCTAGGTCCTAAACTAAGCAACAATATTATTTATTTACCTATAGATAGATGAGCAAATAATGTCGAATACCATTACATAAAACCCTGTATACTCTTACGTACAACAAACAGTCGCGCACCCCCTTTTTAAGTCAATCCTAATATCCTCACATCCTAAATCAGTCTTAATTTTAGAAACGTACACCGTTCTTCCTAGTTGAGCCAGTCCACAGATACGTTTTTATAGTACTACCGTCTATGGTATAGCTAGTACTCCAATTCATTAATATGCTATATGTTTGTGAAAGCTCTTCCGATAAAGTTTATGCGACGTCAAGGGTCTGCGGCGGCCGGAGCGGAACTCGAATCGGCAGTAGAGGTGAGCGGCTGCATTTCGAGCGGCGAAGGAATGGTCGCCGAGACCGGCTCGGGCGGCTTCAGGCGGTCGTACACGAGGCGCAGGCCCGCGAGGGCGGCGAACGTGAAGGCGGCAGTCGCTCCAAAAGTCGCGTCGGGACCCCGACGCGCGTACACGCTTGCCACGAACACGGGACCGAGCGCACGCGACAGGCATCCCGCGCCCGTCAGTACGCCCATCCAGACGCCTTGCGGCCGCGGCCCCAGCACCTGAAACGTTTCGTGCGCTCGTTAGCCGGGTGAGCGCCAGTGGAATAACCGGCCGGCGCATGTTAATTCCATCTAACCTTAGAGAAAATTGTTTGAATAAGCGTGACTCCGAGGGGGTAACCGATGGAGACGCACGTGTATCCGAGGAAAAACTGCGAAAGAGTGAGTCCACGAGACGTCGTACACCACGGTTGCGCCTGCGCCGGGCAGCCTCCACCCGACTCGGTCGCTTCGACGGGAGCCAACGGAGGTTTTCCCGGTCCCCATGGGATGCACAGCACCGACGCTAAACCCGTCAGCAGGAAACCGCCCCACAGGAGAAGCGCCCTATAATGTCGCGAAATGTAGTAATAGGAAAAATTAATAAAATTAGATTCGGGACAAAAGTAAAAAATGAAAGGCACCCTTACCTCTCTTCGAATATTTTCGTGAGAGGTGTGATGAGGGCGAATACAGCGCAAGCGACAAGCGCGCCAGCGCTCATGAGAGCGCCCATGTACTCGAGGGCTTGTTTCTTACTCCAGCCGAACTGGTCCATGGTCAAAGACGTGGCCAACGTTTCTAGTAAGACAAAATTAAATACGAGCACGAAGAACGCCGCCACCAATGTCCAGCCGCTCAAGTAGTCCGGCTTTAATTCCTTCAAAGCTTCCTTCTCTGAAATAGAGCAAGAGAAGGTGAAACGAGCACTCGCTAACGTGGGTTTGTATTTCATTAGACTAATTGAAGTGAACTACCATTTTCCTTTCCTTGCGCGAGCATCGCTTCTCTAGCGGCGATCTTCCTTTCTTTGAAACAGAACGGTAAGAAGAGGATGACATTGATGATACCGAGCAGCGCATTAATCCAACCGGACGCGGTGTACATGTCGAGGCGCAGAGCGAAGGATCGGGTGTCCGTAGAGGGCGGGTAGGGCGGCCCGGGGCCCAGCGGTGCGGCGGCCGCCTGCAGCGCCGGACCGACCACGAATCCCAAGACCTGTGCCAGCGAACAACCGGCGACTGCGCGCGTGCGCTCGCTCTCCTTGGTCGCCGCTGACAGATAGGAGCGCGCCACCGCCACGTTCGCTGTAATAAAGCGTGTTTAATGAGTATGTATGACTACGAGAATATATCATACTGCAGAATAAAGAAAAGGGTACTAACCGGAGCTGATCCCGACGAGAGCTCGCGCGGCCAGCATCCAGGAATGCGCTAAGGGTCGTGTGAGGTGCAAATTTGCGTAGAGCACGGATGCGACTACGAAGACGAGCAACATGACGAGGATAGGAGCGCGCGCAGACGAAGCGCGATTGGCCCAAAGCCCCAGCAGCGGTGACGCCACCAGCTGCCCCAACGGACTAACCCCCACTGCCAAACCTAAAGCCTCTTTACTTGCGCCCGGCTCCAGCTGCAAATCGTAAGGAATTGAAACATAACACCAAGTATAAAAAATATACATTTTACAGAATAATATAACGTCAGAATTAATAACATCTGCATATCGTTAAAAAACTAGCACGTACACATGTATATGTTTGTAAATACGATAAACCTAAATAACAATGTAAATTAACAATGGCTCGGGAGCGCTAATGAAGATAATAGAATTCGTTTGAATTCAATTACATTCACTCACGTATTTTTTTGTTTATGTGTGTATGGTCTTTCTTCTATAATTACGTATATAAGTCGAGGCGATTCATGTTCTGTCGATAAGTTATCTGCAGGTAATCAGTACTGATAAGAGTCGCCACCATCAATAGTAACGTAAGGCAAGAAATAAATGAACTTTACATGTAATCGCATTACTCTGAGAGGCGCATTTCGCGGGATGGTACCTTGTCCAGATAAGGCCACACGCCAGTCAGCACGATGCTGAACCCGAGCGACATCTGGAACATTGTAAAGTAAATGACGTAGATGCTGCGCCAGCGTTCCCGGCGCTCCTGTGCACTCTCCAGGGCGTCGTCCCCGCTCCCCGCTTCGGCCTCTCGCTGACGCGTAACTCTCTTGAGCCACTCCATTGACGTTGGCGGTCTGTGTCCTATGAGTGACGAGGTTTCAACGTCAGCTGTACTCGACACGTCGGAGTCCGCTCACGCTTTTTGTCTCGGTGCACAGGATCCACATTTCTTCAGCGCCAACGCTCGTGACCGCTATCGGCCACCGAGGAAGACATCAAAACAAAGGAATGCGGGTCGTGCGCCCGCAACGAGTCGACGCAAATCACGTACTAGCGCTTCGCGGCTTGCGTCGCGACTGGTCTCGAGTCTCGACTCTCGACGCACGACTGGCGAACGGCGTGTGCCGACAGCCGAAGGGCACTGCCATAACGATAATATTCGATTGTATCGAAGTCACACATTCATTGATGCCCCTCGGTGATTAATGACCATTCCCGCTAGCCAAAGAGTAAACACAAGAACCCTTTGTTTAATGTGATCGTCTCTTCCTTTATTTGTTAGGTATGTCCATCCATTTACTGAATAATTAAAAAGTTATGTGAGATCATTTTTCGTAATTGTTGCCCACCGCTGTTGGCACAAATTCAATGTAACTCTGTCTCTTTGACTCTATTACAAAGTAGGTAATCAGTTTTGTATTAATGTTTGTTTTCTTCATTGTCATAATAATTACATCTTCCCGATTGGCAGGGACATTAGGAGAGTAATTTCTGAGCTTGTATATTACGGAATCTTTCGCTCTATTTCGTATTTTTTTTTTTTAAATAGTGTTGTGTTAGATTATAATAATAATAATAATAATAAAGCCTTTATTGCTGTTTCTTTTTACAAAAATAGCTTAACATAATATGCCTACTTGCTAAAAACTAAATTTAAATTCTACTTTATATTAAAATGATCGGCAACTGGTTGCTTGTGTTGAACAGCTTGTCTGTTGACAAAGGCCTCCTCTAAAGACTTCCACTTATTCCTGTCTCTCGCTAATCGGTTCCATACTGGGCCAGCTATCTTCCGTATGTCGTCTTCCCATCGTTTGTTTTGTCTGCCTCTCTTTCTTTTACCATCCCTTGGATACCACTCTGTTATTAACCTACTCCATTTTTCTATTTTTTCTCTTAACATATGTCCTGTCCAACGCCATTTAAACAGTCTGTAGGCTTTGTGTGCATTTTTAAATTTAGTATTTTCCTTAATTATTTGCAATTTTACTCTATCTGTCCTCTTTATACCCAAGATGCTTCTTTCCATTGAGTTCTGGCAGACTTGCAGTTTTTTTTCTTGTAACTCTGTTAAAGCCCATGTCTGACATCCGTATAGCAAGCATGGTATAATGCATACTTCGAATACTTTCTTCTTAGCTGTCATTGGCATATCTTTATCCTTAAATATTTCCTTCATAGACCAAAACTTTTTCCAAGTATTATTTATTCTTCGTTCTATTTCCTTATTCATGCTGCCGTCTATAGATATGAGTTGGCCCAGATATATAAACTCCTTTACAAATTGTGTTAGATTAAATACTTCCAAAGTTTTAATTGATTTTGAAAAATAACCAATGTACTTCTCTTACAATTGAACTCAACAAAAGTACGCCTGCCATAATTAAGTTGCCGTGCTGTCATTAGATACTTTAATGCTTCTAATTTTCCTTTCAAGGTCATAGAAAATTCGTTGATTATAAAAGTAATAAGTGCTACTCTTTAGACATAACGATTCTCGCGGACGAAGTCGCTGACACAGCTAGTCGTATATAAGAATTAGATATAGAAATATACGCCAAACGATCTAAAGACAAAATAGAACGAACCAATCTCTGAAGCTATGTACCTGATCAGATTAAATTTTCGTACTACTACTTTCCTATTAGGAACCACTATAATTTACATGTCAACATCACGAAGAAGATTTTAATCAATTTTCCTTATCCTCTAAAAAAGGCCTACCAGAGTACCTACAGAAGATGGACCTGTGCCCTGTTCCCAGAGCGTGCTGTTTGTGAACATTCTGTTGTGTATAGCAACTGACAGCAACAGCAGTGATTCCAGCCTAAAGGTTTCTTCCCAAAATTTAGGAAAAAATAAACCTTTTTAGGGGTTGCAATTATTAAGGAGGACTTAGGAAAGGTATCCAGGAGAAAAAAAAATAAAGAAGTTTGTTTTTTATTTTAATACTTACTCGTTTAACCGTAAATTATATAATAAAAGTAAAAACTAGTCTAAAATGTATGTAAGTAAAGCCTTACTGAGTTCGCATTACTGAGTCTGTGGTTTTTCTCTATCCTGTGTCGCGTACCCATGCCTACATGTGAATAACGTATTAATACATAATGCTTAAAAAATATAACTGTGTTTTTAGGTGCTTAATAATTGTTTATTAGCTTTTTCGTTAACGCACATGACAACTGAACGTAATTTTTGCAGACTATTAAAAGTCCGACATTTGCTTTATATGCGAACTTTATACAATTACATCTTTGTTTTATATTTTTATTTAACTTTCCTTCGGAGTCTTAATAAAATTTTATTGTTTTTTTTTTTGTTATTTTAAAGTTTTAAACTTGACTAATAGTTAATAAAAAATATTTCTGGCGCACTTAAATAGTCGTTGAATTTATGAACAGAATCATAATATATGTGTCATATTTATATATTTACAAAACTAAAATATTTACAATATTTACTCAAAATAATTGGATTACCATTTAAAAACATTATTTTTTCAACTTTAAACTTTATAATTGTGTGCAAAATAGATGCGCTTTTGACTGATTGAAAACAGTAATCAAATCTTTTCTTTCTACTAAATTGACACTAGTAATAGTATTAGTGGCTCTATACAAATATTTTAACAATAGTAAGACACTTGGTGTTATAATTAAGCAAATAACTATCATTGCTAATTCACGATAAAGTGCTTATTTGCTTATTATAAAAGCGCAGCTTAGTTAATTGCTTTTCGTTTAAACGCTCACTATCTTTGCCTATAGTCTATGACCTATTCCTCATATTATCTCTATCACTTCTAGTAAATCTGCTTAAATTTGGTAAAATTCGTGATTAAAGTAGTTTTCTGGAAATTATTTTATTTAGTAGTGTATCGTAACCAGAAAAAATGGCCCTTCCCCGAGTATTTGCATCTCGCCTAATGCAACAAACAGGTAAAGTTTTGAATATATATGGAGCACTATTTTCAAATAATAATGATTAAAGGTACTTCTTTCCATTTTAGTTAGTACATAACTTGTAGCATGTATTAGTCAGATATCATTAGTTGGACAGTAATCTACAATAACGATTTCCATGAGTAAAAATGAATTATCAATACTAAGAAACTGTATTACATAACTAACCTTTAATGTTCTTACACACCCTTAAAGTTTATTTAATATAATTGAAGCCATTTTTGTAGAAATAACTGTGTTAGCGACTTCGTCAGGGTAACATAGTTAAATTGGGGCATCCAAATTTGGTTTTGCAAACCTCTTCTTATCTTTATAAATTTAAGTTTTTACCCACGACTTCGGTTGCGTCCCGTCGTTCTTAGATCACTTAGATCAACTCAAAAATCTCGACTGTTTTCGCGACGCACGCAAAGGAAAACCAATCACTGTCTCTTTGCTTCTACTAGTTGCATGATGTTTTATAGCCTCTACAGCTTTCCTCAATAAATGTTCTAGCCAATTCAAAAAGGATTTTTCAATTCAGACCAGTAGTTCCTGAGATTAGCTTAGTAAAGTGAACTCTCCATACTTATCTGTCTTCCTCTATCATTAAAAAAATGTTTTCAGTTCGGCGCTACCACGGCGGACATGACTTTAAGCCGCCTTCAATGGATGAGCTGCCAGTGCCCCGTGGTTCCTGGCAGGCTAAGTACAGTGCTGACCAACGACGTTACAATGCCATACTAGCTTTTGGAATTGCTTTCTCGGTTTTCTCTTTTTCACTTGTGAGTACATATAAAACTATATTTGGTATCTGCTTTGGCACATAAACAAATAAGTAAATGCTTGGTGAAATTTGGATTCTATCATTATATTATTTTACAATATGTATGTCCAAGTATTAATTTGAGAGTGGGCTGACATGATAGCTGCTAATTGTGACTATTATCAATAATGTAGTGTACCAACAGTGGTGTTATTTATACTTTTATTAACTTTTACTTGAATACTGTCTATAGTTTACGCGAGTAATACACATTTAAATAAAACACTTTAACGGTTTAAAACGCGATATTTACCATGACCACGGCTGCTGCAACGCATCCGAAACGCCGGGCCGAAGTTAAAAATCATATTCAAATACGTTTAACTAATATATCGCGTTTTAAACCGTTAAAGTGTTTTATTTAAACTTTTACTTGATTCTAAAGCACTTAAAAGTACTCACTTTAGTTCATGTTGTGTTTCTATATGACTTTGCCAATTTTGAATTTGCACACACATAAGAGATGAGTCTAAACCATGTACCATCATACCATAACTTTTAACTTATACTTACAGTTATTATTTTTGCTCTTACACCTTTGCAAATTAATAATGTATTTTTAACTCATGGCTTGCATGGAGATGTACTGATGCAATGATTAATTTTTTCAGGCTAAAGGTTCAGGACTTTTGTACTTCAACTATGCCCCTCCCAAGTCTTTGGATTAAGTCAATTTGTCCATTGGATACCTCAAATGTATTCTTAGTTCAATTAAACAATAGTATTTAAAAAAACTGTCCTTTATTTATAAATATAAATTAAATTAAGACTATGATAAATATTATATAGCATGTGAGACAAGGTGACTATCAGTGCTCCCTTGCGATGTCAGAGAAGGCGTCGAGAATGTCTTGAGTGGTGAGGGGCAACGCCAAGCCTGCGCCTGGATAGCAAGCGGCGATGCGCGACTGTAGTGCTACGTGCTGCGCCATGAATTCCTCCTGCATTGCACGCCACACCACTTGCAGCAGCCCGCACTCCTCGCTCAAGTGCTTCTCCACAGTTCTGTACAGGCGGTGCAGGGCACGCCTCACCTCGCCCGCCGGGTACAGCGCCAGCAACTTGCGCAGCGCGTGCTTGCTGTACGCCGCGCGGTAGCACACCTCTTCTTCTCGCGCGCCCGCCGCCACCGCTTCCGAGACGCCCTCGAAGAACTGCGTGATCTTATCGAGCGGTCGGCCGAAGTACTGAGTCACGTAGCGCCGCAGCGCCTCCGTATACCGGCGTCGGGTCTCGCGACGGAGCGCGTCCAGGGCCGGTACGCGCAGAGCGCACACGGCCGCGTGCAGCCGGTGGAAATTTTCCAAATGCACAATTTCTCGGGGCGTGCGCGGGTGCTCCGCCGAGCCAATCGTCGCGACCATCGCCGTGCACAGCGATAGGTACCTGAAGTGAAACAGAGAAGAGCTCGAATCGAATGACGACTCGAGGAGAACGACAGTCGGCGTAAATTTTCATTGAAATAGAGGCACTCACCACCGGTCGAGGTCTGCGCGGCGGCCTCCGGCAAAAATTGACTCGCACACGGCGCTCATCTCCTCGAGCTCCGGGATGAATGCGAAGATGCCGCATTTTGGCTTTTTGGCGGCCTAGTCCATGAAATGTTAAGTGAACACAACATATTATTTGCGTATGAGATGCATCTTAGTAGAGTACCAAAATGTAATCGACCTGTTTAACGTGTTCGGGGAGAGTAGCGAGCCGGTCCGTGACGGAGCGGTCGGCGCCACGCTTGGCAGCGACGGCAGCGGCCGCCAGCACGAGGCGCGCCCAGCGCTTCTCGCCTGTGTCCGCCGCAGCCTCCCCGAGAACGCGCCTCCCGAGGCACGCCAGCGCCCTCATCGCGCCGCTGCCACACATAATCTCTATTAGGGCGCCGATCTTTACACAGTGGCGTCTTTAAACGACATGGACCTCACTAGGGATCTCGCTCGACGTGCGCCAAAAGCGTGACGAGCTGCTGCTCGAGTGTCGGGAACAGGTCGGCCATAAGACGCCTGGTGTCACTCGCCTGTCGACCCTCGCCTCCGCCGCTTTCGCTCTTTTCACCGTCGCTGCTCTCCTACGATTTAACTTGGAAATGAGATAAGTCGACAGCTACGCCCCTGCGGCAGGTATTTCCCCTCTCAACTAGCGCAGAGTTTAGAAATGGTAGTAAATGGATATTTTTGATTTGACTTGCATTGATGCTCAAGTGTACTTACCTACTGACGCTACTATATAGGTAGGTACCTTCGGATCCACGTCGAGCGCGAAGAACTGTGTGCAGAAGTCCTGTTCGTTGTTACAGATGGTTTCGACCAAGGTGAGGACGTCAGAGAGGAGAGTATCGGTCTGGTCGGGGTAGAGCGAAGTGCGAGCCGCGTCACACGCGGCGCCCACCTCCCGCTCGTACACCTTGCTCCAAGTGCCTACGTACACTTTGACCAAAGCGTCGTAAGCTCTCTCGTCCATATCGCGCAACCACCGCATAAACGGGGCGTAAGATTGCAGCTCGCCGTGGTGCCGACGACCCGCCCCCGGCAGGCCCGGCGTGTGCGCCTCGTTGGCCAGGTGGATAAGCGCATTGTTTAAGTGCCTGGCGTTAATGATATACTATCAACATAGCTGTATATTGATTAAAAAATAGAAAAAATTTAATTGAGCTACATCGTATGCACACCTCGCTAAAGCTGCGGCGAGCTGGTCTCGGGCGCGCGCCAACCGGCGTAGGCGCTCGCGCACTGCAGTAAGACGCAATCGGTAAACGGGAGCGGACTTCTCCATCTTCAAAGTGCTACGCAATGCCTCTGCGGCTGCCAGTGCACGCGCTCGTCCCTCCACACTGCCCAAGGACATCTACGAAAACGTGGTTATTTATTTGGGCGGTCTCTTTACGAGTTTATCGACATTAGCATGGGCATACCGCTTGCAATGAGTCGAGATCGGCCAAAGCGGGTGCATCCAGCCAATCATATATCTCGGCGAGTTCAGCTCGAAGGGCTCTAGCAGAAGTGTCGGCTCGTGCCGCACCCGAACGCGCCTGGATGGCTCCTCCCCCTAACCGAGTTAGTGCTTCCAGTTTAGACACGCGCACAGACAGTGCCGCACCAAATGCACTGCCCTCTATAAATAATGGTACTACGTAATTAAAGGTGCATTCACCTGATGTATAACAGATTTTATTTATATTTTAGGTTGCAGTGTCTTTCTATTATTATTTTTAATCACTTTCTTTATCTCAGTTTATGATTACAATCTCACCCTTTTAGCACTAAGTGTCTATCAGTTTGAGGATAATAATTCTATGTTGATGATATTAGTTTTTGTTTCTTCCCTATAATATACCTTCAAGTCTAGCTGCCAGCTTAGATCCACCCCCTTCCGTAGCCGCTGCAAGCATTCCTCCTACATTGAGTGCATCAAGTTGAGCAAGCTTCTCTCCTAGTTGTTTGACATGTTTCTCTGCATCTCCATCATCAATCTCTGTGTCCTCTAACAAAGCACCAAGCTCTACCTCTGAGAGAGAGTGGGTCGAGCCTGATATGGTGACTGCAACTGCAGCCCGAGACAGTTCCAAACGAGATTCATCACTGCAAATCCACTTCATGGTTTCTCCACCCATCTCAATGCTGACTTCACCATTCTGCAGTCAATTTTAACAAAGTTAATCCAAAAATGCTAAGTGTACACTGAGAATGTGTGAAACTAACTCTTAGTTAGAAAAACCATTATATTCTCATTCAGAATTTGGTCTGTTTTGACTAAAGATGTAACGGTACAAAAATACTAACAGGCAGATCAGTGCGAAGTCGCGCGATGTGCAGCGGCCACGAGCGTAAGCGAGCTGATCCTTCGAAAACTACTAGGGCACCGCTACTCTCGACCACAAGCCTCTGGGAGCGCCCACCGTTTCCACTGACGCTCACACTGCACACTGGTCTCACGCCTTCTTCAAATTTCATTGTTTCTCATCAAGAAAGTGACCTTTGTTGTTCTCTCTATTACTATAAAATATTCTTCAATTATTAATATCTTGAAATCTAACATAATATATTATGTTAGATTTCAATAATAGTAATAATATAATCTTTTATAATAAAAGGATAGCATATCATTGTTTTTCGGGCTGTTCGGCCGACGTTCATAATTCTTCGAGCAATCGAGGAGTTAACATCTGATGATGCCTTCCGCACACAATATCGTAACGTCGAGATCTCTTCTGCTCACGTCGGCCGAACAGCCCGAAAAACAATGATATGCTGAACGATGGCCGTGGGATAGGCTTTCACAATTTAATAATAGCATAGTAAATATTCATCTGTACTCATTGACAACAGTTGATAAACAAATTTACAAATCCTTTCATCCAAATAATATCAATTATGACCACAGACTATAAACAGAATCTCGCATTTAATCTTTAAGACAAAGAATATGCTACATGGTATGGAACAGGATCAAATAAAAATAATCGATTAGGAGTTGAATAGTGACGTCACAAATGCGCTTTTTGTTTTACTTAAATAGTGGTAATAAAATAACATAATTTTGTTACTGCTACATGTTACAAGCTTCGTAAAAATAACTTACTACTCACTATTATGAAAAATATCAAAGCATGTACCTAATAAAAGTTGTAATAAGTACTTAAATCAGTAATAAAGTATGGTATGTCCACATTATCATCCCTCACACTCGATCCCTATTGACTATTGTAATCTGTCAAATATATTTTTATTATTATCTTTGATGAACTCTTCCCACTATATCAGTTTCTGTTCGTTAATCTTCAACACACTTTTCTTAATCTGTGGTCATAACCTATTTAAATTTGATTACAAAATTCGCATTCCACTCAAAAATAAGTAGAAACTGGTCTGTACTGTGTTAAACAATTACTAAATCACACTATTTTATTTAAACAGTTTAATTGTTGCAAAGTTATTTTTCAGGTGGATTAACCGTTAACCATGTCCAAAACTTCTAATAAAGGGGGCAAAACCAGATCAAATGAAGAAGTTTTTGCTGGTTTTCAATCACTTCGCAATGAACAAAGGCAATTAGCTAATAAGATATCTGAATTGGAAATGGATCTGAACGAGCACAAGTGTGTATCGTACATAATTTTGTAAATAGAGGTACAATATAAACTAATAATAATGGGTCACTTTTGTTACGTTTGTTTTAGGATAGTGATAGAAACATTGCACGCAGTGGAGCCTAAACGCAAATGTTTCCGGATGATCGGTGGTGTCTTGCTGGAGCGAACTGTGGCGGAAATCTTACCCGAGCTAGAGACAAATAAAGAGAGATTACCGAGTGCCATTCAAGTGAGTACTTTACATTACCAATGATCATTATCAAACTAAACTGCAATGAAACGTGGGAATCTTGAATACAACATTTAAAACGAGCATGTTAAAGTTCTAATTTATTTTAAGGCTCTAAATGAACAACTGGCGCGTAAGGGCCAAGAGATCAATGACTACATTGAGAAACATGATATTCGAGTACAACGTGGCGCCCAACATTCTGCAGAGGAACCATCACAGGATTCCTCAAGTGCTAAGTCTAATGTCCTTGTGGCCAGTGGTTGATCCCTCTTTTAGATCAATTTCAATTTTTATCTGCTGGGTGGCCCTAGTGTCAGATTGACAATCGGGAGCATTAAAACAATTAATGCAAAGCAAAATAACATTGTATTGTTTTTGGAATGATTAACAAATTATGTCTATAAATATAATACTATTATTAGCATTTGAAACTTCGTATTATAAAAAATATTCTGAGGATTCTTAATTTATAAATAATTGATAAGTATTAAATAACAATAAGCTTCTCTGAAAAATATTGTTTTAGATGCTCTTTCAATTTAATTTTCTTTTTCTTAAGTAGTTTCTACTGGAGATTAAGAGCCTATTTATAATTTTGTTGGTGAATGAAACAGAATCTTTAACATTTAGTATCAAAAATTCTTCTTACAAATAGTTCAATAGTTGTCAGTTTGAATAGGCCAGTTCTGTACCGAGAATTACACTATAGTAACATGAGAACATAAGAGCTGCTAACAAAGGGGTTTACCTATTAGATAATGAACCTCCTAACAAAAGCATTCATCTTTGGTGGCATATTCCAGGAAGCAAACTGTTTATTGAATTATCTATGATTTTTATATATATATTATTTTGCAAATATCAATGACACAACAAGAAAACAAAGTAGATTATTGGTCTAACCATGTGGTTTGATTACATTTAGTAATAATTCAGAAATATGACCCAGCTACAAGGATAAGTAGGTAATAATGTAGGCAAAATATAGTTGACAAAGACACTTTAGTCCGCAGATTTTTTACATTTTTTAATGTGTGTCTCATGATTCTTAAGGATGCAATCTAAATGATAATCTTGTATGAGTATCATTTAGATCTAAACACATTCTATTCAGATCTAAAGGATCCTTAAAGAAAGAAGTTGGGGCAAAGCTCTTTTACGGGCCCAGAGGCATAATATGTGCGTCTCGCACTCAGACAATCTTCTCTATAGGCAGGCTCCAGTCTCCGCTTCTGCCGCCGGCCTTTCCCAAAACGCGTATATCAGTAATGACCATATGCTTATCTACCGATTTACACATGTCGTAAAGAGCGAGAGCGGCGACCGCGCAGCCGGTTAGCGCCTCCATCTCGACTCCAGTACGCGCTGTGACCCTTACCTCACACAGCACACGTATGCGGGCGGGGCCCTCGTTGGAATCGGGCAGGTGCACCGTCACCTGCGCCAGCTCGAGCGGGAGCTGATGGCAAAGCGGTATCAGTTCCGCTGTGCGTTTCGCGGCGAGAACGCCCGCTATCTGCGCTACAGTTAGCGCGTCGCCCTTGGGCACACGCGCCGAGCGGAGCATACGTAACAGAGGTGCGCTCACCACCAAGAAGCATTCGGCCTGGGCGCTTCGCTTGCTCACAGGTTTTTCGCCGACGTCGACCATACGTGCGCGCCCCTCGTCGTCTAAGTGCGTTAGGGTGCAGTAGCCGCGCGCCGCCACCGGCTGCGAAGGCCGTCGAAGAGCATCCCCCCCTCGTCGTTCCGCTGTAACGTCCACATCAGCCGCCTATCAGTATCATGGGCCGGTTCTTGGCCCGAGCCAGATTCTGCATGCCTACAACACAGCGACTGAGATCTTATCGCTGCTGCGATACCTCGCATGATGATCTGATGAGATATTGTCTCGATATGTCAGATAGGTTACGCGAGTAGCGTTAAAATACAAAACTTAAACGGTTTAACATACGAAATATAATGCTTGACTCATTTTTAATTTACTGTTACTGTGGCCCGACGTCTAAAATTATTGCAGCAGCCGTAGTCACGGGGTGAGTGATGATGGAGGGTGACTCTAATTTTTAAGTCACCTGTGTCGTTATTTTTTAATTTTAAAAAAGATTTATTTAAGTGCGATGAGATGATACATCGGTGTCGAACTTACCGGCGTGTTGAGGTCGTTTGCGCCGGAGGGAGGCCAACACCAGTTCCGCGAGACGGGCATCGGTGTCACCGGCGCGCATGGCGTCTCGCAGCGACACTTCAGTACCGCCGAAGAGACACACCTTGAGGTTACCATCCGCCGTGAGTCGCAACCGGTTGCACGACGAGCAGAACGGCTGCGACATCGACGAGATGAATCCCACCCGTCCGCGGTAGCCTTCTACTCGCCACAACTGAAACCCGCGATTCGTAAATGTGTGTACGTCTTGCGAATCAGCTGTCGCCTCGCGCTGCCACTCACCGTAGCCGTGCCGCACGCGGAGGCTAACAGAGGTTGTAATGCTCTGTATTTCTCGCGGATGACGCCTAGTGCGTCGTCGCCGGAGACCATTCGGGAGTCGTCCCACTTATTACCCGAGAACGGCATGAACTCTATAAACCTACAGGAGCAATATGAAGTATATAGGATAGCGTGACTAACACTGAACTGAAAAATCAGTAACTGGTTCTTAACTGACTAAACCTCACCTAACTTCCACCTCTTTGTTTCGGGTGAATTCCACAAAGTCACAGATCTCGTCATCGTTAAAACCTTTAACATAAAATTTAAGGCCATCAAGGTGCTACTGTCTTTCTGGAGTGCAGCACAGGAATATGGCTACAGCTCTTTGTATATATAAAACTGGCCATTAAATTATACATTGTGTATATTCAAAACTGCACTCATGTACCATCTTTATGAATAACATGAGTAAATATAAATGTGATAATTATGAACTTCTTTTTTTTTTCTTTTTTTTTTCAATTCCAAGTGTACATATAATGACAAAAAGCATTTAGGTACCTTTCATGAGAACAGTATTAATTTTTACAGGTTCATACTTGAGTTGCAGTGCCAGATCTATGCAGGCTAGGACTTTCTGTAAACCCTGTGACAAACAATTAGATTTGGTATTTCTTTGAGACCGCATAGCGTGGAAATGAATTCTTGAGTGAGGGTACCTGACGTCGAGACATAAGCTCGTAGCGGTCACTGCGTAGGGAGTCGAGTGAAATGTTTAAGGCCGTGAGGCCGGCACGTTGCAACGCCGGCAACCGTCGCGTCAATGCCACGCCGTTGCTCGTCATCGCTACGGTGTGAATGCCTTGTATCGATGATATCTCGTCTAGCCGTCGAAAAACATATATTTACTGGCTGCGGACATCATATTCAATATATATGTAATTTAATTAATGAAAAATAATCACTTACGAACGATATCTACGAGGTCCGAGCGCACAGTTGGCTCTCCGCCTGTAAGCCTAACTTTTGTGACTCCCAATGCCGCGAAAAGACGCAACAGCCTCGTCAACTCTGCTCGACTCAGTAACTGCGATTTGGCACTCAACTTGACACCCTCTGCAGGCATACAGTACTGACCTGACATGTAAATATGCATAAAAAATTAACACAAACAACTTCACTAATTATGTATTACATTACGTTACAAATCCACTTTGCGTCACAATTTCAAGTTAAATTCTGTATGCATGATAACAAGTCTTAAAAATTTTTTCCTTACAGCTATATTCTCAATTAATATTTTCAGGTACTAAAGACAGTATTTAGCTATTTCCTTCCTTCCTAGATTCTTCTATACACTTATTGTACATAACTAGAAAATCATTATTATTTAGTATATCTGTTTGATATCATTCCCTACAATTTTATCAAGTGCTAACTGCTAGGTCAAATAGGCCAAGAATACATTAACTTACAGCGAAGATTGCATCGTTCAGTTAATGATATGCGAAGATAATCATGTTTCCTTCCATGCAAATCCATCATAGACCTTCTGCTATTTGTGTGAAGCACCATACTCTTTAAATATATAAAACAAAATAATATAATATATATTAGCATCTCAAGGTTACACTTGAACAAATACTCGTTAGTCCTACCTTGCCGAACAGAACATTTCTTAAAATCCACAAACTTTTCACTGTTTGATTAATGTTCTTTGAAACTACCTGAGTTATTAAATTTTGGGTAATCAAATTCATTATTACTTTCTCTTCGTATATAGATAAATTTGCACCCTCCAAACCCGCTGCGTAATGGCAACTCGCGAGGACTAATTATTTGATTACCACTGATTACACTGTACCACCACGTATCGCAGATGTATATTTTTTCACACTTGGCATTTTTGGTGAACAGACACACATTTTACATGAAATGGTGACTTTTCTTACAAGGTTTACTCACATTAACTGGGATAAAATATTAAGCTACTGAACTACCTAAAGTTCAAATTAAAACCTAAAATTTCATGCTAAAAGTAATAAAAAAGAATTTACGCATTTGCACAGATTAACATTTTTTTAGATTTACAAAATTTAAGCAAAGTCAACGGCAATAGAAGGTAGTAGTCCCATTCATGCACAATCGCTTAAAAGCGTTACAAACGTCGTAATAAATAATATTGTCATAAAAAAGGCCATAAAAGTGTTTTAGGATATTAAGGTCATTTGGTCCATATACAATGGATGTGTGATCTGTGGCAAAGACTACACTAGTTATCTATGGTTTGAAATCGGCCCTGATCTATTGTAGTCTTTTGGCAAGTTTGGATGTGTATTTTCCAACTTTCAACAATACTGATATAAAATACAGAGATAATTTAGTTTACTATCAGTGTAGTGTTTAGAACGCTATGTTTGTTTAACATTTTTGCCAATTGCCAAAAAAAATTAGATTAAGAATAAAAACCTGTTTAAAAGTGGTATTAGCGTATGCAGAGAATACTTTAATTAAAATTAACTAAAGTATTTAAAGAGTAAATGCTGAATTTCTACGATGGCTCTTTTCCCGGCTTATGTCGATGCCAAAAATTCTGATGTTAATTGTCCACCCATAGCTGGAGACAAAGTGAGAGGTAAACAATAAACAAATATAACTCTTTAGAAAGGAGAATTAAGTAGTAACTTTTCGTTACAGACACAATATTCGGACCATGTGAGGTTCCAGAAGCACTGGAAGTGCAATTGTTGGCTAGTGACACCGAAGATGAAGTATCATCCGTAAAAGGTTATATGCTATCGTGCGGACAGGCAGAGATTATACCATCACAAGATTTTTACTTCGACCGCACGCTAGATCGTGGCAACTTGCGTGTTTCCACTCTTTACTATCCAGGAAGACCTCAGTGAGCTTGTTATTTAGTATAATTGTCGTATAACTTGTGCTTAAAGTAAATCTTTTTCAATCAACCTCTCCAATTATTAGATATAGCTATGATAAAGCCAATACTATTGGAAGGAAATCTAAACATGACGAAAAGCGTTGGGAACGATATTTCTCTAAGAGAATATATGAGGAGTCTGACATGTCAACAGCTGAACGTTCCATCTCTTACCGCAAACTGCTTACTGATATGCCTGATGACCTCCAGTTATGGGAATCATATATAGATTTTCAGGTAACTGTTGTGTTATAACTTTCTTGGTTATCTTTTAGTTTTTTTTTTAAAGAAAAGTTATAAAAATAGTTTAGTGTCAAAATACAACTGCAGCTGGAAAAGTGTTTTAGCTTATTACTTAATAATCTATCAATTGTGATAGAACTAAGAAAATCAAAGGAAATTGCTTTCAATAGTTTTCAAATTCTAATATCAATAGAATAGAACAACTACAAAAAATCTTTTATGCACCCAGTGAAAAAGCTTTTTCTAATATGAAAATAGACTTAGTAATTTTCAAGTAGTCCCTAAAACAAAGTTTATATGGTTAATTTAACCTAATGTTGTCTTGATCAGGTTAAATAACAAAAATCATTATATTCTATAAAATGATAAATTAAAAAATTAAATCAAATCTTTATTTCTTATTATTAATTCAAAGGGTTATTTAATTCATCTAATAAATAAAGTAATCAAAGACAAGGTAAAGCAATAAAAATTAGAGTAATTGCTGGTAAAATTGTAATTCAAATAAATAAATTTTAAAGGTTTCTATTAATTAAAAAAATGCTCACTAACTGGCATCCACAGCATTATACCTATATGCATTCAATTTAACAAACACTCCACTCACCTTGACTAGCATTATGGTAATGGTAAACCAGGTTTTGAGCTTTATTATCTTTTGTAACTTATGAAAAACAGTTGCAGAAAATTGCGATTGTATGGATATTTCATTCATTCTACAATATCTCTGTGTTATTGGAAATCCTTTAAAAGCGTAAGTTAATTAATACGTCATGCACAGGAAGTATGTAATAATATGCAAGGAGCACTTGACGCAGTGCGCCATGCAGTCTGCAAGATTCCCGAGTCGTTCAGACTTCGCCGCAGGCAGCTAACTCTCCTGCGAGCGGTCTTCCCGCATCGACAGTATCTGCAGGAGATTAGGGACATGATTGCAGCAGGTGCGTTTTTACTAATGAAGTTATTAAAATAAGAATATTACTCCATTCCCAAGTTATAGCTGTTACTGTTGGCCATAGAGACGCGATCGTACGTGCGAATCGAACTTTGGGCGCAACTGATCGCGAGCGTGGGCGAAGAGCCAGAAGCTGTCCTGCGCGCGGCTCTCAGCGACACCGTCGCCCAATCGGCCGCGGCTCCTTTCTTCATCTACGCGTTCGGTGAGCGGCCACTTGCAGCTGTAACTAGTAGTTCCGTATAGTGTCACATAATTAACTGAGAATGTGATCCAGGCAGCTACCTTCGCACCGCAGGGCTTTGGGAGAGGCTCGTCCTCGCCATTGAATTGCTCGTGGCGATGAACTTCCCGGCTGCCGCCCGCGCCGCGCGGCCTTTTCCTCCACCTCGCCACCTCGACGTCGACGACCGTCTGCTCCGCTTAGAGGATGAGGTAACTACGCCTTCTACAGGCGAATTACAACGAGACTACCGCGAAGAGCTCGCTAATGAAGATACGACTTCGACAGTTAATGAACAGCGGGCTCCCGCGGCACGCGGTGTGGACCCGAGTGGAGCGCGCCCGCGCCGGGGCCCACTGGTGCCCGAAGCCCCGCGACGACATCGATCCCCAACGCGCACCTCTTCCGCATGACGTGGCCGACTTACTCATACCGCTAGTCGGTTCAGTTCGATTGCTGCATCTCGCCGTACGTCTGCTGCTGCTCGCAAAAGTGCCGATGATACCGAGCACGGAGGCTTGGAGCCGAGTTGCAGGAGAGGTGTACGGGACGGCCGAGGGACTCCTTTCGCTTGCGTATGCACATCACTCGTCAACAGACGCCGTTCACTTTGCCAAACTTCTTGAGATGCTCACGGACCCTCCACACTACTTCTCGGACGATACGGGTACTTAGTTCTCCCTGTACACGTTAACTTTCTTTTTGTAACGCTAACCTCATTATACCCATCGCAGGATTCGCCGGATGGGTTGCGGGACTCTGGGAGGCGTGCTGTGCGGGATGCGAGGGCCCAGCGCGAGAGGCGCTGCTATGTTGGCGGCTTCGTTGGTTGCATGCGCGGCTAACGCTCATCGCGACCGACGGCCCGGGCGGGGCGGCGACACTTAGGAGCGAGGTGAGTGAAAGCAACAAGTAGCGAGAGGAAGATCACGAGCTGACTGAGCATTAAGGGATCGTTTTGAAATGTCGATCAGGCCCGGGGCGTACTGAAACGCTTGGCGCAGTCGTCCCCGCTCGCGTTCGCCGAGTTTGCGCGGTTAGAGGCGAGCGTCGACGGCGGGGCGGAGCGCGCCATTGCGGCGGCCACGCACGCCTTACGCGCCGTCATCGCTGATCCAGATCGCCCCACTGTCGACGCTCTCTACGTCGCCAGGTGAGGTCTTCGCGCCGTGGCGCTCCGATCGCCGAAGGCATATACAATGAATATGAATACAGAGATCTTTTGCAGGGCGGTCGGCGAAGTGGTAGGAGCCGAGGCGGGCGAATGCGCCCTAGTGCACGCGGTCCTGCGGCGAACCCCTCCGCCTAAACTACAGGCGCCCGACGACTCACTGAGGCTAACCGCTCTGCGCACGGTACCCTTTCTTTCTTTCCTTCTTTTTCTTGCACTCACTGGCGTAGTAGATTGTAGACTAGATGGAAGTTTGTTTGTAGTGCGAGGAACGGTGCGCAGCGTTGGAAGAGTCTTTTAACGACCGAACGCTGGAGCCGAGCGACACTGCCGTTTTGGAAGCGTTGCAACCCTCGGTAGGGGAATGGGCGAGAGCGCGACTCGCGCTCGCCACGCCCTCGGCTCGCTATCAGCTGCTGCAACGACTGCTGAACGCACAAAGACAGGTTACTGGTAGTTTAAGCTCGGAACCATCTCTAATCGGGGTCGGTCTCTGCATTCATATATAGGCCGTTCTGGAAGTTTACCTTTATTGAGCATAAGACTCGGTGATAAGGCATTCGATTAATTTGATTAACTGGCTATATATTTAGTCAATATAATACAGGTGAAGAATACGGAATGTGACGCGCTGCGCTACTATGAGGACAGCGCGTGCGAAATGGTGGAGCGAGGCGGAAACAAAGTGCGCGACCACATCCACGCGCTGGCGGCACACTTTCCGAACAATGCGTACCTGAACCTCAGTAAGATTGATATTCCGAAAGCCGCGCTTTTATAACAAAATATACACAATCGCCAAAGACATGACATTTCTCGCACGACATTGACACACCCGTCTAGATAAATCCTTATCTGGGCTCACATTAAAAGAAAGGAAGAAAACACATCTTATTTGGCATTGTAGGGTGGCATAAAGGTAGCAAAAAATTGGATGTATCAATGATTTACACTCACGTCTGGGGGCTCTAACATATATTATGAAAGAATAATGATTCGCAGAGAGCGCGTTCACAGCGTCATGGCGCAGTGGAGCGCTTAGCGTGGAAGAGCGGATACGGAAGCTGGCTGCGCCTCGCTCATCTAACTCTGCGGAGGCATGTCTCTTGCCGTCGCTGTTTTGCGCCCTTAGACGCGAATGGGTGCCAATCGGTATGACATCATGTTCTATCACAAGTAGCAATGTACAGCATCGAGATTATAATGATAATCGGAATTCAGAAGCGGAGAAGGTGGTGCGCACGGCTCGTCGGGTGACGAGCGGGGCGGGAGGCGCAACGTGCGGCGGCGTAGTATGGGCGGCGCGCCTCGAATGCGAAGCGAGGGCGGCGGCGCCGCGCATCACCCACGCCCTGCTCTCCGCCTTGCACCATTTGCCGCACGACAAGGTTTCTTCAATACTATATTATGTTTCACGCGAATGTTTGATACATTATACATGAAAAATCAATTATAATTTCCACAGTGGCTGCACGTGCGCGGCGCGAAGTGGTGCGGTGGCGAAGCGGAGTCTTTATCGGACGCACTGCTCGAGAAGCAGCTGCGATTGCATGCGCTGCCAGACGAGCTCGTGCCGCTCGTACGCTAATCGACGTCTCTATTGTATTTCATGAATTTAAAAACATTTAGAATGAAAAGAATTCAAACACACGGTCGGGGCTTGAACTGACAACTGTCGCCTTCTGTGATGCTGCTTTTTTCTTTTTTGGATTTAATTTGTAATAAAATGATATGAAATGGATGCAGATAACGGCAAAAATTACACATACATTATTATTAAATATTAAATTGTTTCCTTTAAATAAAATAAATTTCTTCAAGTTGAATAATAACTGATTATATATTATACTAAGTACTCTATTTAAATAATTTTAAAAGTACAAACATGAACTAAAACTATGCTTCCATGAATAAAAATTTAATACAATCTACTTTCTGATAACTTTTCTAAGCAAATAGTCCTAACCACTATTTGCCATCCTGAGGGATCTCTGTTCTTGCAAGTGCAATCTTAATAACAGAAATATCATTCTCATCCTTGTCTATATCAATTTTGACTTCTGGCCGTGAAGAAACTTCACTCATCTTTAATGTAACAAGTTCTTCAGGTTTCAAGAGCTGAATGCCTGATCCATCTTGGAGTTTGTATAGATTTCTAATCAAATTTTTATCAGTCAAACTTTTGATTTTCATCTGACTTTTGATTCTAACAAGTTCAGAGTGTATATTTTTCAATGGAGCCATATCTTTTAGAGTGTCTGTTTGTTTTGTTGAGGTTGAAGGAATACTAGTACAAATTACTGATGAATTGTCTGACATATTATCTTCAGTATCACACGCTCTGTACAGCCTGTCTACATCGGACATACTAACAGCTGAGACTGTTGAGGGTGATGAGAAGTTGTGACATACCCTTATTGATCTCATTTCATTATCAGTGTTGACTTGGACAAACTGTAGATGTTGATAGCCAAATGGAAATTCACATTCTGTGTTCTCGCACATCAATAATTTCTCATTGAAATTGATAAAAAACAATTTTATTTCAGATGAACATAATGGACAGACCTGAAATTGTAGCACATATGAATAGGAAGTAGGCTGTGCATAATGTAATGTTAGATAGTCATCCTTCTATCTAAAGTCTGTTGTAAATTTCTAACCATTGCTAATAATAATATAAAATTGCCTTTTGATCATCACCAAAACTCAATACACTTACCCGACTTTCTACAATCGGAACTCGTTCAATTTCTATTTGATCCTGAAATAGGAATAAAATACTTATATAGAGACATACAAATTCCCATTAAAAACAGTTAAACTTACGCTTGAATTTGAAACTATCACGGCTGTACTATCTCCTTCCATTATATATTTTAATTAATAGGTTGGTTAGTATACACTATACAGTTCGTATCGATACAATTATAAATTTCCGATTGTTTGTTTTCAACCAGATAATGGATACATACATTTTGCCTTTTGGTTCATACTTTTTTTTGTTTTTGAATTGAGAGTAAAACTTATATGACCTATACGTTGTATGACTCACGTTATTTGGCCGTATTGTGTAGGTTTTTGACATTACATATTTGTCTTAAATTGTGATAGTATTTCTGTCAAATTCTACTATATTATTACAACCATTTAATTGTTGTTATCATTAGTTTGGCTTTTAAAAAGCTTTCGTATTTATACTATTGAAGTATTATTTACAGCATCTGTGGGTACTTTAATAATATTATACATCGACTTGAAAAATAAGACAATAATTGACATAGATGATAGAATACATAATTGTCCATTGTCAATACGATAAACTGTTCTAATCATTACTCTGTGACTGTCAGAAAAGTAAAAGATTTTTTCATCCATATTCAACAACGATTTTCGAATCAAGCTATCGGATACGTTAGACGTGTTATCGTGTACCTAGTACCGAATATACAAAAATGCCGGTAAAAGCAGTTTGCGTTCTAAATGGGGATGTTAGTGGGACAGTGCTTTTTGATCAGAAGGTAATAATACAATAGATTTTTATTTTATTATACTAGTTTTCTCAACATTGACCTTGTACATTTTATTAAATCGTATCATTAATTATGTACCTACAATCTGAAGTGGATAGAATATAATTACTTGTCATGTTTTTCTTATCACAGTTACTTACTATAAGACTTTTTCTAGAACATACATCCTTCTAGAACTACTTCTTTTACTTAGAAAATATTATAATGCATCGTTATTAATGTTTCTTAATACAATTTGTAAAAAAAAAACTATAATTGCATGAAAATTAAAAGGTTATGTGCTTTATTTCACCTTGTTTTATTTACATTTTTACCATACATAATTTGTATTGATAATTGTTTTCAGGATGAGAAATCACCAGTAGTGGTAACTGGTCAGGTCACGGGTCTTTCCAAGGTAAGTTTTTTTATTTTTCTATGTGTACTACAATAGAATGACATAGCAAAATTCCTATATAATATATACATATTGAAAAAATTACCATATATTAACTTTTAGCTTATGGTAATAATGTATTATGTCATAGCATTAATTTCAAGATTGTAGATAATGCCATTTACTTATAGGGCAAGCATGGATTCCATGTGCATGAGTTTGGTGACAACACAAATGGGTGCACCTCTGCTGGCCCCCACTTCAACCCTTCAAAGCAAGACCATGGAGCGCCTGATGCAGCTATTCGTCATGTTGGTGACTTGGGCAACATTGAGGCTTCCTCTGATGGTGGAGTTACTAAAGTAAGTTTCAATACAATCATTAACAGCAGAAGTATGTTCTATATGAAGTTTTAATAACAACCTATTTAATGTATTGTAAAATCATCAGGTATGCATTCAAGACTCACAAATCTCATTGTGCGAGCCCAACAGTATCATTGGCCGCACTCTAGTTGTGCATGCCGATCCTGATGACCTTGGCATTGGGGGTCATGAGCTCAGCAAGACAACGGGAAATGCTGGGGCACGCATTGCTTGTGGAGTCATTGGACTTGCCAAAGCTGAATAGATTTTCCAAGTTTACTAGAAAATGAGTATCTATATGAAATTGAAATTGATACATTGTGATTTAGAGTAGATACAGTTTTGATATTGATAATATTTAATTCTGAATTCCCCATCTTAGGTGTCCTTATAATGTGTAAGCATAATATTGAAATTAATGGTGTATAGAGTCTCATTGAAATGTTGTATAGCTTGTTATTTTGGTGTGGGAAGTCATGTATAGCTTGTTTTATATAAAAAAATAAAATATGAAAAAGTAATTTATTAAATATATTGTTTTGATACCATAATAATTATATATGACAGAAAAATGAAGTCTTTATGAAAGTTGGATAAGAAAATATACAATTAGTCATGAGTATTTTAATTGGCTTACAGAGTAGATAAGTTGATTCATTTGAGTGAAAAATATATTACAAGATGAATTGTGTGACTGAAACATCCTTGGGCTGCTCGGATGCCACTGATATAAACTCTCTTCAATTGTTTGTACACTCAATGCTGTCCAGTAATGCTCCAAATCCCTTGAGGAAGTATGTTGTGACATACACTTACATATGTTGCCAATAACATTCGGAGTTAAGAATCCTTTTATGTTCATTATTGATATTCTCTTTGACTTTAGTGGTGTCAAAGTCTCAGGCACAGAGTAAGTGCTAATGTAATTTTCCTCTGTTGCTAAATTAGCTCCATGGGCTAACATGCCCATCCATTCCACTACTTCATCAATATCATCTTCAAGAGATGGAATTTCACTGATGTCTGATGATAATATAGATATATCAAGCGAATGCTGAGTGACTGTATAACCTTTGTCAAAAAAGTGTTTTGCTAAAGTTGAAGGACAAATACTGTCATTGAAAGGATTCCAAGATATATAGAAATCTTTTTTACCAAATTTAGTCACTACACTTTTAATTTTTTCGTTTTGTTTGAGATTGTGAAGGTCCAATCTGATTTCATAGAAATCGTGTGGTCGCTTTGTTCCTTCCACACCTAATGTTTGATACTTAGAGCGAAAGACGTGCAAAGTAAGAATACCATCGGGAGTCAGAGCAACAGCAGTCCCACTAATACAATTTGTTTGTATTGACAAGCAATATAACTTTCCTCTCCTAATAAAAGTGTCAATAAATAAGGGATCGATAAACTCTATTACAGAACAATTAATAATTTTGTAATAGTCACTGTCCTCCAGCAGCGCTTCCTTAATGTGATTCGGAACATACAATTCATCGGGACAAGTTACGATTGCACTTCTATAAAAATTGTTGAGGTTAACTCTATCCAATGTTCGCTCTAGACATACATTTTTTTGAAAGGACCATGTTGTTTTCGGAGGCTTAAAGTTGGTTATTTCCGGACATAACATTCTTATAATTTTAATTTTAGACCCAGTACACAGGTATTGTTCAGTAGGTTAACGATTGCACTTCGTGACTTATTAAAACAAAATATATATTTTGACATACATTATGAAACAATTTTAAATAAGTATAGTGCACGTAAAATGATAATATTATAATAGTGATAATACTCAGTATATAAATATAATCTATGTTGAATACAGTCCACAGATTATATTAGAGAATTTCATTCTCAGATAAGTGTGAAATCAGGACTCACCACAGACGTACGCAAGGCGTACATAAACAAAAAGGACTTATAAATGTATATTGTTGTTACTTGTTTATAATCGACTGGAACTATCAAAAATAGGCCAATTATCATTTGCTAAAATTTAATACAACTTTGGAGTTGGTCCGAAGATCGAGCCGAGGGACGATCGAAAAACTCCTCAATTCTTAAAACTCTCCTCAGCAAAAATTACCATTTAGGCACGCAATATACATTTTATATTTTTCGGTTATTCTGATACAGCTATTTAGAAAAAGTACTTTTTGTTTCGTTCCTTTTATTTAAGATTGATTAGTTAGATCTCTTAGAGCACGGAACGCTGACGACGCCGGTTCAAGTCCTGCTCGAGTTGAAAATTATATCAATTTATTTTCGATATTTAAATTATTTAGTTAGATATTTCATCCTGTCTATCTTACAACGTGTCGACCCTTCGTCCTATCGGCCAATTGACATGTCGATCAATCGGCTTTCGATCTTTTGACCTTGTCGTGTATTGGATGTAGGACTTTGAAGCAATACCGGGAAGCGGGGGTCATAATTATAACATATGACAACAATTCGCCGTGCGTTTCTAACTTTTATTTACATATTTAAAACTGATGTAGTGTAGTGAAAAGTCATAGTCAACCTAAAATCGAAGCCGGCAAGAGGTCTGTTACCAATTATTTTGTATATGCATACTTATCTGTTTTAGGAATGTACTAATGGCATATGGATAAAATGGTGAACAGATAATGTGGACTAATCACTCGGCCTTCTACCGCCGGTGTACCCTATAGAAATTAATTATTATTAATATTATGTATTTATAAGTGTGTATGGGTTCATTTTATGGATACTAAAGCCTTCCCCCCCCCCTATATTACATTCTTAATCCCTTAATAATCATTAAAATCCGCTTAACTAGCTACAACAATGAGTTACGAAATGAAAGACATTTTGGTTTAGACAATATAAATTAATCAACAACATTAGTAAGAGATTAGGCGAGAGCTAATTCTTCGGCCGGCACCGCTTTGTACAGAGCTTCAACTCCGTCTATTATTTGGGCTATGATGGCCTTGACGATGGGAGGTGCGATTTCCTGCATGACGTCTTTCCAGTTGCTGTTCGCGAACTCGACCACGGGAGCCGCTGCAACCGAAAGTTCAAATTAAGCATTTGTAAACTGTGTTCAGGCAAAAGGTGCCCTCAGGTTGACCGCGATTCCTTACCTAAGATTTTGTTGCCATTGAACAAGTTTTGGAAGGCGAAGGTGGTTCCCGTCAGAACGTTGTAGGAGTCCTTCCACTTGGCGATGTGCCAATGAGTCTTGCCGTCCGGCCCGGTCACATTGCTCAGCTCGCCCGATACTTTGATCACTATGTCTCCTGCGCGAGTAATGTCAGGTATGAAATAACAGCCTTAAGGTTGACTAAGGATTAAGGATGCGTAACTTGCATGTATTTATTTTACTCAAGAAAACTTGCGCCTGATGAATAAAACGCGCAATGTAGAGACATTGCGCGTTTTATTCATCAGGCGTCATCTCTTACGTATATCAATGGTGTATTTGCCATCTCCCTGCACGGGCAAGATGAGCAGTTGTCCGGACAATTTGTAGTCACCCTTCAGCACCAAATTACACTTCACTGTTATAGATTGCTTCATCTTAACGGCGTCCATTCTATAATGGGATAAAGTAATTGTTTTTACGTAAATATTTCATTAATACAATGTGCTAGGATTGACGTCTCCAAAATAGCGATCGCCATAAATATGCACCAAGAGTACGTTAATACATTATGGCAACGCATTATGCGGTATGAGAGGGCACGTAATAATGTTACACCTATCAAGTTGTCTCGGCGCGTCGCGTCCGCTTCGCGAGACAGGATAATAAATCATAATTTCCATGGTTAATATTTTAAGCATATCCGTTTTGTAATATACAATTCGATAGGACGTTTGTATTTTAATTCCACAATTGTATTACTAGAACAATATATCCTACTGTAAATCTCTTCAAAATTATTATTCTATCATTTTAAAGTTACCTCTGCAAGGAACTAGACTATAATATTTTAGTTATACTATATAGTACTTAGATGTTAATCCTTAGCTTTTCTAGACCTTACCTTACCTTTCTTGCTTTTCTTTGTGATGTCATCATCTTTTTCTGTTATACTGAGAGTCAAATAAAGTAGCCGACAATCAATTGTGTTGTCGTCCACAATTATTTCTAACGATGTTGACATAATATTATGTGCTATTGTTTTCTGTTACGTTTGTTTATTTTAAATTACCTACGCTTTTTACAGCAATTTGAAGCAGTTTCAATTTTGATAAGTTGTTGTCTATTTGTTATATTGTAAAGGTCTGTCGACTTTGTATAAAAGGCATAACAACTATTATAAAATTTCCGATCAAAGCCGAAGATAATACCGAAGTCAAAAGATAATACCTACATTGTGATAAACTTGGGCTACAAACTTCACAGTTCACACAACGTATTGCTGCCGATGACGGTTGCACGGAGAAAGTTTCATTTGGTGAAAAATAATAGGAGGTAGTTTATTTCACAGTCAATTAAGACTTGAGATTCGAAAAAGTCAAGTTGAATTTGTTATATGTGTCTATTTGTTAGGTTCAAAAAAGTAGGAAATCAGGGACTGTACCCTAAAACTCTACAACTTAATAAAAGTTCACAGCCAATATGTTCTTTATATTTGAGCTTGAACTATTTGTATCGTGAAGAACTTTACATCTATATGAGTTGTGACTATTTTTTGTTGGTCGGACGTTGAAAACTCCTCAACAGTTTACATTAGCTACCTGCTATGTTTGAACTTCGATCAATATTTTTAGAAATACCCGTTTTAAGCTTCGCTTGTGTCGGTTTTGTCTGTAACTTAAGCCGTCGCGTCTCGCCAAGAACTCGTAAATGACTGAGCTCAAAATACATTAGGTTTCGAACTGATACTGTTCCTATTATGTTTTGTAGTAACTGTGTTTTAAAGGGAGTAAGGGTACCGATAGCGATTAAGAGCGTATAAGAAATATTTTAGTGGTAGTGGTATATCTGTATGTATAGTATATATTTTGGTGTGGATTAAATTATTTCAATTTGAATTTAATTATACTGCTGCCAGTGAAACTAACTAGCCATTTGGACAATAATAATGTACGATAAACAAACAAACTGTAAATAGCCACTAAGTGCATGAACGGCAACACGCAGAGAGCCTTTAGGTTAGCCCAACGAGAAGTGTATGTCGACAAATTAGTAAGTCGTGGTCATTAACTCACTTGATGTTTTGGAAGACGCAACTCTTGAGGCCAGTCATGACGGTGTCCTTGAAGACCAAGTTGAGGCCTCCTTGCTCGCTCTTGATCAGATCTATGCGCATCGGGTCCATCGGTCTGCGGAATAGTCCCGGGTTAAAAGATTATCTTTTCGATCTACTAGAGGAAATAAAAAGCTCGACTCACCTGATTCCGAGTTCAGGGACTCCGGAAATGAAGTAAGGCATCGCCGCTTTTGCCGAAGACAGCAAGCACGCCGAGTCGCCGTTCTTGCATGGCGTTATGAAGGGGGCTGGAAAAATAGTTTGAACTCGTGAACGCGGCTCACATCCGACTTATAGATATTACCTATGTTACGAGATAATTACTTCATACAGTAAGATCGAGAAAGATCCACCAAAGGATGTTTAAATTTAACGTATCTAGTGCTGCATACAACGAAGGAAACAGAGGCTGCGGGCCTCATCGAACGTTGGAGAGCATAAAAAATGTAATGCTCCTAGTAATCTGCCTTTTGTATATAAAAAGCCCGCGAAGTGTACAATGTGTCGAATAATATTTAGAAACGTTTTCCTCATAGCTAACTCTAATATGTAGTAAGGTACCTTGAAATGGTGATTCCGTACAAAAACAGCCTCAACTACATTAAACAGGTATTAATTATATTTTAACTCTCACACTTAATACGCTACGCCGTTTTATGGGCCGTGTCTTCCTTCAATAGCACGTTTTGGAGATATTTATGTAAGAATAGAATGAGAAGTCGAGCAATATGGAAATATGTCTGTGCAAAAACGTTTTATTCAAGACGATCGAAGCGAAAATATACGTGTTAACAAACAATTAAATATTCTTTAATTTATTGTCGAATGTCGAATGGTCTGCATTTGACGGAAGACCGGTGTTTCTGTTTGTTTCTAACGTCGTCAGTCATCGGCAAAGTAGCATTACACTATTTGCTCAGTTCACAATAAACGTGTAGATTGATTTTCTAACGTACGAAGTATTGAATTGCCGTCTTTCCGAGTTTTTCTGAGAACAGCTTATACGCAACTAGCGCTTTACTATTATTATGTTACCATTGTTTAACTTGAATCATGATTTTATTTTAGTAATGATGAATGTTTAAAGTTACACATTTCTTTCAGAGCGAGAAGTGATGACACTTAATGTTCCGTATTATAATGAAAGTAATGTATGGTCTCCTCACTAATTAGGATCGTAAAAACGACGAATATTCTATTTGTCTCATCAGGGTGACAGAGAGACGCGAGACTCACCCGACGCGGAGCGGACGCTCCACGCGAATCCTAGTAAGCATAGAACACGAAACATTTCGCAAATTATCCTTAATAACTATTGATAAGCGACTCGACTCCTATTCTGATGAGAATCGCTCCAAGATCTCAGTTTTATGCTCGCGTCGACGTCACGCCCGTGACAATGTCACACGCGCTGCGAGAATCGCGCGAACGAGTAATTTTCAAAAACGTCGCAGTCGCGGCTTCTTTGTCAAAACGGGTTTACTTACAATGTGTTTAGTAAGGAGAAGACGGACAAACGTGACACAGACGGAACATTACTACTTCCTTAAATATACAAATAATGTATACGGCATAATTTATTTAGAAATGGATAGTAAATGATCGAGCAGAAATGTGTAATGCAGTAGTCTAAACAGTCATCTTCTGTAAAAGTATCTTCTTACTGTCCTCCTGTACTAGCAATAAAACAGAACACGTCGCCACTAGGCAAACGAGCGAAAAAGCAAATCTAGCCGCAGCGCACGCGCTGAGCAGGAACCGGGCGAGGCGTCGCTCGTGAGTTGTGACGAGAGACGACCCCCAGAGCTTTTTGTGCACATTCATTCGTCATTCTCACACAACATTACGTTCTTTTGTTCATTACGAATTCCTAATAAAATGTTATGGCCCGCCACCTAAAGTTAATTGCTTTGCAAAAATATTTTAAAGTCTTTAATAAGCCATCGTCTAAGGCGTTTATTATCTCTGCCATTTTTACGAAGTAATTCGACATTATTTTAGAACGATGGCGATAATTTATAGCGTTTACACTGTATACAATGTGAGGTCGATCAGTGTATAGACAAACATTTTCCCACTGGCACTACCGGTATATATTACAGGTATTTATATATTAGGTATGTATATGTCGTCGAAGCATATTAGTTTACATCGACATCGATCAAAACCAGCTTTGATTTATAAGGAAAAACGTTAAATGGATACAGTCATAAGATTTAAGAATCACAATCTAATTACTAATTGTCTAATTGTTCATTTATATTTGTTATATAATACGCAGTTCAATCGGTCCATACATCTGTTATGGATTTCTTATATTTGCAGGCATTTTACCCCTTGTACAACTGTCGTTATTGTTTTTTAAGCATGAAATAGACTATATTTATGTTTTTAAAATATCTTTTGTTAGTACTCAATTAGGAAACAAGAAATATGTACTTCCAGTTTTTATTTTGTGTGCGTCACTTAGGTTACCTGCGGTGCACGCTTTAAAAGGGATGCTAAACTAGGTAGACAAAGAAAACAGTGTGATTTTGGCTCGAAATATATCGACATCAGTCGAGAGAAAGTTCCCTAATTGGCACCCTGTCAAAGAGCTTGGACGTTTCGCGGACGATCTTGGCGACGATCGCCTTCACTATGGGCGGCGACAGTTCGTTGAAAATGTTCCTCCAGTTCGAGTTGGCGAATCGCGTCACCGTTTGGGCTGAAACGCAAAGATAAAATCCTTTTTAATAATGAACTGGTAATGAACAAATCTTTTCGAATCTTGTCGAAGCGGTGGTGCATCTTCACCTAGCCCCTTGTCGCCGTTGAAGAGATTGTCGAAGCGGTAGTGGACATTCGTGAGCACGTGGGCGCTGTGCTTCCACCCCAACACCGTCCAGTAGTGGTGTCCGTCAGCCACGCGCTCTCCGGTGTCGAGGGTAACTTTCACCACGATGTCGCCTGGATATTTCAACAATAAATAAACGTTTGAGGTTATGTTAACGACCGGTTGGGTTTCCCTATAGCATACGTTCGTCACTTACGTATGATGATTTTGTAGGGACCTTTGCCCTGAATAGGGAAGAGCAGGAGGCGCCCGTCGAGGTGGTAGTCGCCCTCCAGCACCACGGAGCATTGTAGCTCCACTGACATCTCGCGGCCGCGGCGTCTGCCAACATCGCGCATCCTCATTCATGAAGAGTTAAGGTAACGAATTTATTACTGTTTCTGTCGCTGTAGCTTTCAAATAATTAAAAAATACACATAAACGTATCAATTAGTCGTGTGACGACGTTTTCCCGAATCAGCGAATTAATTCGTGGTAATTGAGTGAAGGACGCGGCGGATGCGTACAGTAATCGGTGCTGACAACTGGCACAAGAGGTAATTTGTATGTCGACGGCCGAAATCGACAAAAAACACAAAAGATTGAGCAAAAAGCATGTTGAAATTGACATGAGAATAATTTGATAATGGTTCCTATAATAGAATGTCATTAGCGGGAGTTAGCCGGTCGCTGAAATAAATTGTTAATATACCAGTTATTAATTATGTGTACGTGTGTCGCAACACGTCGGCTGCATCCGGAAAGTGTCGATGCAGGCTTTTATAAGTATAGTCGGTCTCACAACTACTCAGATCTCAAATCCGGGACGATCCTTGCCTAAGTTACTTGAATATTTCGATCGATTCTGAATTAAAATTCACTTACTGTACGTCCAAGACCCGGCAATGCCTCAGACCTCGCACTGTCGTATTAGTGAAGTCCATGGACAGGCCGGCCTGAGAGGCAAGCACGCGTTCCACGAGCATCGGGTCCAGGCTGCGCACGCCCAGCCCCGGGAGACCCGCCGCTATCGCCGGCAGCGCCCGCTGAGCGGAAGACCTCAAGCACGCTCTGTCCTTCGCGTAGCATGGCGTGATGAAGGGCACTGGACGAGACATTTCATTCATATTAGCCTGTAATACTTTTGTGTGTCAAATTTGCTGTTTGCCCCTCCAACTCTAACGTTTATCTTAATGAATATCTGTGGGCAACAGCAAACGTGTCAAGGAGACGAGAGACGTTTATCCTCAATTCAAAGTTATCCTCCGCGCGGCAATCCGTTTTTATAACATCTATGTTCGTAATCGATCAAAATAAGTGTAAACTCACCGGAATCAGAGCGAACCATCTTCGCGCAAGCGCAGACCAACACGGCTATGAAGACGCCGGCCTTCATGTTGACCGATCCACTTTGCATTGATGCGCACACGGCCCTTGCTCGTTATCAGTGGTCATTTTATATCGATTTCGTCGCTAATTACTCACAAATTGCCAATTAAATGTCTCTTGTGAAATAATTCCACTATTTCTGGAGTTATTAGCGTTGGCGTAGTCTTTCGGCAGACGAACGGATCGGGCTGTGAAGTGTGACGTCGCACGTTTCACTACAATAGCTACTTGTATAATACCTAACTTAGAAGAACATATATGGAACGAAGTTTCCATTCCAACTGCATTATTGACCTTAGTTTAGCTCATTGCATTGCAAAAAACGCATTCCGCTCAGAATACCGGAATGACAAAAGGATCGCATCGGGCGGGCGACGGATTGAATCACGCATGTATTTAAACGAGCGTCAGAAACAAACATGTGTCTGTTGCGTCTCCCTTTTTCTCGAACAACTCATTACACTGCCTCGAATGAAACAATTTCAAACATTTCATTTGTGATAAAACAAAATAAAAATGATAATATGATGTATGTACACATATCATTGTTTACTTTTTATTATATTCGTATCGACATGGACAGGTTTATACAGAAGTTGCTTTGTTTATAATAACAACATTTGTTCGTTGCTAGAATTTTCGGAAATACCCAATTCTTACAGCCAAAAGCAAAAATATCAATTGTTGTGTAACTTCGGAGATTCATGGAATTTTTTTTTCACAATATGCCTCGAGTACAATCGCTAGAGTAGACAATCAAAATCTAGTTTCTGATAACGTATTAAATGTATACAAACAAACTATGTATTTCTATACCTTAAATATATACAACGCAGTTCTCTGTCGAAATGAAGCCACAAGACGCTCAATGAATCAGTTAGTAGTTAAACCCTCAAAGGTCGACGACATTGATCTTTACTCTTCCGCCGTTGACTGGAAAATTATACAAAGCTTACTCATCTTTTGATGTCGTGTAAATCGGTTTTGAAGAATTCTCTCTTTTCTTAAATTGTTTTAATGACGCACTTGGCCATAACACGCCGTAATTAGAGGTACGACTTAGTATCAACCGTTTAGTATCAACTTAGTATCAAGACGTCAACCGTACGTTGACACCTTCCGCGACTTATAATTCTAATTATGGTCATCAAATCAGGGGTGGCCAACTAGATTAGATACAAGATCTCCTGTTTTCTTACAAACCCTGTGCGATGCAGCCACTACATACTTCTTGGAAAATCAAATAAAACAGCATAGTTCAGTAGTACCCATATGATCGGGTAATACAGAGTAGTATATTGTTTTTATAAGAAGAAAACCATAAATGTTAAAATTATTCTTAGTAACTACTTACATATAATATACTAGCTTTTCCAGAAACTTCATCCGCGGGAATCGTTATTTTGGGCATCCAAATTCGTTTTTGCAAACCCCGTCATCTTTATAAACTTAGGATGTTACCTACGACGTCGGTCGCGTCCCTTCCCGTCGTTCTTGCAAGTTAATCATTAAAGATAGATATATAGTGTCACGGACTTTTTTAGATCATTTAAAGAGGAATTATTCTTTTGTACATATTTTTTGGGTATCTTGGAGCGTCTTTGCATCGTATGCCTCGGAAACCCATAATGATGAATAATTTTCCCAATTTTTTTCACATTTCTTGCTGTATCTTCGCTTGTATTAGTCACAGTGCGATATTTTATAGCTTTCCCCGATAAGTAAGCTTTATATATTAGTATAGATTAGTGTGAGCTAAAGGCATAATGCCTCAGCATCTTCCGCCATACAAGCACAATTTCTAGCAAGTTCATAAATCACTGTGATAACAAGTTGAAAATTCTAATTATTTCTGAAATCACTAAAGCATACCTAGGCATATATAAGCTAAAGGTACCTATATGCGATCACGTCTACGTCTATTAGTTTAGAGGATTTGTAACTGAAAAAGAGTTAACAAAAACTTTGAATACTCTTTGAGATATAAAAAAGCAAATTTACCGAGTCAAAGCACTGATAATAATTTAACAGAGTTTGTTTTCATCAGTATTCGTGACGCTTAACTCATTAATCAGAGAAGAGTTACCACGTGGAACGACTCTTAACATCGTGATTCTGTAGAGTTCACTCCGATTTGTACATATTAATATACAACTTTGTCCAAGCAGAATATGTTTATTTACAGCATTATTATTATAAGTTTTAAACATCTTAAGCATACATACTTTTATTCTTGAGATGTTTGGAGAAGTGAAAAATAAGAAAAATAGCGTCAAGGCCGTTTGCTTCCTCTATCTTTTATAAGCAGAAGAGGAGCGCTTCAATGCAATTTTAGTGTATAATAGATATAAAGATTAGACCGAAACGACAATATAACTACTTAAATGTAAACGTAGCTGCCGACACAACTGTATTAACGAATCGAGGGCTGCAGGGCCTTTTGCTGAGCTCATTAGCCTCTCAAATGGCATTAAGTAACTCGTTATCAATCCGAACCAATGGTATAGCTGCTATAGTCCTTGATAGTGCAAGGACGACGATCGTCAATCTCTTCTCAAAGCCTTCTTGATAGTACGAAGTACTAAGATAGTAGTTTCCCCTTGTATAAAATTTGCCAATTGAGTTCAATGCTCGTAGTAGTTATTCATACATTCACATGATAATACGAATATGTTAGTTAAAATCATTTTAATACCAATTTGTTCATTCAGGCGATGGTTATACATTTTTTCCACATCTATTTGATATATTGGTTTCGCTAAAAAAATCTTTACTGTTCTTAATATTTCTGAACGAGTACAGAAATTTTATTGATATCTTTTGTTTAATAAATTGTATATTTATACAAAAATTAAAATTTTACGAACATAATGAAATTGTGGCCACGGAGAGACTGTGACCCCGGCTGCCGCAAAGCATCCGAAACGTCGGGCCGAAGTTGAAAATCATTCTCAAATAAGTTTAACTAATATATCGCGTTTTAAACCGTTAAAGTGTTTTATTTAAATGTGTACTACTCGCGTAAACTATAGACAGTATAATTAACACAACTGTTGTTGATGACCATTTAATTAAAATATCAAATGGCATTTTAGAGGACGAAGGCAAAATAAATCTGCATCACACTGAAGGCAAATAAGACTGTTTGACTTTCTGGCAACAAGCAAACATCACTCTCAGCATTGTAAGACGAATATTTCTCAGAAATATTTCGAATAGATGTATTATTTAATTATCGAGACATTTCTCGTCTCAAAAACGTCTACTTCTTGAAGACGTTTTTTAAACAGTAATATTGGAAACGATCAAGTCCGACAACATACTTTTAACAGGCGTAATACAATACAGCTATGTATATTTAAAACATACGATATTTATAATGAAAACGTCAAAAAGACCCTCATTTTACTTGTTAATAGATACTATAGAGAGTAGTCGTATTTCGAGAGTATTTAATGTTTAAACGGTACTCGAATGTGACGAAATTTCCAAAACGCGTTCGTTAAAATTCGCAGGCGCAAGAATGTTTTTATATATTATTTCGTTTACCTCACTAATACTCACTCAATGACGGTAAAGCAGACTAAGATCCTACTTATGTATTTTTTATTTATTCATTAAAAACCAGTCACATGTCCCTATAGAATAATAATTCCAACATGACAACTCCAACAGTCAGTTACAATAATATTTTTACATGTCTTAGAGATCGAATGAGATATCATACATTACCGTCTTTATGAAATCGCTCGTCACAAAAAGATAATGAAACCTACGGAGATTGCCATATATGCGACATCTTTCCGCTTACTTGTTTAATGTGATAAGCCTTGGAAAACTTTCGGTCGAATATCACAACTGCATTTCTTATCGCCTGGCTTAAATTATTTAAAACATCTTACACCTTCATTTCTACAATACGAGATGGCAACTGCATTATCGGCGTAGTAAGTTTACATTTAGAAGGCTCCGCCAAGTATGCACGTGCATGGTATTTCATTTTAGTTTTATCATCCTCATGTCAGGTCGAACATTGTTCGATTGAATCCGATTATTACAATACTGCGACGCAGATCCTCTAATCGCTGACCCTCGGCGACTAGTTACACTTGCCTCAGCGGTGACGCCCAGTAGGGTCAAAAAGACAAGACGACTTATGACTATAAGCGAGAGTGGCGTTTACAAAACCGAAGGATCAGGGCGCCCGATTTCGGCCGCAGAGTTACGTTACGAAGATATAAAGCGAAGGCGGCTTCTTGCAGCGCCGCAGTCCGACGCGCGCGGCTTTTATTCGAGTACCTACGTGCACCATGCTCCCGGTTCTGTTCACCCTGATGTTCTGCGGCCTGTGCGTTTCGGCCGGGACGCTACGTGAGTTGCCTCAATGATAACTCGAACGTCTAATAATTTCACTAATCACACATTTCGTTACGACGAAAAGAACCGCAGCAAAATGGCCCAGTGATTCCTCTAAGTTTGATCATTCACGATATTATTACGAGGGAAAGAGTTCAACGCGCACAGCTTTTTTTCCATTTCACTTTCTTATTTTTTAGTAGCTAATAATATATAAAAATACTTATCTCATATACATCGGCTATTTCAGCAATGAAAAGTTGTCGGACTTCGTTGTTTACATTTCTTTTCGATTACAAAATATCGGATACAACATTTTGGTTAAAAATTGAAATGTCCGAAAGGTCGTTACTTTCATGCGGGCAGTTTTGTAAGAGCGATTAAATTCCGGTGAGGTGAAGAAATGCTCGATACAACTTGTTGCATGACGTTTCAATGTCAGCGTCTTCCTCCGTACTCGCGCCTTTCAAAGTTTCGGATCATTTTGCCTATAAAAATATTATCATTATAGGTAAAGTAGTTTCTTTTTTTTCAAATACAGGCTGACTTCAAATGAAAGTTATGGGGGGAATAGCCAGTGGTATCGTTGGCTTCTGGTTCGTTATTGTGTTTATAAATATAATATTTGCCGCATGAAAGGCTTAGACATAAAAAAGCAGATTAGGTGGTATTATATAAGTAGTTTATTTGTCGATAGTTCTTGTTTTTATTATATCACTATGTGAAATATATTGTTTGAATTAAGTCTTAAATGAATAGCATATTGTGAGTTTGTCTTCCAATTATGCGGGAATAAATGCCCAGTATAAGCAATTAGAAAGACGGGCGTGCCATTAAGATACTGGCTTTAATACCAGGCTCACAACTGAAAGTAGTTCCTTCTTTATTTGTCCGTTCGTAGTCTTTGTTCATTGAACTTTGCTGTTTAACATTGATAAACAGAAAAGCACACTCACGGCACAGAAACCAAGTGCGTCCTTGCGAACAAATGAAATGAGATATGGTTCGTGGTACTCTCTTGCTAGCTTAGGTGTGCGGACACCTAATTCACACAGGCAACAACGTGTGGTGCTTTTATACGTTTATAATACTTCTTACCTATGATTTACCAAGTTTATTTCCATTTCATGAATGTGTCGCAGCGCCTTTCTTGAATGCGTGTTCAGCGTCGGATCCAAACCTAAGCGAATGCGTGGAGAAGGTGATCTCGGCGGGCGGAGGCAAGTTCGCCAAGGGCATACCGGAGCTGGGCATCGCCTCCCTTGACCCGGTCCATTTGGGGAAAGTGGTGGTGGACAACCCCGCCTTGAAACTCACCTTCGATGACACCGTAGTCACTGGCTTGGGAGACTTTCACGTCAACTCTTACAAGTGAGTGTCCTATTCTACCGCTACGAAATTCAGTCAAATGCAGATAGATAAGAATAATTAACGTTATGGTTTTGCCAGAATCGACACGGAGAAAGGCAAAGCGACCTTAGACTTCACCGCCAACGTGACGTTGAAGGCGAACTACGACATGGACGGACAAGTTCTAATTTTGCCCATCCGGGGCAGCGGACAGGCGAAGATCAAAATTAGTAAGTAAATCAGTTAGGGGTAATATTTTGTAAACGATAGATTTAGGCGTATTCAATGCTAATAGCAAGTTACGTCCACAGCTAATCTGAACATTGTGATCAAGTACGACTTCAAAACCGTAGACGGCTTCTGGACTGTGACAGGTTACAAGGACAGCTACAAGATGGACAGAGCGCAATTCAAGTTCAACAACCTATTCAACGGCAACAAAGAACTCGGTAAGCTGGATTCGAATGCAGATCTTCAAAGCTATTCCTGATACTGGCGTCACCTTGATACTTCTTCTTAAAACAAATACTGAATAGAATACAGTGTATTCATCTGATTTTATGGCAGGAGTTAATTAATTGTTCCATTCGTTCGAAATGATGCACGCCAATTCTTTTAAAGCTAAAATATTGTAATCCTGGTGATATTTTGCTTACCGGCTAATAGCAGTACTTACAATAATGCAAATCACTACTATTTTTGGCACAGTACCGCCTAGCAAATTAGTTTATGGATAAATCACTAAAGCGAAAATTATCTTACTCCCCCCTGGATTTCAAAATACAACATCGGATCTATGAAGACTATTTGTGCTAAAAAATATACAATACAGTAGGTAAATAAAGTAGGTAGAATCGTCAAGGTGTACAATTGTGACTATCGTCGTAGAAGAATCCAAGTCAAGAATCCAAGCCAAGTCCGATACCATTCTTCATCGATTCATCGTTAGTCAAATATTACTTATTCGTAACTTACTTTCTCATTCTTACATTTACACAATATGTCAAACGAGGTCAAAGGCGGCCGACTACATCGAAAGATCTTTAAATCTGCAAAATTTACGAAACGTTACTTTTGATATTTCTTACGCCGAACTTTTTTGTTGTAGCGTCGACGATACACAGAGTCATCAACGAGAACTGGGAGCCCGTGATAAGGGATATAGCTCCGGTGGCTTTTCACACCATCATCAGCGCCTGCGTCAACGAAGCTAAGAAACTCTTCGCCGCTGTCCCTGCGGACCGTCTTCTATTGCCCTGACTCACTTGAGGAACAGCCACTGCGCGAAAGTGCACGCGCTGGTCTCGAATTTCGGATTCTGCGATTGCAGCTCACAGATCAACACGGCATTTGAATGGCATTCAGATGGTCATTTTTGATCTTTAATTAGGCATTAGCATCTATTTATCTCAACAGAGTGGTTTATAAATAGCCATAAGTAAGTTTCGTTAAGACCTTAATTATGTCGGTTGCGAGTTTCCGTAATCCGTGTTGTCGATATTGTAACTTCCTACAAACGGCCAATAACGAATGCCGCTGTTTTTAGTGTGCAACTGTCGACATCCTTCCTTTATATGTGTTCAATAGGATTGTATGAAATAATTAATGTATTATATTTATGGGAAAACCCGTTCGAGGAATTGTATACTTTATGTACGTTAGAAAAAAAAATAGCAGCAACGTTCCGGTAACTCGACAAGTACATTTCTTCGGTTTTGATTCATCTTCTCTGTAGTGTCTAAGGTGCACTTACAGACAAACGTTTTTTTATCTGACTTGTAGAAACACAGCAGACATGATCAAAATTATTAAAGAAAAATGAATTGAATGTATCCTAAAAGAAACTGTATTGGTTTTATAAGGATATTGTAATAGTTTTTCTCAGAATAATAAGAGTAATGCGATTCCGAGAACATCCTGATTTAATTGTTGCTAGCAATAATGTTTATTTAATTTTGTTTTATGGTGAAGCTATCATATTCATAACCTTGAGTTTGATGAAATCTTAATGTGAGAGATGTTTCAGATTTAGTAATTAGTGTCTTGAGCAGAAAACTTTAAGGATTTGTCATATATTAAGAAGTATACATGTAAGACAAATATTGGAAACAAAAACTTGTTGCAGTTTCATTAAAACTTAAATGTATTACTTCAAATAAGCACATCTGAATAATTATCCATAATAAAAATTACATTTTCCTTTTATCATAAAAATATGAACGTCAATCAGTCTTCAGAGGAAACATAATTATTTCTTTGAAAGTACAAAATGTTAAATACATAACAAATATAAATGTATATTTTCAACATAAGGTTAAGCTTACGGCTAACTTTTAATGATTATCAAGTATGGAAGCAGTGTCAATTGAATAAAAGGCTTTATCGAGGGCACATGGCATGGCGTCCACCATCTACAGGAACACTGGCACCAGTTATATTGCTTGCTAAATCACTTGCTAAGAATGATATGGTAGCAGCCACTTCTTCAGGCTTTCCTGGCCGTCCTAAGGCATGTGTCTCTTTGCTTCTCTCCAAGAATGCGGCATACTGCTCATTGTTTAATCCTCCACGGCGTTGCAATTCCGTCAGAATGACACCGGGATTCACACAATTGACCCTCACTCCCTTTGGCGCAAGTTCCAAAGCGACACACCTCGTAAACTGGTCCACCGATGCCTTGGAGACATTGTACGCTAACACTCCAGGGAAAGAACGAATTCCATTCACACTTGAAACATTGACAATGTTTCCCTTTGTTTTCAATAAATAAGGTACCGCTAACATAGTCAAATAGTAAATGGAGCGAACATTTGTATTCATAAGACGATCGTATTGTTGTAATGACGTGTTTTCAATCGTACCAGTCTCGATTATACCCGCATTGTTGATAAGTACGTCTACCTTTCCATAATGATCGACAGTGTTCTTGACGATCTTTTCTATATCTTCTTCTTTAGTTAAGTCTGCAGTTATAAGTAAGCTTGGAGCCGATTTTGCACAATCTTCGTTGACCTTCTTTAAGTTGCTTTCATTTCTTCCAGTTAACGAGAGTTGAGCGCCAAGTTTCGATAAAAAAACAGCAGTAGCCGCTCCTATTCCTGAGCTGGCACCGGTCACGATTACGACTTTTCCAGCAAAATTCATTGCACCAAACTACCAACTTTCTAGAACTGAAAACAACACAATGAGATACGGCAAGCAAAGTAGAATCTTATCAGAAATTACGTAACTTATGTAAATCGAAACATTTAAACGAGCTAATGTTGACTAAATATTTGATAGTAGTGTCAAGTGGCATTCCGCGATATGCTATAAATAAGTACCGAATGTCGCAGAATTCATTTATGTATCATGCGCAACATGCCTTCAATCAGTTTACACATTCTCTCGCTTTGTATATTTTGAAAGCCATTCAAGTAATGTGCTATGCTATTTTCTCTTGAATTTCGGCGAACTAAATAACTAATATCATACAATAATCATTCATTGTTTAATAGTTAACACTTAACATAAACTAGTAACTTAAAAGACAGGTGTCAGGCAGTGGATATGTCACAGATAACATACACCATACCGTGTATTCTTGAATTGTCATTGAACTATTGATTCGAACAGTTACTATAGTGGTTACTGTGATATAATATAAACTATATAAACTGTTAAATAAAAATGATTAATAATCACGTAGGCGTGGGGTGTATTTAAATGTCTAATCCGACATAATATTTATATGATGCAATTTTTAGAACACTATGTAAATTTTTCGTAAAGTTTTACACTTAATACCCAAAAACTAAATTATTCAGTAATGTTTCGTTAAAATGACAATTGTAAGTATTAACTTAAATATGAGCGTATAGATAAGGAAAGTAACTTCACTAAACCCCCTTCACCAATAAGATAAATTCTGTAAATTCTTCAGAAAGAAGTAATACACATTCACATAGGACAATCAGGTGTACAAGTAGCGAATGCCTGTTGGGAATTATACTGCTTAGAGCATGGCATTAGACCAGACGGCATTATGTTGTTTGATGAAAATGAACAAAACTGCGCTTCTTTCTTTAGCAGTACGGCCGGAGGAAAAGTGGTCCCTAGGGTCGTAATGATAGATTTGGAACCGACTCCAATTGGTAAAGTACTTCTCAAAAGTATAAAACCTTATGTACCTAATTTAGGTTTTTTTGAATTCCTTTTATTTATATTTAGACGAGATACGACATGGTACATATCGACACCTATTCAATTCGAAGTCTCTCCTTACTGGCAAAGAGGATGCCGCTAGTAACTTTGCAAGAGGCTATCTTGGCGTGGGACGAGAAATGATAGACGTAGTACTTAATAGAGTGCGGCTCGCAGCCGAAGATTGCCATCATTTGCAAGGATTTGTTGTATTTCGCTCATTCGGAGGAGGCACAGGATCAGGTTTTACATCTTTACTGCTAGAGAACATGACTAAAGAATATAGAAAACTAACGAAAATAGAATTTGCTATCTATCCGTCGCCTAGAATGTCACCTATTATTGTAGAACCATATAACGCACTCTTAACAGCGCACTCCTGCATGGATACAGAAGATGTTTGTTTTATATTAGACAATGAAGCGTTATATGATATCTTAGCTAGGTCTCTGGAAGTACCACGACCGACTTATACAAATTTAAATCGATTGATTGCGCAGGTATATAATATCACATTAATTCCTGAATAACGTACCACGTAAAGCTGCGTAACATTATATTAAACGATATAATATTTTGTGTAGGTTATTTCGTGTATGACTGCGTCCTTAAGATTCGAAGGATCATTAAACGTGGAGTTGGTTGAATTCAGAACAAACTTAATTCCTTACCCTAGAATTCATTTTCCTTTGGTCACGTTTGCTCCATTTGTACCACCAAGTAGAGCCCAGCATGAAACAATGTCTACACAGCAATTGATGATGGCATGTTTTGAACCAGCTAATCAAATGGTCAAATGCGATCCCAGAAAGGGCTCGTATATGTCATGCTGCTTATTGTTTAGAGGTGACGTTAATCCAAACGACATCAATTTTGCAATTAACCAAATAAAAAGCATGCGGTCTGTTAAATTCGTAAGCTGGTCACCGACAGGTTTTAAGGTAGGTAACTGCTTTCCATAAGCGTAGATGACTTCTACGAATGACTAGGTTTTATTTTTTTGCAACGTACTTTTTGATAGCAATATTCTTTCTACGTAATCAAATTTCAGATAGGAGTAAACAGTCGACCGCCCGTAACAGTTCCCGGAGGTGATTTAGCTATACTACAGAGAGCAGTAACAATGGTCTCAAATTCTTCAGCAGTGAGGATTGCGTGGGAGCATTTGTGCAAAAAGTTCTCTTTGATGTATGCTAAACGTGCATTTGTTCACCACTACGTTGGCGAGGGTTTAGAAGAAGGGGAATTTACAAATGCACTCTACAATATAAAGGCTTTGTCAAATGATTATCGGGAAATGGAAACGTAACGTGTTGCGTACTTTTAACAATATACTTATCTATTTATAATAATACATATATTTTGACATGTTATCAGTGTGTTGGAAACAATTTGACGTATACAATATGTGTAATATCTTTATTTGTGTTTTAACACAAGCTAAATCGTATGTTACCTACTCTTTCACTTCCCAGATTCAAATTTTATTTAAACCGCGGGAAAAATAAATAAATAAAATATTTTTTCCCCTTTGAATTAACCACTGAGCAAGTAAGTAATAACCAAAAAATAAGGAACAGAAACATTATTCCATAATAATATGATATGGTAAATCAGAATTTATAAATACAGGTAATCGTTGACTGAATATAATTATTATACCGATTTTAGGTCATCTTCATGATGACCTAAAATCGTTGACAAAGAAAACTGTCAATGTGTTTTCATTGACATTGACGGTTTTTTCTGTCAACATTGACACATGCACATGCATGACAAGTAAATAACAAAATGTCATATTTTATCTACACCTTGTCGTTAGTCCCAGACAAGGTGATAGACAAATGACAAAGAATAGAAAAAGCCATCAAACTTAGAAGAAGAAGAATCATATTATTTTGAGCTTTGGTGAGTGTTTATTAACGAGATTCTCAGTGGAAGAAATAATAAATGTCAATCTTGTTGTTACGACGGTTGTACTAATGTAATATGTTATTTGATCAACAGTAACGTGCTTTGTACGTCATTAAATTATTGATATATAACATAAATGCAGCCGAAGATAAAAAAAATAATGTAATATCGTTTGGGCTGAAAATTATTTACCTTACACAGGGGTTAGTTGCTACTACTTATATTACTTAGGGCAGTAGATAAAATTACAGTAGTTTAAGTAGATGTGTTTAATTTAATTTAAAAAAACTTACAGGGGTAATTATAGGTATCCGAGTATCTTTTGTATTAATAAAGGACTGAGCTGCCAGTATGATTAGTTTAGCAACTGCATGTCGAAGCTTGCAGGTTTTGAAAACACCTACTCAGTTTCTTCTAGCACGGACCAGTCATTATGCTCCCTCTAGGCAGTTAGTAACACAAGCACAATGGTCTGGTATTCGCAAAAACCATAAAGTAAGTAGCAAAAAGGTTATTTAACAGAAAGGTTTGAGGGGTCCCATGGAGGGTCAGATAACCAAACATCCTCTGTAGATGGGAGTAGAGAGAAATGGTTAGCAATTCCTGTCTGTTAGGGGTTTTATATTTATTATCTCTTAACATTCTAGTTGACACATGACTGTAGGTAGCAAACAATCCAGTTTGTTGTATTCCTAGCTCATCAATCTTACCTTAGACCTACAACTTATAATGTTTGTTTTAAGGCAAGATATAAAAGAGATTGACAAATGAATATTTATTACAGATATGTGATTTAATTAGAAAGAATGGAATTGTGGCAAGGTTTTGCGCTTCTCAACCAAAACAGAAGACTCCTAAGGTAGTGGGTTACTGGTTACTTGGATGCAGTGGAATGGTTTTCACCGCTGTTCTACTAGGTATGATCTCTGGATATTTGATACTTCTTTATTGTGTATACTATGTCGTAAATGTTGTTGTTACTACATCTAATGGTAGCAAATGAAGAAATAAAAATTAAATGAACTGAATAACACTTGAACTTATTACCAAGTCATAACCAAAAAACATTTATTACGATTTATTTATTTAGAACAACTTAATCTACCTTTATGGTAATTTTGTACCAAGTGCAATGCTATGTTAGTGACAGTTTAAATATTAAGTGCTTTGTTATTTGTGATTTATACAAACTATTAGAGAAATAAGATGAAAAAATTTAATAAAGGACAATTACTATATTACTTTTGATTTTTATTTACACCCATAATTATTTTTATTAAGAGATTTATAAACAGACTGTTTGCTTAAACTTTCTTTATACCCAGGTGGAGTGACAAGGCTTACTGAGTCTGGTTTATCAATGGTCACATGGAAATTGTTGGGAGAAAAACTGCCTAGGAGTGAGGAGGAATGGCAGAAAGAGTTTGAAACATATCAACAATTTCCTGAATACAAATAGTGAGCATACAATACTTTTTCTTGGCACTTTCTTATGTATTAGTGGTTAGCCTAAAGAGTTCATATATACTTTATAGCATATTTGCTCGTAAAGTGGTTGTAATTACACCAATTTCAATATCGTAATGTATCTCATTACGTACTTGTGCGATAATGTAATGTAAAAGGCACGTGTTTTTTTTAAATAAAGGTACTCCGTCTAAAAATGAACGATACTTTTAAAAATCTTAGCAAAGAGGTTTTATGTCAAAAGAAAGTGGTCAATATTTTATGAATAAAATTAACTGTGGGAAATAAAATATAACTAATAAACATTTGATTTAATTAATTTTGACAATAAATTACAACCAATTCTCTAAAACAAAAACACAAAAATATTAATTTACTTTAGTTAGGTTAGTAATACTGGCTGTTTTTGTACCTTTGCCTAAATAAAACGGCGCGCATCGCTTATTTGTGGACAAGTAAAAAGAATTCCGCGCGCTTTTTCTTTTCGCTGTACTGTTTTTATTTGAAAATGTCGTCAAGTAGTGATGAATTTATTAATTTGACACCGCCACAAGTCTTAAAAACGCGGCGAAAAGGCTACTCTAAGCCTCTTGTCTGAAAAATCGACCGATAGATACTTACAAGCCTATCAAAATTTTGTATTATGAAAAACAAGCCAAAATGCAAATTCATTTTCAGAAAATGTGTTTTTAGCCTATTTCATGGAACTTTCTCGTAAATATAAGTTAAGCTCATTGTGGTGCTACTATTCATTGCTTAAAAGCACTATGAAAACCAACCATGCTATTGATATCAAGTCATACTCCAACTTGCTAGCATTTCTAAAAAGACGCTCAGATGGCCATATGAGTAAAAAGACGAAAGTATTTTCGGCTGACAATATCAAAACGTTCCTAAAAGAAGCTCCGGATTGCCGATATTTAGCAACAAAGGTCAGTTGAAACGAAATAATTGTGATTCATTTCTTTCAGTTTCGTATTTCTTTACTATAAGTTGTTTATACGTTATTTTTATCTCTTTTCAGGTTGCATTAATATTCGGTATAAATGGTACATGTAGACGTCAAGAGTTGGCAAACATCACAACTAATGATATCGAGAACCATGGCCCATGGGCGAGTTCTTATCCAGGTTAAAAACACAAAAAATAAAATTCCATATCGTTCACAATACATGGGCCCTTTTTACGACGTAGTGAAGAAATACGAAACGCTTCGTTCAACATAAGCTAATTCCAACAGATTTTTCAAAGTTACCTGAAGCTCCACAAGGCACAGTTTTAAGAAGGTTCTCGGCTACATTGCTCGCCGATTCAGGTGCGGACTTATTAATACTAAAACGTCACGGAGGGTGGCGGTCGAGCAGTGTAGCCGAGGGATACATGGTGACTCGTTGAGAAATAAAGAAGAAATTAGCTCTCGTATTACAAGGAACATACATTTGCAGTCAAGTATTGACTTTCAACCATCTACGAGCACACAGGCGTACATTCCACCATCGTCGCCACAGCCGCAACCGCCTCCGCCGCCGCCACCGACGACTGCTGAACTCTGTGGTCTCGTGTCTCCTACTTTCAATCAAGAGAGTGATAGAGAAACTGGGGAAATTGTAACTAATAATAATAACTTAACAACATTAAAACATAACAATCACTTTTAAAAATTTGAACAATTTTTATAACTGCTTTAACATTTAATTAAAGATTTATTCGTTTAACTAAGTTAGAGTTTTATTAATTTCCTTGTAAATATGTTAGAAAACACTCATTACAGTCTCTGATTTCTTATAGCCCTCGCCGATGGCTCGGGCTAGTAATGTCGCCTCGGCTGTAATTTTCAATTTGCCGCACTTATATCATAATGTACTATTACAATTACCTTCTGATATATTTCAGCAAGAACATGCACATAACCCTATCAGAATTTAAATGGATTTGGTGGATGGAGTTTGCTCATCGAACATGGGGTCGGGCCATAGGTGCGGCTGTTTTTCTACCAGCCACATTTTTCTGGTTACGAGGATACCTCGATAAATCAATGAAAGTTAGGGTTGCCACATACTGTATCCTGGTGGGCGCTCAGGTGTGTATTCAATGCACATTATAATGTTTGGGGAAAAAATCTTAAAAACGTCAGTAAGGATTTTGTTAATATTTCTAGGGATTGATGGGCTGGTACATGGTGAAGTCTGGACTCGAAGATCGATTTCAGGGTCCATCAGATGTGCCGAGAGTCTCTCAATATCGTTTGGCGTCGCACCTTGGACTGGCCTTTATTCTTTACACCGGTCTATTAGGAGGAGCTCTGCGCGTGCTTCGTCCTATTCCAGTAAAAGCGGTGTACCAACGAGTTAGAGAGCTCGGCCGGGTGACAGCTACTGCTCATTTCGTTAAAGCGATGGCCTTTATTACCGCGCTCTCCGGTAAGGAAATAAAGAACATAGCATTTTACATCGCTTACATCCATTGGAATATATATAGCTTTTTATGCTTTGAAAATGATTTGCACCTTTTAAATCCTTCCATATAAATAATTTTTCAATTTATCTTTTCTCATATTCTACTTGAATTTTGGCATGCGTCAGGCGCATTTGTGGCCGGACTAGACGCGGGGCTAGTGTACAACTCGTTTCCAAAGATGGGAGACACCTGGATTCCGGAAGACATCCTCGCTATGAGTCCCACTCTGCGCAACTTCACCGAAAACCCGACCACGGTGCAGTTTGACCACCGCGTGCTGGGCACGAGTACTGTGCTGGCGGCGAGCGCTCTGTGGCTGATGGCGCGCAGGGCCCCTCTGTCGCCGGCGGCCGCTAGGGCAGCGCAAGCCGTGGCGGCCATGGCTTGGCTGCAAGTATCGCTGGGCGTGGCCACATTGCTACACTACGTGCCCACGCCTCTCGCCGCCACCCACCAGTCTGGATCGCTTGTGCTCCTCTCTCTCGCAGTCTGGTTGACTCATGAGATTAAGCTTCTTAAATACATACCAAAGTAGACAATTAGATTGAAGTGATTATACCAAAATAACACTAGAGTGAAAGTGTAAGCGGACGCGGTTGCAACTAACAAATCGTTAAGTTCTGGAATAGTTCAATGTTCATTAATAAAAAACTACAATATGTATAATATTTCGATTTTAATAATATAATATGTTAAATTATTATATCTAGATCCCTAAAAATAACAATTTAGACTACAGCGACCGAGGTAGTGCCGCCGATGTAGTCTAAAGGATAATAAAATAGAAAATGTATACAATTAGAATGTGCGCTTTGCCTTAGCAGAAACAATCGGCTGACATTTTGCAGACAAACAAGGTGGAATCTCATGGGCGAAGATTCTTACCGATACTATTGGCGTATGTGCTTGTACACAAATATAGTTAAAACTGTTATAAAAAGAATTATGTCGCTCTGTCTTGGCACCCCATAATACTCTTAGATCAGAATGTCCGCGTAGCGTTTATTTAAAATAATTCTCAGCTGTCAATGAAGTTAACAAGTTACTGCAAGTTTTCAGTTAATTACTTTTGACAAACTATTAACAACTTATTTTAATCAAATGATAATATAAGCAATTGTGGGTGGTGACTTTCACTTATCAGTCTTCCAATGAAATATGATTATGGATTTATAACAGACTGATAAAGGTCCTTATAATCAAAAGTTTAGAAACATGCACTGCAACAATGCTAAGTGTAAACATATTTTACATTTGAGTTGACCCGTGTGTTGATTTGAGATGTTTTGAGATCCATACAGGGAAAATCGTACTGATGACGCCCATTAAACCCAGACATACTGAGAACAGTTTACTAAAGGAAAGTACTCAGTTGTCAATTGTAAATAATTAAGAAGCTTACACAGATTGAGAATTAAGAATAAATTCACAAGCACTAATGGCCATATGATATAGCATATTGTCATTATAATGGCGGTAGATAAATACTAAAATTGCCTTGAAATTGCTACGAGTGGTTTATGAAGTAGCATTTTAGGCCGGTGTCGACACGGCAGTGAAGTATTTTACAGAGCACCCGAGCTTAAGTATAAAATGCCAAGCTGCTTTGTCGGTCCAACTTCCCCAAGCACCCAAATGGGTGTGATACAAAAGTACAAACTAATTATGTGTAGGGTACTTTCTATTTTTCTACCAGCTCTTTCCCAACATTAAAATACACCTTTTAATATTTACATGCGCATTTAAGTCACTAGATGCAACTTTAATAATTGTTTAGAAGAAATGAGAATAAAAAGCCTTGTTAACAAAAAAAGCAACATTACAATAGTTTCATAATATAATAATTATTTAAAGCCAAATAGAACCATAGCAGTCTTTTTTATTAAAGTGCCATCTAGTGATCTGACGCTCTAATTATACCATTTATGATAAAACAGAACCTGTGGGTAACACGCAGATGGTTACGTGTTAATTTGTTTCATTGTCTGGATTTAAACAATTGCCAATATTCATCTGAAAAAAATAAAAAAATTAATAGTATGTATAAAGCTTTAGTTTACTGTAGATTAAGCTAAGCTTAGCACTATGATATACTTTCATTAAATACAAAACTGTTGTGATACTGTTTCATATTACTGATTAATAAAACTCATGTGCCTGTGTATTAAGCTATAGGTGGGAAGTATAGGCCTCCTATACATTGATTACTTTTCAATTTCCATATCCTAAAAGGTTAACATTGCATAGAAATTTATATTAATTGTTATAGTTAAAAAAATATATTTATTCTATACATAGAAATATAAAGAAAACATAATTGTCAGAATTACCTTTGTACAACTAGCTGGGTGGATGAGGATCAGTGCTAACAATGACCTGCACTATGTACCCAGGTGTGATCTTTGCTTCCTCCAATAACAGCTTATCTCCTAGTAACTTTCCTCCATAGAACCAGCGTTGTCTCCATACTTCAATACCCTCTTGTGCCTAGGATTGAAATTTTTTGTGAGCCAGCACCAATGACACCTTTTTAGCTATACTATACTAATAGTTTTCAATATATATTTCTCCATCAGTTCCTCAATAGTAAAATATAAATAAATACTTCTTACATGTAACTTGGCCTTGCAATGAGCAATTGTGTGCCTAGAGCCAACAGGCAGTATCAAATCTTTGCAAGTGGTAGACAGCCGCAACCTTAATGCCATCTCTGACCCACCCTCAACAGGCTCAGAACAGTCAGCTGGTGAATCTCGGCCACTAGCTTCTTTTACCATGTTAATTGGTGCAGATAGGCAGTATATTGGTACCTGGAAAAATATAAAAATCAAGATCAATCTAACCCCAATACAGTGAAGTATGAAAAAGGTTTATTTATTTAATTACAGCTATTGCCATTTGCCTTAAGACTAACTTATAGCTAAAGTTTAAATAAAACACTTAAAGTAAACAGTTTAAAACACGATATATTAGTTAAACTTATTTGAAGCTGATTTTTAACTTTGGCCCGACGTTTTGGATGCTTTGCAGCAGCCGTGGTCATGGGAAGACTTTACTCTAGCTATAGCTATAACTTTATTTACAGCTATAGTTAAAGTAAAGTACTAAACTAAAGTACTTGTATTACAATAATTTTCTTGTATCATAACATACCTGATACCTCGTGCCCCACTCATCATAACATTCTGTGAGATATCCGTTGGGCACCGAAACGCTCGCGCCATCAAGAATCGCCTGTGCAAGCTGAAAATCCACAGCTTCAGCGGCGACGGCGGCCGCTCGCAAAGCATCCCAGATCTCCTTACGACCTTCGAACGCCGGTGCCGTGTCCCAGAATTCATCCCGCTTACTTCTCAACTGACCTTCTGTTAATGGCACGTCGGATTTCCATCGTATTGTCTCATGGCACAGTGACTGATTTTTTCGTAAACCACCTAAAAGTAACCTCGGTTTAGACGATCGACTTACAGAAGTGAGTGACTTCTATGTGATAATTTTAAGCACGTACCCGAATTTGGTCGTGACACCGTCCCTGAAGACTCTTCAATAGGACCGCTCCTGCTTCTAGTGATTCCGATACATCCACCCATTGTAATCACATTATTTTCAAATAAATGCCCAATTTATAAACACGTTATGAAATAACAAATCATTGTCGCTTTCAATCGTTAAATATAAACGTGATAACAATTTTTAATTCAATTCTCCTTCAATGGTTAATGCTCCTTGTATGATTTTTCTGTCAAAAATGTTTAAAGTCAAAATGTAGATTAGATGTAGACGTATAATAAGTTTTAAACCACAGAGTGTACAAGACAGAAACCTATTTTTTCTTCACGATGAACATTTTATATTTTCATATTTTTTTTAATAATATTTAATGGCCTGGTAACAAGACCTTTAAGCCAATGTCTCCAAACTCAAAATACCAGTCATAGAGTAGGATTGAGACTTGAGAGGTTCTTGATTACTAAACAGATTACAATAATGTACTTTTAGAAATTCAAAACAATAAACAAAACTTATTAGGACTTAAATGTTCTAGTTAAACCAATTATTAATTCGTACTAACTCTAAACAACAGTTGATACTGCCACTTTAAGTGATGAATATGTGTTTAGCGAAGCATCATGTAAAAACGGTATTTAAATCCATTGGACCGCTATTTATTTCCTTAAAATTTTTATTAACTTACGTTGACATGTTTCAGGTAGATCCAACTGCCTACTATGTATCCGAATTTATATCAGTAACAGAGGAAAAGAGTATTTTAAATAACATTTATGCTTCACCCAAACCAAAATGGACACAATTATCTAACAGAAGATTACAGAACTGGGGTGGAATACCACACAATAAAGGCATGGTGGCTGAAACAATACCTAAATGGCTAGACACTTACCTTCAGAAGATACACAAGTTAGACTTAATGTGCGACAAGAAACCTAATCATGTTTTGATCAATGAATACTTACCTGGCCAAGGCATTTTGCCCCATTTAGATGGTTCATTGTTTTACCCTACGATAACCACTATTTCAGTTGGTTCACATATAGTTCTCAATTTTTATGAGCCTATATCTCAAGATGAGGCTAATTTAAAACCTCAGTTCTCCTTTCTGTTAGAACCTAGGAGCCTATTGATCTTACAAGACCAATTATTTAGCCGCTTTTTACATGGTATTGAGGAAATTGAAGAAGATAATATCAATGCTTCTATACAGAATTTGGATATGTGTTCAGAAGCTTATAAAACTGGAATGTGTATACCGCGCGCTACTAGGGTTTCCTTGACAATAAGACATGTTCCAAAAACAAGTGCCTTTAAACTTAACATTGCAAGGAGGTAGTGAGAAACCAAGAAAATACAGTACTTTTATGAATTTGCATTGAGCAGTTTCATTTAACATGGTTTAGATTAAATACTATAAGGTGATTTATTCAAATTCAATTCTTTATTTGAAGTAACTTTTTCATAACTAGTTGGTTCTGAAATTTTATTCAGTAGCAGTTTCATAATGGCATTTACTAAATTATTTTTGAGTGTAAGACTACTGAGTTTTGAGAAAACTTTTAGTAGGAGAATTATAAGACACTATTGTGCCACAGTCCAAGACTGTAATGAGAAGGAAGACAAAAAAACTAAGGAACAAACCCAAAGTTCTGTGTCTGGGAATAAGGTACCTACAACATTTATCTTTTTGTTCTTCTACACTGAAGAATTTTGTTATTGTCTTTCTTCAAATAATGTTAAAGAGGTAAATTAAGTGTCGTATTGAGCAACTATTCTTAGTTTATCACATGTTCACTTACTCTATCCCGGATTTTTTTACTTACTACATTCATCAGAAAGGCGTCGTGCTTGGTGTGTATGAAGATGGTGATAAGTTTGGTCTGAGCACAGCTACTGAAGACATAAACCAGAAAAGTGGTGGCAAGTTATGCAAATACCTCGATAAGTGAGTAGATTTTTTTCTTTCAATTATTGTAAACTGTAAAGCCCGGACCAACCTAAACAAATACCAGATAGAAGTGCAGCGATAGAGGCATTAAATAAATTATGGTGTATTTTGTAAAAGTGTCGAATCGGCCGGCTCACCTGTTATGGAATGTATTTTGGGAAAATATGTTTAAACAAAATTCTTTAAGTAATATGATATTAAAGAGCGATCTAACGTAACGAATGGTCAACGTCATCAAAATCACGCATGTAATAAAAATAAAATAAACTTACAGACCAAAATTTTCAATTTTTAACTGTATTTACGTTCATATGTGCCTACTTTTATAAATATCTTATAGTTTTTTATCTGATTTGATCCTATTAACATTCTCCACTGGTAATATTATTATTTAAATTGCCTTGTGTGAAGTGAGTATATATATTGCTTTCAATTAAAACCGACGATAAATTGAAAAATTCTACGACATGCGCAGGCCGGCTGGTTCAAGCCTCAAACCAATTGGGCTACCGTGTCCTTCACGTCGTCGAAATTTTTTAACCAATTGACATGTACCTCTCGCGCAATGTAATTTCAAACTTAATACTTGCGTTTTAAGGTTTAGTGCCCGTGTTCTTCCAATTTATAATAGACTGTGCCATTATGTGCAATACCACAATTATGTCCATTGTGCATACATGTGGAAAATATTAATGTTTTAAAATACGCTTTTCAGCTTATCTTGCGAGTTAAAGCTGGGTAAGGCATTTGTGGTCACCGAAGTTCTTTCAGACGGCACCTGCGTAGCACTAACGTCTTTCGGCAAACGAGATCCCGGCTATAATAAGCTTGAGGAGCTGAACGAGGCTAAGGTAACTGAGGACTAGGCGTAAACATCGATAATAAATAAAAGTAAGCAAAGTTGAAGTGTGAATCCCAGGAGAACGTTCGACTGGGGGTTGGCGCCGGAGTGGCCGCCTTACGCGATAGAGGCGTTCTGGACATCGCAGTCGATGCCGCTGATCAGCCGCAGGCGGCAGCGGAAGCAGCGCATCTTGCCGCATGGGGGTTAGCTTATCAAAATCATATATTAATAACACATGTTTTTTTCAAAAAAACAAAAATTATTAATAGTGTATGTTGTGTGTTTATTCCTTAAGTTACAAATAATATGTGGCATAGTAAATTCTTATAAAATCTGTGCAAATATCTTTCAGTTTTCAGGAATTCAAAGCACCCGAAAGTCGAAAGGGCGAAGCGAAGCTTTCCCCTTTTGGGCCCAGCGAAAGCGAAGATTGGGCGCTCGGTTGCATCTTAGGCGAGTCGCAGAACTGGGCGAGGTACCTTTCGGACATGCCAGCCAACATCATGACCCCAATTGAATTAGCGCAGGTCAAATTTAATAGAACTCGAACTCATAACTTGAGACTGCTGTTTAAGATTTTGCAGGGCTCATTGCCTTCTTTTCACAGAATACAGTTGTTTTAATTTGTTTTAGGAGGCTTTAAACGTGCTGTGTCCGTTGGGCGTGCAGGTGACGGTGCGTGAGCGCAGTTGGATCGAGGCACAGCGCATGGAGGCGTTCCTGGCGGTGGCGAGAGGTTCTTGCGAGCCCCCTGTCCTCATCGAATGCCAATATCGACCTCCGGGGGCAGGCGACCGCCCCCCGGTGCTCCTGGGTGCCAAGGGTGTTACCTTTGATAGGTGAGTATTTTTTTAATGTACTCCTTAAATTTAGATTATCTTTTCCATGAACTGAGTAAGCGTAATCGTATTGCATTGGCAGTGGCGGCATGTGCCTAAAGCGAGCCAGCGAAATGTCGGAGAACCGAGGCAGCATGGCGGGCGCGGCCGTCGTGCTCGCCGCTCTACGAGCTCTCGCCCTGACTAAGGTTCGATCTACTTTCCTCTTCTTATCTTAACTTTTCGTTCGATCGACTTAATGTAAAACAACTGGTAACGTTAAAACTTTTCAGACGCCGATAAACGTAAACGTCGTGATACCCGTATGCGAGAACATGGTCAGTGGACAATGCATGAAGGTGGGAGACGTGGTCACGGCACTGAACGGGAAATCCATACAGGTTGTTACTAATTGTATTATTGTAACATTTTTCTTTGATGTAGGGGTGAAGACAATTCGGTGTATATTCGTAAGCGCTGGTTTTTTAGCCGGTTTAACTTTATGAGCTTCCGACATCTTAATTCTTTTATTATTTGACTAACTCAGCTGTTCAAACTATAGATAGAGGATACGGACATGGAGGGACGGCTGATGATGGCGGACGCGCTGGTCTACGGGCAAGTGCTGCACAAGCCGGCGTTGGTGCTCGACGTCGCTACGCTCACTCGTAAGTCATCGTGAAGACGATGGGTTTAGATAAATATTCCGAATCGCATTTTGGCAGTCTCTTCCCTTGCAATAGTTGATCATTCCTTCACTCTTATGGTGCGTGACGCCAGACGGCGTGCTCCTGGCGACAGGCGGAGGTGCCTTTGGCTGCTTCAGTAACAACGACGGAGCATGGGCGGCGATGCAACACGCCGGCGCGATCAGTGGTGACAGACCTTGGAGGTTGCCACTCTGGGATTACTATCACCGAGAGATTGACAGTGGGTGACAGCAACGCTTTCAATAAGCACGATCGTCGTCTATTATGCACAAAAATACTATGCGAGTTGATTTCTTTTCCAGATGACCCTGCAGTGGACTTGCGTAATCGTGGCTCAGGCAGTGCGACGCCGTGCGCTGGTGCAGCATTCCTAAAGGTGCATATTTTGTAGATTCTACTTAGTTCCTATCGACTATGTACCTCAAATCTTAGTAAAGTGTATGCAAAATTGTGATTGGTGCTTTTCTTGTTTCAGAACTTCATATGCAGTGATTGGGTGCACTTAGACATCACGGGGGTGGGCAAACTCGCCCACGCTCGAGCCCCGCCGTATCTGAATCCTAGTCGTATGACGGGTAGGTCGGAACGACTTTGCATAAGTAAAAGCCTTCTCGGGATCAATTACCGTCTTTCTTAAATGGAAGATGTCGTTTGAAAAGGGTTAGGCGTCTGAAGACAGTTTACATCCCTTGAAATAACTGAATACATTTTTTTAAATGACTGGGAAAGCGGTGTTCACTGCCGACAATGGGCTATTTGACAATGTATGTATTTAAATACAAAACCCTCCCAGTCGGTTGGGTTTATTAATTCTAAGTAACGGTCAAACAGCATTTCGAATGCTAGTAACGAACCCTTCGCTATTGCAGGTCGCCCGACGAGGACCCTCGCCACGTTTTTAATGAATGCGGCCAAGCAGCATCCTGGCAAATAACTACATTCGTGTACAGATGAGCCAAATGAGTACACTATGCCGAACAATTTATTTCTTATTACTACTATTCTTATTAAACGAGGTAAATGAAACACGAATGCTTATTGACCTAAAAATGAAGAAACATTTATTTTCAGTATGTCTTTTGTAAAATTTAATAACAGAATGAGTCAAATGTCGTAATCCAATAACAGAGCGGACTTGTTCACATTTCGATAGAATTACTTCACCAACAATAGAAATATAATATTTTTTTAATCATTTACAGATTACAGATACAATCGAAAGTAGTATCGATAAATCTAATTTATTCGTAATCGTCGCCTCGCGAGCGCGGCGATGCAATTAAAACAACATCTAGTTCCACTATTTATTTCACGATATATCTAAAATTAAAAGAATCACCTCGTAAGTCTAAAATAATAATACAATTAATTAATCGTAACATTAGGACAAAGGTTTAAGTAATGCGACGTCGACTTTACACAGATGCGAGTTGTGAATAGTGAAACTAGTGAATTTACAATCATTATCATTACAGTAATTACATTGAGATGGGAAGTGACGACACGTAAATACAGCATATCTTTTATCGCTAATAATCATTTATATAAATGGGCTACGACACAATTTATCAATAAATAGAAAAACAAAGAAGCCAAAACATTTATAGGGTTAAGATATAAAAGATTTTTACATGAATGTCAGTTTGTTTGTTTCTGTCGATCCGTCGGCGAGGACCGGCGAGTCCGCGACGCGACAGAGGCACGCACACACACACACCCTCCGCCCTCTCGCATACGTACAATATATTAACGGAATACTTTAAGTCTAAAGGGCGCTCGCCCGTCGTCGCTATACAATTATACCATTAAACTGAAACGATGACAATATTTAATTTATCGCAAACACTAGAGAAATGCAAGTCCAATACGATGGTAATATTGTGTGTCATGAAACAAAATGTATATTTAAATTCTTTTACACACACACTAGCCGCTGGCTCACTTCGACGTCATCATGGTGACGAATTCTGGAAACAGAAACGGAAGCACATTAGTCGGATGTACGAGGGTCGACACGCGAAAGGCACAACACAGACAGTAGAGGCACTATCCGACGAGGACCTCGAAATACCACCCTCTGCTACGAGTGACGGGCCCTCGCTCACCGACCGCAGCGACTGGCGAATGGCAGGCGGTGCGGTCGGCGGGCGACGGCGGTTTGCTGCTCGTTCGTCTGGTGCACGGGTGGAGTGTCGCTAGGTCAGGTGGTATTTCTCGAGAGACAGAGCACATGCAACGCGACACAACACCGAACCCGGAGGGACAGCTAATAGATCGGGAGTCGTCGATGTCACTACGCAGGCTTCGGGTCGAGGGGAGCGAAGCGAGAGAAGAGGGTCGGTCAAAAGGTGAGCGAAACTAGACGTGTCGGAGTGCGCTAAGAAGGGGAGAGGAACAGCTAATAACGAGCAGCAAACCGTCGACGGCGCGATGGCCGACGCCCCGCTAGCGGGTGCCACCGCCCCGCGCCAATATCATTTGCGCGAGCGCGTGGAAGTCTGCAACGAGACAAATCTGTCGGTCGACGGTCGTGGTGAGTTGTCTGTCGTCGGGCAAGGCGCTCACCTTCGTAATTGACCTGGCCGTCGCCGTCGATGTCCGCCTCGCGGATCATCTCGTCCACCTCCTCGTCGGTGAGTTTCTCTCCGAGGTTGGTCATGACGTGGCGCAGCTCCGCCGCCGAGATGAACCCGTTGCCGTCCTTGTCGAAGACGCGGAACGCCTCGCGGATCTCCTCCTCGCTGTCCGTGTCCTTCATCTTCCTCGCCATCATCGTGAGGAATTCGGGGAAGTCTATCGTTCCGTTGCCTGAAAGCAGAACCGCAATGTTGTTACGTGACTAGTGCCTGAAAATTGTGAACGGGCACTATAATGCGGCGTCGAAGGACACATTAAATAATTGAAGGCATACTCGTGTTTTCGTTCCGTGTCGTAGTTAATATAGCTAGCTGGATCTTAAAACTTTTGCACGTATCTGTCGCACGTAAGCAAAACATCGCTAAGCTTCGTTTGCCAGAATAAGTGCGGGTTAAGTTTAGCTACGCTAATTGTGTAGAGGACAACCTTTGCGGGGCGTTAGGTGGGCAGTGTGCACTATTTATATACGGTCACGCGAGCGCGCTTTCGAGAATGCACTCAGATCGACGACACTGCCCGGTTTCCTAATTTCTTGCGAAACTGCTTTTATTAATACTGGAGGTGCCGTGGGTCTCGAGAAGGTCAGGAATTTATCTAACAAAAGTAACAAAATTTACAGACAACAGGAATCACAATAAATAAAAGCGTGTTAGTGTATTTCTAAGTTGATAAACATACAGTAATTTTAAGTCCCATAAAGCCGCATACGATTTAGGAAAAACAGGCCGCCCTCTATGTATGATAAAAATCGTAGGCGGTTCTAGCGAAGTAAAGAAACGAGTCAAAGGCACATCGTCGGTTAAGGGCTTGTCAGATTGCATGTCGAATAGGTTTCGTACGATGTACAACCGCGCTAGGTTTCGGCAAGAAAGCAGCATTGGAAAGCTTAACCAAAAAAACGATAAGGGCGAAGTCAATAAAATCGTCGTAACCATTGATATCGGCTAATTGTGAATCGAATGACTTCATCTATGTTGTCAGAGCTATGAGTAACGAGGTTTAACATTGAAAACTTAAATGAGATCATCTATCAACTACCTACAGTTCCTTCGCGAGAGAGCGATCGCTCGAGTGTGCAGTGAACCGAAGTGAAGCAATAAAAACATCCGCATTCGTTTGCGACCGTTATTAAAGTATTAGTCACGAAAGGAGATTAATAGATCCCCCCTGTTAGCCCGCATTCTTGCAAGTGCGTAACTGCGTAATAACCGCCGCCGTGGCTTGCGTGGCTAACGGACGACCTCCTCTCGTCCGAATTCTATAGTCCCCCGCTCTCACTAGATCGACTCTCGCGCCGAAGAGCATGCGACGCGACGCATATATTTATCCACAAACCGCACCCGGCCACCGGTAAACAATCAGAAAAAATGTAAATAAGTGTTCGGCGTCGATTCGGGTTTGTCACGACGCCAGCGCGTACGCGAAAGGCGGGCGGAACCCGTCGGGCGAAGCCCCGCCGGCACTTGGCTCCGCGCCAAACCGATATGCAAATTCATTTGCAACTCGCCCCGCTTTCGGACGACACTCGATTAGAGAATTGCGATGTCAACACGGGCCGCTCCCCGCTTGGCACCGTTCCTCACTTGCGCGAATCTCGATACGTCGACGATTCCGAGTCGATTCGGCGTCGGAGCGGTAATATCGAATCTGTCCGCGACGCCTAATTATAGAGGGGCGGTAAAGCGCAATTAGTTCAACTAGTCGAGACACTTTTTGCCATTTTTCGCATATCCGCTCCTCCGCTGTTTACCGACCGGGCGATTTAAGCTAACTGCGGAACAAACATCGATCGTTATGGCCATTCGGGTCAACACAGTCGCCGTGCTGTCATCGTGTCGAATCGCTACCTTCTTACGTCGTAGACACCCGAGAGGACTCGTCGCCTCGTTTCGTTCGATCGATAGTTATAATGACGTTAAGAAAGCCACTTCGTAGACGACCTCGATAGTCAGGTCGATGGGGAGCGGGTGACCCCTCGCCGGTCGCCGCCGTGCGACACGCTGCTCGCGGGGCCGGCTTACGCCGACGCCATTATTACTTGTCAAGTTAAGGATAGCCTTACATATGTAGAACAATTATTCCTTTTATTTCTTCCACCTCAGCGTTTCGACGAACGTCCGTTGGATTGAGTTGTGACCGGACGAGTTCCAAAGTATCAAGTGTATACGGACACGGGCCATATTTAGGTCTAAAAGTGGCCTTGTATTTTGAACGAACATCTATTATTTGACATTGTCATGTTTCAATGCCAGGATACGATTGTCATCGACATAATTGAGCGCGCTTAGTCCGTTTTGAAACGTTCGTCTTACGAAACTCGAATTACTTTCAGGTGTTTTAGATAATAATTGTGGTTATAAAACGTCGTCGTCCCCGCGTAACAAATGCGACTTTCCTCGGAGCCGATTTTCCGCTTAGTGTCGGCATTGTTCCGCAAATAGCTTAAGAGAAGCGCGAAACGGGCGCGTGACGGCCATCTCCCTCGGCGAGTGAACGACTCTTTATCGCCATCCGCGACTGCACCGTTTAACTCGCCCTATATTTGCGTTTACATCTGTGATATAAAAACCGGGCGCTATAACTACGGGAGGCATTTTATATTCATTGTAATCAACTCGAGTGACGTAATCCGCCGGCTAACGAATACTAAGGTGTTTATGACAGTGCTGTGCCACGTTGCACCACTTCCTGGCGTCGTCGACCTCACTCTCCGAAAGCGCCATCCATCGCCATAAAACCTCGAGAGCAGGTCAACGAAACGCAAGTTCAAACTGTATCGAGAGACCGGGAGCCATCGCTTCGTTCGTCAATAAATAGTTGAAGCGCTCGTTCAACGACGTCTCGATGTGTTAAACAGAAACGTAGTGGTCTCGTTTCTGCGTAAAGTGCCGATTCGAAGTAATGATTAAAATTGACCTTTCTATCGTGACACGACAGAGGTACACAATATTATTCCTCGTCGTTCAAATAAACATAGAGAACAGTGGATTTGCCAAGTTCGATATCGAAACAGGATAAAAATAAGAGGATGCGGTTTATCGGAGGCGCTTTCCTGTTGACGGTTTACTGTGGAACTAGAGGCGAACCGAGCTCTTCGACGCTAAGTTAATTCGATACAACGCGTTCGGCAAGAGGCCACGGCAGTACAACGTGGCATCATCAATTTTTGTGGGTGATAATGAAATATTCCTCAAAACACTAGTGCTGACTCACGGCGGCCGTCGATTATGATTAGAGCTCTTCGCGGTTTACGTAATCGTTTGCCACAATTAACAATATTATGTTGCACCGAACGCGATATCCACGACAAAGCGCGTTGCGAAATATGTTATTCATTCATTTAAATTAGGAAGAGATATAGTATTACAGCCACCGGCTCAACGAGCGGCCAATTGCGATGTTAATTGAAAGGAGGCGACCGCATCACGAGCACGTAACGAACGAAAAGGATCGATTCCCACGTCCGAAGTCCGCTCGGCCGAGGCTGGGTCCCGTCAAAATATTTACGTTACACGTTAATGAGCGACACATCTGGTGATTGTGACGCCCCCCGTACGATGCCTTCTGGGCCTATACTTATAATCAGCTAACCCTCGCTAAACCCGAACCCAACGAAATGTCTCTATTCGTCTGCGTGTCACGTTGGCGAGGCGGACTTCCACTTTGGCCAATATGAATTTATTACTATTACGATATGCGCCAAGATCTCCGACAGGTGACGGCGTGCCGGCTATTAATGTTCCGGCGACTCGAGGAGAGCGGTCAGGGCCGTCTCGGGGAACAAAACGCCCGTTGTGGAGACGCGCTCAAAGTAATCCTCTCCTTTTAGCTCGTAATCTCCATAACAATATTGAAGCAAGATAAAAATGTCACTTTAGCGCCGACGTCACATCATGTGATGCTCGCTTAATTAGTGTAAAATGTAAACGTTTACGTTCGAGGCGAAAACTACTGGGACCTTTCGTCGCCTTCCATTTGTTCGACGGCTCATCAAAGTCACAAAACACACAACATCTTTTGTTAAAGCAGACGCGCTATAAATTCAAGTCTTAACTCTGCCAACGCATTCATCAAATGTAAGAATAGAAACGAGAGTTTTATGCGAGGCTAATTATTCTTCTCCCATCGCGAACGCTGCGAGCCGATGCCTTTTGTTACATTCTTAATGCTGAACAAACCCAAATATGCTCGTAAATATTAAGGACTAAAAACCACCAAAAGGGAATCATACTAGTGGAAAGTATCATTAGTAGAGTACATTTCGTCGCTTATCGCAGAATGTACGTTAGCCGATAACGATTCGATTAGTGATAGCACCCTACGTGGCGGCTTCATCGTACTTAGGCGAGATGTTTGTGCCGTTTCAACTACTTTTTTATCCGCTTACCCTTTAAGATAGCAACAAGTATTATTTCCACGACTTAACTGTACTGTATCCTGACAATATGATGATGGAGGGTAAATATTTACAAGTTTATATATAATAACCTTACCCTTGCATGCAACTGAATAAAACTACCACTTACCATCCGCGTCCACTTCATTGATCATGTCTTGTAGTTCGGCTTCTGTGGGGTTCTGTCCTAGCGACCTCATGACGGTACCCAACTCTTTGGTCGTGATGGTGCCGTCGCCATCTTTGTCGAAGAGTGAGAACGCCTCTTTGAATTCGGCGATTTGTTCTTCCGTTAGTTGATCCGCCTGTAACATTACAATAAATAATACTTTAGTGTGTATACTGGGTGCGAAGCAGGTGGAGCCTATAAGTTATAAACGTACAACTGTAACAACCATCATGTAAGACCGGAGATAGACAAATGACTGACTATTTAAGACAGCTCAATATGATAACTGCGATTTGTTTAGTCCGAGTCACACTGCAGACAATCTTTTGGTTATCAGTTACTGCATTACAATAAACATTATCATGACTTGATAAGCTAGATAAAAAGTTAAATACCTCAATTATGGTATAATGGAATGTGTAAGTGTAACATCCAGGTTTTACTGTTTAATTTCAGAAGAAACCTAATTGTGTGCCATTTTTTGTTGCCACCTTATCTGTATAATAATCTCAATGTCGCTTGCAATTACAAAAAACTAAAGGAATGTTACAAATAGCCGATACATAAAAGCTGATAAGAAAATAATTATGACTGTTTTCCTTTATGATTCTTATCAGTTATACATTGTGATATCGATTTCCCAGAAATAATATTAATACTTAGCAAGTTGGCATTTGTTGCTAACACTGGAACAAGATGATATAATAAATAATTAAATTTAGTAATAATACTACGAAAAACTCAAACATCTGTTATAGCTATCACAAATAAAAAATTAATCTATGACAAAAAAAAGGGTGTAATCACAAAGAATATAAATCAGATCTATTAAAAAATATGAAGTCTGTTTCCAGTTTTTGAGTCAAATTCAGGACACAATTACTTTATTGCTTTTGAAAGTAAGGAACATTTTACTTTACCCTATGATTCAGATCTAGAACCAATCAAGCTAAACAACATGCACATCAAAGCTTTTCATAGTGAGTGAAATTAGTGGTCTATTAAAACATTTCTTGGGAGTAGAATGATTAAGAACTAATGTTAATTTTTAGGCAAAGCCATAAGTGCAGAAGTTATTATAACCAAATACTGAAAATTACTGCATTTTCACTCAATGCATAAATATTTTAAAGGTATTAAAATAAATAACTGTTCAAAGTATGTATTGTAAACCTTGGAAATAAAAGAACATAATCAAATTACCATTGCTTAGGCTTCTCATGCTCCCATACAAGTACACTCCATACATACAAGTGCTACTATACCTTGTGGGTAGACTTGTAAGTGGAATACTATGAATATTCAAATTAAAGGTTTAATTATAACTATACAGTTAGTTGACATAAGTCTTTATAATGGCATTAATTATATTAAGATAAATAAAGACTATTTAAATTAAAAAAAAGTCAACACAAGCAGGATATGTAGTCCATAAGGCATCCATAGCGTTCCATGCTGCTGCTCTAACCACTATTGAGATGAGGATAGTAAAAAAATCTTGTTGAAGCAAACAAATGTTACTTTTGGCGTCAATACATATATCATACTCTTTACACTACAAATTATTGTAGCCCTATGCTTATAGAGAAATAAAAGTAAAGCTCCTAAAAGATCGGTATCTTCCATATATACAATACTCACCATTGTTTAATTAAGCTAAATTATCGAGACTAACTAAAAATTGTTAGAAGCAAAGGTCGATTGTATACGAGATCGGCTTTTAATAACTGGACTTTTCTTCCGTCACTGGCCAAAGAAAGAAAGCTAACGGAACTAGTTTATCAAATTGCGAAGAAAATGGTATGGAGGTATGAGTCAACGGGCGTTTGACAGCAGCGCCGGTCGATCGATCACCGCCACTGGGGCGCGACTTACTCGAAGTAACTACTATCGCTGCTGTGCGACTGTAAAGTAACCAAATCCCTTGTAGATATTCTACCGAATTCTTTGGATCCGATCGGAGCCACCTAAATGTCGGTTACACCTAACTATGGCGACGGACGTTTCTCGAGATACGGTAACGGTTTTCATCGTTCATTCTTTTATTTGAGATTCTTCGCCTCCGCTGTCATCTAAACTGATCCATCGGTATCCTTTTTGTCGTCTGGCAGTACGTACTCGTTCCGCAATGCGGTAAAAAACGGCCATCACAATAATAATGGAGGCCGTCATCACTATAAACACCGATTCACCGAAACTCCGAAATATACCCAGGAACGGATAACAAACGCATCCTAAAAAACACTTCCGGCTTTTTTGTGAAGAAAGGACACTCACCATAGTCGATTAACTTGGATTATCAGGAGCTACACTAAAAAATCACAGTATATGCCGCAAAGCGACCGCACAGACCGACGGTTTAACGAATACTGCCGCCCTCTATCGCGCGAACGGCCGCGCTGGGAAACTCGCGACCGTGCGCCGCGAATCGTTCGTTATCGTTCAATCGAATCTCCGCACTATCATGACCGGCGCGGTTCATTCGTTCACTAGAACTTTGCGTGTCGTTGCGTTTCGTAAATGCAAGTCCATGTCTCGAGACGCACGGCAAGGGATTAGAGCGGATCCGCGAAGGATAGTCGGTTTTATATCAGACAGCAACGGTGGCATGAACGCTTGCCGAGCGGCGCGCGCCGATTGGGCGTCCTACACCTGCAATGCGTCACTGCGGCGCGCGCGCGAACCCGCTGCCGCCTGCCTACCGAGCCCGCTGCGCCACGCCGCACCAAGAACCGGGCGCGCTGCCCCAGTTCGGGATTGCCTCACCCGCTTCTCCCGCTTCACCCGCAGTACCGCCCGTCTAACGAGATAAGAGGTGCCGGGAGTGCGCAGGTTTCCCGCGGTCCTCGCTTTGTTGATGTTTATTACACACTACCCTACTATGATGACTCTGCATCAATTCTTAAGTTGTTCAATTAGGAAATACTCGTTTGAAAATTTAAAGATGAAAACTACTGTTCCTCTGGACTTTAAAAACTAAAGTCAAATAGTTTAAGTACCTAAAAGTTTTTTACTTTAATATTAAACATGATGGCTTTACACATTATGTAAATAAAAAATCTATTCAAATTGAAAAATATTGACGACACCGGCGGGACAAATCGATACCGTAGCTAGGTAGCAGCATGGAATGCTGTGGATGCCGGTTCAAATCCTACCAGTCTTAAATTTTTCAACCTAAATAGATTTTTATTTTAATGAAAATATAAGAAAATAAAGTTAACTACTTGTTTTTGAATATATTTAATTTTAGGTGATTAATATTGTAATCGATCGGGATTTCTGTTTTGATATTATCGATTATTTCTAGTAATCACTAGTATTGAGGTGTCAACTGAAATGAATGAATCTGCGAAATGTCAATGTCAATCATTTTTTTTTTAATTTTTTATGTCAATCAATAATATTGATTGTACAATATTGTTTGTTACTTTGTTATGGTCAACATAAGCCAAAATTAATGTTATTACGGTATCCATAGTTGTTATTAACTCTTCATTACAAAAATGTCTCATTTGATGTTACCTACTTCTAACATTATTAGTTCGAGGGATAATATATTTTCAATTATTTTTCAGATTTAAATAAAGACTGTCTTTGAAGAAGAACATCTGTCTTTGTTGTGGATTTTTGATGAGAACATAGTGAGAATCGCATTACTGGAGTCCGAGTAAGGTCCTGCAAGATCAGGCTTCAGTCATTTCAACAGAGAGCGAGTCGTCTGATGTAATTTTTAAATGTATTTAAGTCAACTAAAATTAATAAAGTGACATAGAATTTAACCACAAGCGTATAAACCGCATTATTTTATAAATGTTCGGAAAACCTTCAGCTTTAAAGAGAGTAGTGTTTGTATGTTAGGTATTAATTACTTAGTGCTGTGTTAACAGGAATCGAGCGCCAAAGCCACGACGCGGCCTAATGGCTTAGATGCCGGGTGTGGCTGCACGCGACTCGCTAATAGCTCCAAACAATAAAATTGGCCAATTACATAGTTGGTTACAGGATTACGGTTTCAAGCGTTTTTTATTTCAATAGCATTTGTACATAATATATTATAGTGAATAGTTGTTATAACCCAAACAATAAAATATAAACATTATGCTTAACGCTCCGCACGGGACTTTTTAAATGTATGTAGCAGGGAAGCAGTAAGCAATAAATCCAATAGAGAAATCATTTTTTACACAAACGTCTGCGACCTGCGTGTAGTTATCTATGTTAGGGTTGACACTCGACAAAGCTGTTTTATTATTATTTTATTGGTAGTTCAAACAATTTGAAACAACGGTTCCACAATATAAAATTGGTATATATTTACAAACCAATTAACAGACAGTTAGCTCTAAGTAGTGCTGACGCAGTTTTTGTTATAATCACTGCATTAAGTACGCCGCAATTTAAGTATTATGCTGCAGCTATATTAAAATTTTCAAACGCCTGAACGAATGGTGTTAGCAATATTTTTGTTGACCACAATTGCTAATCATTATAAACAATATACTTATATTAATATTATGTAGCTATATAGTGTGTTTGTAAGTTTAAACACGCTAATCAACGGAACAGTTAATTCGATTTGAAAATGTTTTATTGCATTGGATAGATTTATTATATAAGGGGTGGCTTTAGGCTATACAAATAGGAGCGAAAGAACATTGGACGGGAAAACGAGGAAAATTATTAATCTTCGAGGGAAAACCGTTCAAGATACATATGTATGAAAGAACGATGATTCTTTAAATGATCTAAAGACATGTCCACGATTGTTGCCGTCTATCTTTTAAGATTAACGCGCAACAACCGTTTTTATAAGAATCAATTTTGTTCGAAATACTTTATAAGGCAAAAGAATGTTCGCCGTGTCAGCTAGTGGATTATAAATAAAGTCTTCTTATTAAACAGCTTGGAACTAATGTTTATCACATCCTCGTAAACATAAAACACACCTTCAAATATTGTGAATATTCACTATTCAAAATTTTACCTTCAAATTAAAGCCCTTTTTTAATTCGGCCTGAGTTACTTTAGAATAAGCAAAACACTAACAGAAGCCAAAAATTCGTGTTAGAGTTCTATCAGTTCTTATAAATTCATGTTATAATAATTATTTTTGATTGTCACTTGTTCTTGCCTAGACATTAGCAGCGTACCTATAGAAGACATGTTCATAAATACAAAGTAAGGTATATCGAAAATTATAAAAACATTTGAGTAGCTTTTTTTGTAAAGCTACTTGGATAGATACGCTATTCCATTGTCGTCATTGTTAATGGAATAGTTCTCAGGAACTCGACTTTTCGATTTAGTGAAGACGATTAAGCGTGGTTTATTGTTTTTAGCCCAGTTTCTGTATCTTTTGTGGCATGGCAACAAGTACTTGTTACGTACATACTATCGTGGTACAAATCAATATTACTATATTGTCTAAGAAGTAACCAAGTGTCGTGCATTATAGGATGATAAATATGCATTCTACAGAATACACAAGTTATGGCAACCCTAGAGGAACGATCTGCATAGATTAGTGAAGCTATCGTGCCGAGGACTGGCATTGCAACGACTCAGCTGTATTCATAACATTGTGTTTGAATTAAGTTAACAAGCCGGTTGCATTTCAAATTACTGGACGGTGAAATCCATTTCTCCACGCGAAACGCTGAAAGATCGCATGCATCTGTTCTACGAGCAGGAACTTGAACAGAAGCTCTGATTTTGAGGAGGTGTCATATCACGCCTTTGTATTAATTTTGACATCCTAGTAGTGTAGTCTGCATTGAAATTGGCGTGCTTATTGCGCGAAGAGTGGGCAGACGAGGAAAGCATCTCCGCATAAAACGTTAATCTTTAGGAATACACTTACATCTTTTGTACGTCATTGAACACCCGTAGCCGTTAGAACATGAAACGCAGTGCGGAGTCGAGGCGACGACAAAGCGATGCTAATGAGGCGTTACTTCGTTCCGGGTCGTTAAGTTGACTATCATCCTAGGGAAACCCATAAAATTCATACTCTAAATACAACTTGCAAAGTAGTTCGTTGAGTGAGTTTGAAAATGATTAACAAAACCATGATTCCGTTAAAATGTACTGAAGTTAATCAATCCATCTGGTCTTCTTTCGCGGCCGTCGGCCTTATTTCGCACTAGGCGCTCGCGGAGGCTTTCGGGTTCGCGACCCGTTCATACGGGTCAGTTCTCGCAGTTGCTTGAAGCAGTGGTCCTCGGTGTGAGCTGCGGCCCTTCTGATAAGATTAAAAATATAAACATAGTTGACGCTCCCTAATTAGAACGATTGTCCGTTTAAGATATTAATTGTACTGCTTTGAAAAACATGGGTCTTAAAGCAGATGCAAGCAAATTAATTCCAGAAAAGGTAACGGTCGGTAAGGGATGGCATCATAAACTTACCATTCGATCGTTTATACAGAAATTTTCAGCAAAATGTGCAGCGTGTCAATGCAAATTAGTGGGTAATTGTCGTGTGGATACCTTCGAACGATAATAATCCTAATGTAATTATAGTGGTTAAGCGCAGGCTAGGCGATGTGCCACGATGATTTCGGTTACGTTACTCATATTCTCTTCGTCGTTCTTTCGTCGATTCAGTTCTTTAAGGAACGTAACTTACGTCTGTACGAGAACTGTAAGAGCGTTTATATATGTAATGAATATGAAAATGCCAGTTCGCTTAACCGGATGTCCGAAAAGTCTTAGTCGACACAATTTCCAAGCATTAAAATAAAAGGGTGATTTTCGACATATTTCTCGTTTAGCGCATACGCCCTCTACCGTCAATTATCGTAAATATAAAACTCATCCCATGTTTTCTATTCCGAATAATTAAATTATAATTAACTTATATATTTTTATTTCAATTTTATTTTTTCAAGTACGGTCAGACGATAAGGTATGATTAAAAAAGAAGTAATAGTCAATACATTTCTGTAATTTCGGTAGATAGATAGATTCGTCTTAAAGCCTAAAAAGTTGACAAAAAAATCAAAATGGTAATGGAATAATAAAGCAGCATTATCGTTTCCAAGTGATCTCTTTCCAATCGGTAAGACAAAACATTTATTTTTTATTTGATTAAAAATGAGATGTGCCACGGTATGCGAAACAAAGAAATACCTTTCTAAAAAAAGTGTATTTAACATAAATAAATTGTAACAGCTTGAACCTGGAACTGATCCACGTTTTGAATATTCTTTTGATCTGATGATGATTGAAACATCTTTCGATGCAATTAGATTTGTTTTTATCTTTCTCGCGAAAAACTTTGGCGTTTCTGCTCTGATTTCTTTCGATAGAAAGGAGATTTTCAAAAGTCAGGTACATAATTAGAATAGTAATATTATAATATTGTAAGAAGGTTCTCGTTACTTTTAATTAGAGTGCTACGTTAGTGGACTTCATCATTAAAAACTTAATTGTAAGAGTTGATAATCCCATTTATCCCTTTTTTTCAAGGGAAATATGAAACGAAGAATTAGAACGACTACTATGCAATAGTAGTCGTTCTAATTCTTTACGACTCGGGCTTCAAAAGAACTAAAACATTTGTTTGCTGTCGCTACAAATGAATGTATTTTTCTTCTGTTAATTAAATTGTCTTCTGGCGTAAAACCCTTGGGCCTAGACGTTGAAAAATTATAATATGAATATCAAATATGTGTAATAGAAAAATTAAAGTAAGGCCTATTTAGTTATCATAATGCAAAAGAAGTTGACAAATTTCCATTAAAAGGTTTTCTCTATTCAACCTCAAACCTGTGCTTTGATGTAAACCTACCTTAGGTTGGACTTAGAGGACGTACAGACGATGTGACGGCGGCTGATATGTGAGACGTCGGCAGCAAAATTGGTGCGATGCGGCACAGTTTCTGGCAAGTAAATCTAGGCGAGACAAAGGGTTGCAATTACCAGTTTTTGGCAATCTTCCCTCCCGCCTCAGCCTACATGGCGACATTCTCACGTTCATAATATATCTCTGACGGGGCTGTTTAAATTTGGGAATAACAAAATACGCACTGTACACATATTTTGCGCACATTATTATGAAACGGAACGCGGAGGTTCGTGACTTCTTCATCTGTGGACGGTGGTTCGTGATCCGGCCGGAATTTCGACATTCCTACCGAAAAAGAAGAATATTTTAATATTGACGCAATCTATGCTTTTAATGCGTAAATCAGAGACAGCCTAATTATAATATAATTTAATTAAGTAAAAAAAAACTTGTCCCACCCGTTTCATATTCGGTTAAATTACCCCTTAATTGAGTAAAAGGCGTGGAATCGAAATGGCTCTCGAAGGTCGACACAAATCTTAATCTGCAACGTGATCTTTACGTGTTATTGACGAGTTCACTCCTGAATGTGCGAACAGATGAGAAAGAAATAAAACTTTGACTAAGCTTAAAAATACTGCTCCTGCTTCTTATATGAACTAAGTTACAAGTGCTAAGTCATATTGTGATTATATTATACGTATAGATTATAGCTATAGCCTTCTAAATTAAAATACACAAATGGAGTCTCGTTCTACTGTTCGAAAAAGTTTTCCCGTTGATTAAATGAAGAGATAGCGTCGCGTCTGGCACAAAATGGAATGAGTCTTGTTTAGTAAAAGTTGACTTTGATCCACATCTGCAACGGAGGAGATGATCCAGATTCCAGACTTCAATACAAGTTGATGGTGCAAATTCAATCTCAGTCCAGGGCCAGAGCAGATTAGTTCTCATTATTTGACTGGATATAAAGACTATATGCAATTAATCTGATGCAAATCTCATCTGAAACTGGAGGGAAAATGTTTACCTATTTTTAATTTTGACGAACATTAATGGAGCACTTGAAATATTCAGCCAAATTTCTGTAGATAATAAGAAAGAACAAAAGAATATTAGAGGAAATTGCTTCGTAAGTAAAAGCCCTCGCGGCTTATTATTACAAGGTGATAATAAATCTCCGACCTCAGTCTTCTGAATTGTAGATCAAATATTATCTAAGAATCGGTGGCGAGCCATTATAGTCTTTATTTAGTGTCTTTAAAGTTTAAAATGGACTATTCTAACAAGGAAGGTTAATGGTACAAGATCGTTGATCCTTATCGATTCATTACATTACTTGTTGCCTTTTCAGTAGGTATATTAAGCATGAGTTTGGTATCAACCCTATCACTTTCACCGTAGTCCGTGTGGTAAATACATTTTTGTATTAGTCATAATACTAATTTGGCGATGTGGTATATTTTTTTTGCCCTTAAAATATAATTTGTTAGATTAGAGCACATTAAAAATTTATTATTCTTCACGAATACAGCGTAATTTATTAGATTACCATTTTGAGTGTCACCTTGTCGTGTCGTACTTAATTTATTCAATAAAATTCTACTCGCAATTCTAGTTACTTATAAGCATGTTCTCAACTGTGACTATATTTATAATTATTAAGTTTGCTCGTTAATCTAGCCTAGATTTTTATCATTATCACTTTAGATTAGGCCGCACGCACAAAGGAAAATGGTGAGTTTACCATCAAAGTCAAAGCTCGATAAGGACATCTTAGCCGCAGTCCGCATTGTTATTCATCAAGCGACCTCTTTTGTAGCGTTTCGGGAACGCTTGCCGCATCTCCCGTCCCTATCTAACGTTCTCGTTTCACATAAGATTGAATGAAATAGCCGAGTGCGTGAATGTTGCGCTATGCAATTATATTTGAATCCTTTTATCTGTCCCGTTCTGCCCTCACCGCGTGGCATATGTGCGAGGGAGAGAGCGAATGGCGCAACAGTTGTCGTGCACGTAATATCGATCGGGGCTAGGCCACGTGAGGCGTCCGTGAGCCTCATCGCTCTCCGCGGCCCCTGAAAACCTTACGAAAGCCGTTCCAATACATTTCTACGACGATTTTGGGGTAGAATTTGTTTTTTCGCCAATAGCGGCAATGTACGTGAATCGCGGAGAAGAATGTAGGTATATCGACCCCAATAATTGCTTCATTCCGTTTTTCGAATCGTAAGATAAAAGAGAATGAACGGCAAAACCGAGGTCTTCTACATACGACGAATCGAACAGTCAAAGTGAAACTGTTTTCTTTTAATTTTGTATTCAAATGTGCTGTCTAATTTTCCGTTTTCTATAAACCGACTTCGTGGATGTCCATAAATTTGCTATGCAAGGAACTTTTCGATTAGCACGAAAAGAAAAGAGACTTCCTTTAGAGGTTTTCATAAAATCTTATTTGGCGAGGGCATGTTTATGAAACGTAGCTTTTTAAATTAATGGAACATAAAGCAATTGTTACGTTGAGTGGCTTTTTACAACTTAAAAATATTATTTATGGACTTTTAGAACCCCGTAATTTTGGATACAAAGTTAAACATTACACTGAAAACCATCGATATCGAATTAATGTAATAAAATATGTCTCATAACACATTGCGTAATCGTTTATCTCTTAAGACAAGCGTTAGAAGTAGATTCGTTATAGCGGGCCAACAAAAGGCACCTGCGATGTTGCCAGCCATCACTCACACGAGAAAGATAAACAAACAAGAAGCGGGGTGGGATTATGGGGCCGAGAAATGTTTCGCTGTTATATATTCTACATCCGTTGTATATTTCATAGACATAAAAGGAAAGGCTTTGTGGAACTCACAAACCTAATTGGTAGCTATGTGATAGTTTGTTCTCGAGTGATCAAAATAGAATCGAATAGAATCAATGAGAAACAGAGTTTGAGTATTTCTTTCGTCCAAGTCCTTTTAACTCTTTGTGAAGGGTCTTCTAAAAATATTTGATTTCCAAATTTCAACTCGGCCTTAATATGAGAATGATCCAAACTGATTTACTCCATTGCGGAAGATTATGCAGACAATATGCCCTGATAAATAATGTCTACGATTGGCGTAGCCTCGTAGCGCACGCCAGGGAAACAACACGTGCGTAGCACACTTCTACAGCCGTAGCAGCAAACATAAGTATGTAATGGGTGATGCCTGATTTTGTGAATGGTATGAATCAGGCCCGACGTTTGGCTTTGGATATTCCGTCATTTACAGGCTGAAACCGAAACACAATTAAACTGATTTTTCAGATATTCGGACGGAATTTAGACAGTCTTACTCCCATGAAATGTCTAGTTTTCAGATGAAGTTTAATATGTTACAGAATGATTTTTCTAAACATATTGACTTAGTGGTGATTAGCAACCGCGGTTATTAGTAATATAATCCTACCATTATGACAATAAGCTCGGCATAATATTGTTCAAAATAAAATTAATATTAGTATATTTCAATACAGCGTCCAGAGAATACTGAGCAAGTAAGTCAACACGAAGAATGTAATTTTTATTCATTGGCGACGATCGTGCGCTTTGGCACACTAAAGACTTGCTCAAACTAATTATAATCATTTATTTAAAAATGCAGATACCAAATTAAGAAACGCAGCTTTAAGACTGGCGGGTTTCGTCGCGTTCTCAATAATGGATAAAAATAAGCAAGCCCCGTAGTGAAGCTAACGCGGCACGCATAGTAATGTGAAGCCAAATGGCAGTGAAGATCGGCAAATCCAATATTCTTATAAGCGTATTAGCTTCATGCTTAACTGGTTTAGTGACCCTGTTTCTCTCGTCGACGTCATCGCCGCTAGGCCGCGTCAGGCTCGCACGACAGAGGTGACCTTCCTGCCCCACTATTGCTAATCAACTCGTAGACTTGCGTATTATGTGGAATATATTGTGTGATTTCTATTACTATTATGTTTAAAAGCAAGCCAACGTGTTCAGGTGGAATGGGTCCCGTAGGATTCGCTACACGCAAAAAGATATATTTCTTAAGCTTTCATGAGAAAGTAGATGGCGCAAGCGTTGCTGATATGAGACCTTTACCATTTTCAGAGCCCCGTCACCGAAGCGATCGCCCGGAACGTCGGGCCATAGGTCATCAATTAAATGATATACGTTACGTTTTTGAACAGTTAGAAGTGTTTTATTCTACAATTACATATATCGAATGAGAATTAGAGATTCAATGCACCCTCACAATTATAACTCGGGAGCGCACATCACTAAATAAAGTAAGCTAGCAATAATGAATCTTTTCTTATATGTTTCACTAACTAAGTCTTGTTATTTGCGGACCAAAATTCCCACGCGTTTGTCTTAAATATTCAGAAAAGATTGCGCATTGTTCTTAGCGCACAACGCTGCGGACGAACGGCATCAGAAGGGTTTGAAAGGGCCATAGCCCGCGGCGCGGTCGAGCCCGACGGATAACTTCGCTCACTTGTTACGTACGTGCCGGGATTTGGATAAAAGGGAAAGACTTTTCCCTGACATTGTTTTTATTTCTTTGGGTCCGACCGTTTCAGCAAAATTGTCTCGTATTATATACGGACTGGAACAATTTCGTTATTTTTCTATTTACTTAAATAACCATGTATACAATGTGTCAACTCATACGATGCATGTGTGTAATCCATATGACGAGTTCGAAATATGTACAGTTTCCGTTTTGTACTTAATATACAAATGCATTGTTATTTATTATACGTTTCTATTCTTTTATAATTTCTATATGGTACAACGAGAAGGGCGTGGTCTATATTCTGCTGTTTAATTTTAGAGTGAAAGTTATTCAGCACCCTAAATGTTATTAATCCTCAAACGCTTTTAAAGTGTTCACAGAAGTAAATGAAAAAGTAATTTCCATATTACGTCTCTATCGTAAAAGCAGTCGCGTTGTACGATGCCCCGCCGCGTGCACACTTAAAGATAGTTTGCCTCGGTAAATGCCTTTTATGACTAAACTATAAAATGGCCGCCTTTCAAATTATCTATTCGTGTTAGTTTTTATTAAAACAATTATCTTCAACCTCTGCCTTTCTAATATGTTCAACTTTTTCGAATATTCTTATGTTTATATCCGTTTCACACAGCTCTCGAGTTCGGGTGCACTGAGTGAAAATTAAAATCGTTTTCGATTTTGCACGTAGTTTCGTGGGATTTAGCGAGCCAAAATATAATAGACTTTATAAAACATACTCGTAAAAGGGGCACGAGGTAACGTTAGAAGTTGTGAGTTAATGTCGAAACCCATAAAGTGCCAGTGTGTGGATTGCGGACTCCAGAGAATAAACTCGATTTAACTTAAGTTCCAGCTCGTTTTGCCGCATTTTTATGTTATCACTTCTTTAACGGGTGTCGAAATAGGAAGCACTTTCAAACAACATTGTTAACTCGTAAAAATAAGAACAGATTGTTTCGCATAAAGTAAAACACGATTCGTTTTCGGACTTGGATTTCTATAAATAGCATACCAATGTAATATATTTGACAGGCACGCTTTGCTCTAATAGTAGCGAACGCTAATAATCAACGAGTCGTATCAATGTGTTTCTTTGTATTGGCGTTTTGGTGTGTGAATTTTTAGATATCTAAAACTAAAATTCGTCGCTTGCGCATCTTGTTTAGATATTATTGTTTAGGTATTTCACTTTTTATCAAGTGAAAGTCATGCTTGTCTGTATTCCACTATCATAAAAAATACTTTCACTTTTCACAATCAATTTATCTTTGTCTTATTAGAATATGTCTGTAAGTAAGAGTATAAAAAAAAAATTAAATCACCCTTCGTTAAATATAGTGATTTATTTTTACTTCATAGACATATGCATTTTATTTACCTTAAAATCGAAACAATTTTACTACGATTTTAAGAAATATATGTATAATACTACTAATACTAATTTTTTATCAAAGAATTCGTACAGAGAAGAAGTAGGCGTGTAGAGGTGCTACGCCGTAGCAACATTGTCTATGAGCAGATATTAGGTAATGATATTGTCTGTGTAATTCCTAATAATAGATAATATTGAACATGACATGAACTTATTTTAGTAAAAGTCATGTTTTGCGTAATATAAGTCTTTAATAAGTACACAGATATAGAAAAAAAGAAGAAAAATCAAGAAATTTTTATAACAAATTTCTGAACATATTGGTTCTTGATAATCAGAATTAACGGAACTCTTTTAGCGTTTTTAAAAATTTAAAAGAAATATTGGAGTAACAATTGTTTATGTATATTAATTGTTTTACTGCCAGATTCTTCTTGGTAATATCTGAATCAATTGCTGTCTCGTATTAGCACAACGTAAAAAGAAGACTTCGCGACAGTGTCAGCTAGTACGCGAAGTGGTAAAGCGAGAGGTCGAAGGCTCGACTCGCAAACGGCCTGTTGACCCTCGCTCGAGGAGGCCTCTCTGCACTCTCGATAGCTCTGTTCACTTGTATGCGGCATCAGACTCACGTGTCTTCTTACGATAAAGAAAAAAACGTTATCAGTACTAAGGCAATGGAACATTTTTTTGGTGTAATACGTTCTTAAATTTTAAAAATTAACCCTTTTTGTGTTATTGTAAAAGCAATTACGCTTATAAGGTTTACACTTGTTAATTGTATAAGCGGTTTTTTCCTAAGGTGGTTAAGTTCAATTTGATAATCGACAGTTTACAACGTAACTTATATGGACATGAATGTATGTGCACCTGTCGTTCTGTGATCTCATACGTTAGACCGGCTCATTGGCGTCAGCTCGTGGATAATCTGCGGCTTATCGCCCGATCTCGCAGATCCCAGATTGAAATCTGGATCCAATGAATACTCGAAAAGGAATTCAGAATGTTGCCATTTACATTTAGTCCACTAGAGTTATTAGTAGTATTTATTGGTCCTAGTTCGTAATTGACTAATAGTACAATGTTGAATACGCTCAGTAAAGAGGTTTTGTGTGTACCGTTTTAATAAGTTCCTAATTCGTAATATTGCTCTGTTTTCAATCTG